CCCCCCCCCCCCCCCCCCCCCCCCCCCCCACCCCCGTGTCCGTCAGAGCCGGAGAGAGAGCCGGAGCCACCCGCCCGCAGGACGGACGGAGGATCCTCTGACGCTGCGTCACGATGAAGGAGGAGGCGACGTTGTCACTATCGCGCGCCCTCACTGGCATGGACACCGGAGGAGAGCACTGACCGCCGGGGGAAACATGCCGACCATTCTCGGTGACAAAGGGAAACTTTCCGTTGTATGCCTTTTGCTCCGATGCGCGTATTCTCAGGTGAGGGGATGGATGGAATGCAGCTTCTTCTTCTTTTTTTTTTTAATGAAAACGAGTCGTGAGAGGTGATAGTTGTGTGAATATGTACCTTGGATGGCTCAGAAACTAGACTTTTCAGTCAGTGTTGTGTTTGGATCAGATCCGTGCGTTTTTAAAGTAAATTTCAACGGGAAAATCCCTTAGGTGTGCAGAGAAAAATATATTTGACGCTTATGGATGAGCCTTTTACAGGAATGGTGATGCCAAATGATGGCAAATTGTGCTTTAGTCTACAAAAATACTTCCATTATACACGTAGCGTAGAAATAACATTCAATTGAAGATAACTTAAGACATTACAAATACTTTAAGAATGCAACAGCTGCTGTTATGGATCCATGCTGCGTTTTGCAGGTGTTATGATCGGTTGTGGTTTGTTTGGCCCCAGGAGGGGGTTGACTCATTTGGGTATTGCACCAGAGTTGTAGCCCGGGGTGCTTGTGGGTAAGGACGTGTGAAACACATTGCACTTGATAATAGTGACACTAATATGGAGACTGTAGATGTAAACCGAGCAGGAAAGCAAGGCTACTTGTACAGAGCCACAGAGAGCCAAAACGCTGCTGGCTGTGTTTATGTTTTTATTTTTTTAGAGCTCATGGCCTCATAACAGCTTTGTGGTTTAAATATTCTTACTTCTCACACACTTTCTTCTCCAATGTAGAAAAGACTGTCTCTAAAAAAGAGGCACGTCCATCCTCACAGGCTGAACTCTACAGACATGCTTACTGTTGCAGAGTTTGGGCTAAAAAAAGGCACAAATAAGTAATAAGAAAATCACTAATCATCCCAAATTATTATAAAATCACCAAAATAAAAACCTGAGTATACTGTGTTAAGTAAAACTGGGATAGTCTCTGCAACCAAAAATTAATGCAATATGATGACATTGTCTAGCAAATTGGATGAAGAACTACATAATAACTGGACCGGATTACCATCATATAGAATTGCAATTATGCAAAGGACAAAAGAACTCACACTGTAGAACCGGTCCCAAAGTAAGGCTAATTTAAATACTTTTTTCTTCTAGTTTGAGAGTCATGGTTGCTAGGTTTCATAGTGAAAGTTGTCTGTATCCGGCTGACGCTCCTCCACAGTGATTTTGAAGATGAGTCATGAACGTGTTTCAAGGTCTTCTCAACTCTCGCATTTACAGTTCGTGGGTGAGACTGTAAGGGTCACAGTGTTAGACTCAGTTGTGTTTGCACAAGACAACTGCCGGGAGGAGAAAATGCAATGGGTGATTTTTCTTTTTGTAACTGCATATCCGACCAAAGAAAGTGACTAGTTTGTCTACTTACTTCACTTATGTGTGAGCCTGTCACGGTTTTTTCATCATGACCATCATCGTGCATCTTAAATTTGCATCTGAAAGTTGCTCTCGAGGCTGCATGCTAGCTGCTTTCTGTAATTTCCTGTGGCGCGCAGCATTTTTTAAATATCTGTCCTTGGTTTTGTGCAGGTAACAAGAACTCACATCAACCGCTGTGCCAAAGATATTTTTGAGGTAAGGTGTTACATCAGTTTTATTACGTTTTGCCTTTTTTTCTAAAATTAAATTATGGTTAAAACAATTATCCCAACAAAAACAACAAACGAAATGCTCTACTTAAGCTCTTCATCTCATGATTAAGGTTTTATCACTTTTAAGATCAGCTTTATTCATTGATTTTTTTTCAGAATATTAGTCATTTTATTAACATACTCAGTTGATTGATAGCATAATGACTGAGGAGGAAACTCCAGCTGCATTAGTGAGGTGGCTTCAACTAACGGTTATGTGCATCAGTTGATCTGTAGCTCCAAAAAAAGTCAAATATCCTCGTTTGATCAAATTTCCCTTTTTCCTCTTTTGAAATTAGAAATTAAATAAACCTTAAAGGGGAAAGTATAATTCACATTTTTAAATACTGACACACTGAACTGAACTGAACTGAAAATGGTTGCAAAGTGCATCAGAGCAAGCACAATGAATTCGAATAGAGATTCTAGAGAGATGGCAGCTCATGATGCTCCATCTGGGAAAGCTTGTTGTTGTTGGAGACGGAAAGGGGTGAGGGCTGGTGCTGTGTCCTTGGTGACTGAGGAAGGAGAAATAATGAAGTGAAAGGATGAGCAGAGAGAGGAAACTCTTTCCCTCCAGGGCGCACTGTTGAGTGGGTGGGAAGAGGAAGGTGGGAGGTGGAGGAGGAGGGAAATATTGGAGACATCTGCCAGGTTCACAAAAATCCTATGAGCATATTTCAGTGAATGAATGCCCTCACTACAGATTACCCCTGGAGATACGGACGTAATTTGATATTGGTGCAAATGCACGTTTTAATCCACTTTTATTATCTGTATGAAAAGTGAAGTGTATAAACATTGGTGTTTAGCCTCACCGAAAAAGTACAACATGATATTTTTAGGCGGCTTACGCTGATCCAGTCTAGTTCGCTCCAGTTTTACAGTATGCTAAGCTAAGCCAACGGGCTGCTGGCTGTGACCTTGTAGGCTACACAACAGATATGATGAGTGGGGTAACAATCATCTTATGTAACCCTCAGTAAGAAAGTTTTTAAAAAGACGCTTGTTTACAAAAATGTTAACTGTTTCCTTTAAGATAACAGCAGTTGTTTCCGTCCATCTTCATAATCCTGACTTTATGCTGAATAAGATCAGGCTCAAAAAGGTAAATGAGAGGTTAGAATTACAGCAGCATCCATGAGGTCTGGTTTGTTTGAGTACGACCTCAGGCAATCAAATCAGAAGAGATTATAATCAGAGCAGGAGCGATGGTGCTGCTCTGTGGATGCAAGGCTTTCTCCGTTGTTTCCTCCTCCCTCTAGAGCAATTTGAAGAGACCACAAACTAATAAATGAGGTACATTCCCTCAAATTTCAGGTGCACCATTGGGTGTTCATCAAAAGCTGTCACAATTGGCAGTGCGGCATGCAGAGACACATACACTGACACCACCTTATTTGTGAGTAGTGACCCACTATAGCTGATACGATCTCACATGCCCCGCTTTAGTTTATGGCAACCCAAAGATTAGTTCTGACATCGTTCCATGGGATCTTCCATTCTCCCAGTTTGGGGGTAATCTCCTCAAGTGCTCTGATTATCTACAGATATACATAATCTTCTCTAATACTCAAGATTATGAAGTAAGAAATATGAACATAACCAGAAATGTAGCTTTATCCTGTTGTTCACACAGACCTCAGCAACTGTGACTAGTCCACTTGATATGCTGTCTTCACTTAGTAGTCTCTGCTTCAAAGAGATGTACATTTGTAATGGTATTATTAGCTGTTTTTTTGTCCAGTTTCATAACAAAACAATATATAGTCCAAAGATTAGTGGAGCACAATCCAATCCACTGTTTACAATGTCAACATCAGCAAATGTAAGCACAGTTGATGAGAATATCATGTATATATTCCTTTAAAATATGTACTTTACTACCCATAGCGATGTATTTTCTAATCTTGAAGACCTCCTATTCAATGTCCCTCCCCTTTCACCGAAAGTGAAGTAGAAAAGCGGGACAAAAGTGGAAAACATGTGGGACACATTGTAAAACACACTAAAAGAACACTGTACTAAAGTAGATGAACATTGTCTAACCATAACACACAGGAGGATGTGGCAGGTGAACGACGTTATTGTGTAGCGGTAATGTTGTGTGCAGATAAATGAAACACAAGCTATGCACGATTACGCGCTGTGTTCACATATAGTTGAAAGAAACTGTAAATACAGTCAGTTTTTTTATCCTGTTTGTGCAGTTTCAGTCATTTCTGCTTTCAACCTATGTGGCTATGACAAAACAAATTCGAATTTGCAACACTGTGCTATGAATCAGGCACTTTTTATCGCCCTTTTAATGGTTAACAACCTCCCATCAGTGACTCAGACAACCTACATTGAGTGGATAAAAGCAGTAGGCTATTTCCTGTTTCTGTTTGTGACTAGTGTGTAGATTTCCTGCTCTAATATTTGGTCTATTGGAAGAGGAAATATTTACATAGGCTTTACAGTAATATGTCGAGCTCTGCTCAGTGTGTGATTTGTTGAATGTGAAAGAAGACGATAAGCTGTTTCATTCACCCATGCACAGTGACTGATCCCAGCCACCTCAAGCATGCCATTCACGTCACTCAGCTCTGCACGAAAAGACAAACCCCTTTCTCATCCACGCACACCATCACTGGTGGGGAGGAGTGTTGCTCACAATCAGAGTCAGCTGCGTGTAAATGGCTGAAAAGGTTAAACATTAATGAAAGAAAAGTTGTGAAGATAAAGTCAGTAGTGTCTCTATGTGCAGGTTCTTCAGTCAGAATGAAATAAATACGCCTGTTACCATTTCTGTTACGCAGGACATGACTCAGTCCTGGACATCCCAGCATGCCTTAGGGGGTGACCAGGCTCAGCGGATCCTCTATAACTCCAAGGTTTGTGTTTGTTTTTGTTGTTTGTTTCTGACAACACAAATACGTATGAACATTTTTACCTCAGAAGAAAAGAGTACAGATCTTTCTTATGTAGCTCACTTTAAATATATGCAAGAGGCTCAGTAAGCACTTCTATAATAATGATGTACGTGCAATATAGGTAACATATGTTAAGGATTTTAGTGCAGTGAGCCGTAAACTTATTTCCTTGCTTGTTCAGATGTGAGAAAAAGCTTTGACGTTCACTCCTTTATTTCTCATTAGACTTGACGTAAATCATCCCAGTGTCATAGCTCAACGCATTGTAGAGAAAAAAAATGTTTTCCTTCAATTCTTAGGTTTTGATTTATAAAAGATATGTTTACTATTCTATAAATATGATTTTTTTTAAAGATATATTGTTACTGCATGTCATACCAACACATCACATATTCCACTGCGTCATTATTTGTTTTAACACAAACATGCCAAACTGCAGTTGGGGTATGTGGAAAAGTGATTGCATCCCATAATTCAACAGCTTGTTAAAACCAGCTTTAGAACATTTAGTATCTGTCTTTTTGAAGTCATCAGTCTCCCACCCCTGTTTGGATTAACTATGGACTACCCTTTACAAAGTATGTGTCAGTTTGAGGCTCATGGGTGCTCGTTTTATACACAGCTCTCTGACGTTCCCACCCCAACGTTTCAATCATGTTGAGAGGAGCTTCATTTTTTTGTCTTTCTGTGGGATTAACTGTTCTTAAGATGCTTGATCTGTTGCACTATTCAGTTTAAGCAATTTAAACAGATCGCCCCACATTTGACTCGAGAATACTTTGATATATAGAGGAGTTTATGGTCAGCTCAGTGACTGAGAGGTGGCCAGGTTATGTGGCTGTAGAATTAGCCCAAACCATCAGCTCTACATTACCAAACGTGGGAGTTTGTATGAAGTGCTTGTTTGGTTTGCTGTGTTAGACCTTTCCAAATAGGGCTGTGTATACAACCCAAAGTCTCCACTTTGGTCTTGCCTTTTCAATTGAGATTGCTTCAGAAGTCATTCCCTTACTTCAAATGTAAATTTGCTCCAAGCCATGCTTCATTGGACAATTCAATTTATACCGTCATAAACATTCCCTTTAAAACTTGGAAGATCTTGCATCTAATTTCTGAATATACTTTCTCCAAGGTTAGTGATGTAACTTAAGTGGTTTAGAATTGACTTTGCACCCCTTCTGAGACTGATGCACAGAAACAGTTGCTTCTCCCAGATCGTTGCTGATGTCTTTCCTCCTTTGCATTTCGTTCATAGATAGCTTTAAGCTATAGACTGGCAAACTGACAAAGCTTCTGCTTTTATTGTAGTGGTCAAGTTGATTTAGAATCGGTTTAGGAGGTTTATTTAACTAACACATGGCTGTTCAATCTAAAGCCTTATGAGCACTGGATACATCTTTTTTTATCATGTCTTAATGTCTGAAACCTTAGAACTGAATTAGACTTCACTCTCTTTTTTAGCACACTGGTCATTATGTTAACTGTAAAAGTACACTTTATGTTTCCTCATTACTCAGCACAGAGGTAGCACTAAGACATTAAAGAGCAACAGTGGTAAAATCTCCACTTGTGGTCGCCAAGAGGTAACCCGATACTGTTAAGAAGACTGGTCATTTAGTCATGCTAACAAATGAGATATACCGGTAAAATGAGGAAAGACAAAGTGAAATCTTAGTCCTTGTAAAATAATTTGTGAACAGTTTAATTTGTCATCTAAACACTGAACTGAATGCACAGTATATAGACGAGAATGCAAATGCCTCAACTGAGAATGAAGATCTTTCTCATAACGTTGGTGTCCTTTTTGCAGGATGCAAGACATTCATCTGCACAGCACAGGCAAGGTATGTCCTTTGTGAGTTATATGTTTTCTCGGGGAGGTTAACTAGCAGTTTTCTGTAATGGTTCGTCATCTTTTTCAGGTCGCAGCGAAGCTCAGCTACGAATGACCCGTCACCCTCAGGTGGCACCTCACAAATCGTAAGTGGGATCTGAAGAAACGTGATCCACCGAGGGTCACCTAACTCAAACCAACACGTATAGCAAAACAGAAATCTCACGCCTTTGTCTGTCCCTCTCTTTTAAAAACATTTTAAAGTAATTCTTTATCTTAACAGCCACAAGGAAAGGCATAAGTGATAGAGGGAGGGCATGTGAAGGCAAGTAAAAGCACTGAGAGGACCAGCTAACAATGTTTCAGGTTTTAGGTCGGGTCAAAGGTCCCTTAACATTCCTGAAAGCTGTCAACGGAGACCAATGTGCTCCTGTTTGTTAACATTTTACATCCTCTTTTTAATGTGAAACACATGTTCTGTGCTGTGCGTCAGCTTCATGCTCCACACTATTTCACATACTTTTTTACAGGTTTTTTTACTTAACTTGTCAAAAACATTTGATTCATTCATTCATTCAAACTGTATTTATACTCAAGATCATTAAGGGGCAGCCCTCCTTTTCTGGGACACAGGGGTAATTATGTTGATGAAGAGAAAAAAAAAACAAGAACCAACAGAGGTATGCAAACTTAGAGTAGTATATAAACTCTAACGTTTCGGTTAAGAAAGAAATGTTTTGAGTTTGATCATTAAACAAGTTTTTTTTTCAAAATTGTATAAAAGTAATATAAAGATAGACAAAGGGATATTTACCAAAATGCATGGCTTTGAAAGACATATTCATTCCAGTTCAATATATCAGGCACAATGATATTAAAAGCATACTGACTAAATTAGACCTAACTGATCGAATTTAGCCTTTTTTTTCTATCTCTCAAATCCACTTCAGTTTAATTGATTTATTATTTGCCAAGAAATGACTGCTGAGCATCACATCTCCCAACCATTTTAATACAAAACATGCTGATTTGTTCTGCCAGTGCCACGCACAGCAAGCATCATGCTTGAGTTAGAGCTCATCTTTCACTCAAAATCTCACACAGATCTCCCAGAAATGATGTCAAATGTGAGCAAACCCTATGCAGAAATAGTCCAAAACAAACTTTCTGAACATTCTTTTGAAAATCCCTTGTGTTTGCGTGTAAAAACAACTCGTGGTGAGTGTGTTATTTTACCCCACTTTGCATAGATACTGCTTCTTAACTGCCTGCAAAGACCTGGATGTTATCCTGGCTTACCGTCACCGTAGTTCTAGATTTGCATAATAGTCGGCACATGGCTGGTTTGACTTACCCAGAATTTTGCCATTTTTTACCACACAAAGAGGGCCTAAAGGGGAGACCATAGAGAGTGAAAAGCTCAAAAGGAATGTTTCAGACAGAAGGACACGTACAGTTGCTTCGCCAATGTAAAGCTTACAGATGTTCTATTGTCTTTCACGACATTTTAGTGGAGGTCTCAAATAAGAAAATGGACACATAAAAGACCATAGCACAATTCTTGAAGTGTATCATGCTGAGTTAAAATAAGTTTTTTTTATCAACAGAATATTTTAAATAGTTTTTTCCACAAGTCTCCAACAGTGACATTTGCCTATTTTAAAACTAGGTGGTTGATTCTGTGCCAATTTCATTACAGGATGCTTGCTGATGATCTTAAACTAAGCAGTGATGATGACGACACTCAAAGGGTAGGTGACACTTGCCCCCCTTTATTTTCAAGTGTGTTTTGACCTGCTAAACATGATCAGATGCTTTCAGGGCCCATATGATCTTTGCTTTTATTGCCATGTTTAAGCTTATGGAAGATATAACACATGTGATGTAGCAAGTTGTTCTCTCTGTAATTGCAGTGGATATTAAATTTCTGTGTTTTTTCTCCTTAAAGGCCATTCATGAATCAGCGTCCTGGGACAGACATGGGTAATTGCACTGTGGATATGATCCGTGGAAGTTTTATGTGTTTATGGCTTGGGGGGAAAACAAAAAAAAAAGTCAACTGTGTTAATAATGTTGTGCCAAGCGGCCGTGTGCCTCCTCTGACCCCTCTCTGATGTTTGCACCTTTGTTGACTGACAGCCTGTCAGCACGGCGAGCGCACACACATGGCAGGCGGGTGAGACATTCCAGCTCAGACTCGTCCGGCTCAGACTCCTCTGCGGTGTCGGGCAGCAGCAGCCTGCAGTCCCGCAGCCCGAGCCGGAGCCCAGAAGTCCCGCCGGATCCTCCATCGCCCGCCGACACACAGCCACAGTGCCACGGCAAAGAGGTACCAAAGGCTGACACCGCCGCCGCCAACGCTATCTGTCGTATCCTCGCTGCCTGAGCCTGTCCTCCTCTGTTTGTGTGCCCTCGGATGAAGCCTCCGCAGGGAGTGGCTGCCTCCAGGCGGTTGATGGCAGGTGTGGGGAGGGAGAGAGGAATGAAGAATGTATGTGAGTTGGAGGGAAAAGACAGGGGGGGGGGGTTGAGGGGGGAGGTGAAGCTTTGGGAATTAGTGGCTCTGTGTCATGTCAACAGGGCTGAGTGTTCAAGGAAAGCCCTCAGGTGGTGGAAGTCATCAAAAAGTTCATTTTGAGAACTAGACCTGTTCAAAGCGTCAGCGCACAGGAGGACGTGGGACAGTTGGCTTTTATTATCTCAACCAATACTCAAAGAGTTTAGGTGCCAGTCACGGGAGTCACGATGGGTTTGCAGCGGTCCGGGGCATTGTGGGGGTTGAGACGTGGGCTATGTGTGCGATGAAGGGGGGAAACCCACTCCTCTTTTATGAATGGAGGGCCCTGTGCAGCAGCAGACTGTGTTACTACACATGCGCTATGCTTCGGGCCCCTATAGAGAGGGAGGGAGGGTGTGCACCATGTGTTCTTCATTTACGTGGAGTGTTTGTGTGTCTCCCAGGGAAAAGAGAAGGGGTTGGAGTTGTGGAAGCAGCAAATCCAGATTCCCAGGTAGTGAGGAAAAAAAGGGAGGGACAGAGGAAAGGAAGGGAGGGCAGTTGAGACGGTACAAGAGGTTTAGTGTCTTCTCTGGAAAGAGGGTGAGGAATTGGGGGAGGAGGGCGAAGGGTTAGAGAGTTTGGGTGGTGCTTGGGGGTGTCAGTGTTTGACTTGAGGAGTAGAGATTTAATTTAGCTCCTGGTCAGACAGGAAAAGAGACACGTTTTAAAGGGAAAGACATTTGCTGCACGGAGGTGAGTTTAATATGAATTTCAACAGAATCTTCAGTTTTTTAAAGTTTTACTCTGATGCTGGTGGTTTGTTAGCACGTTGCTGTGCCAAAATTAAGCGATTTAATCGGCCGAATGGAGGTTAGCTGTACAACCAGCACATATTTTAAATAATGACACAGTAAAGAGGACAGGGATGGGTTTAGTTTTTATTGGACATGAGCATTTAGAAGTAAGAGTCATAATCTCGAAGTCTGTGAGGAAAATCTTTATTGATGTGACTGTTGTGGTCTTTAGGTTGCTTTATTAGAACCTGAGGAAGTAGTATGGTTGGAACATTTTTGTGCAAGATGACTGTCATTTAGTGACAATTCTTTATTTGTAATTAATTATCACTTTCAATAGTTTTACTTTTTATTTGTTTCTATTGTTTTTGTGTTTTGTATTTTTGTATTTTGTTAATATTAGGTCAATTGTGCAGATGGAACACAGTAGATCGAATTGAACATAGAGCAATACTACTATAGATGTTGTATTAAAACAGGATCTTCCCGTTGGCATCTCTTGGAGATTGAAAAGAAAATTAGATAATAAATTAGAAATGAAAAAACGGTACAAAAAGATAAAGAAAAAATACATGTAAAAAAAAATGATTAAAAAATTCAATTATCTTTGAATCTTTGTACAACAATAATTAATATATGAAGGAAGAAAATCGTATTCCCGCCTTAAGAGAACTCTTAACTGGTAAGGCTATAAATAGTTTTATTGCATGTTATTCTGTTGTGCTAAGTATAATTATCGTCGTTATTATTATTTGTAATAGTAGTAGTCATAGATGTTATAGTAGCAGTAGTTCTTTTTTATTAAATTTAGTTTAATTTATGTTGCACCAAATCACAATGTCAGCTCTTGACACCTCAAATATACAGTCCAATTTAGGTCACTTGCAAGCCACTTTTTTTTATTACCACCGCAGTGTAGTTAAAACGAGTTTATTAAATTCCAGAATAGTAAAATTACCACAAAACCAATTAAAAAGCTTTTAGCTGGAATCATTGGATTTGCTCCAATTTCGTAGAAGGAACGTCATATTTACACAACCACACTGTTCTGTTTTTATCCAGGAAGAGTTATTTTTTATTAGGACATGGAATATACATCTATTCCTAACCATGTTTTAAATCATGTAAATACAGCTTCAGTTGTACAACAACCCACTTTCACTGGAAAGTAATACCACACGAGAGCTACAGCTATCAAATGCAAACTGTGTTTTGTATTTGTAGCCATATAATAGAACATTCTCTGAGGATTGCTTTTTGTATATAATTTTTGTTTGTATAGTGTCCACTCCATGCTTATCAGCTTCACTATAAGCAAGGATGCAGTTTATATACATTTCTAATGTTTGTCTTTTTTTCTCCCTTTTTCTGCTGGTTAAGACTGATCACCCCTCTTCCACCCAGTGGCAGTTAGATAAATGGCTGAAGAAGTCCAGGAAAAAGTCTGCCAACACTGAACAAGATCCCTCCCGGGACATTCCAGGGCGTCAGGCGTCCCCCCACACCCAGCGAGCCCCATCACCAGCCAGATCATGGGACAGCAATCAGGAGTACAGCCCGAGCCAAAGTCCGATCCCTGACCCACAGTTCAGTTACAGTCACAACAACAGCCCTCTGCCTAGCCCTGGTTACAGCTTCTGCCCAAGCCCCAGCCCCTTTCCCAGCACCTGTCCAAGTCCTAGCCCTAGTCCAAAGCTCGGCCTAATTCCAAGCCCGGCCTCAAGTGTTTGTCCCAGTCCATTTGGGAGCCCTGGAGCCAGTCGCAGCCCTAGTCCCATTTCTAGAGATCCTCCGAGAAGTCCGAGTCCAACAGTTCCTGCTCCCTCCAGAGTGAGTCGCTACCCTGAGTATCAGGGTCAGAACTTGCCCCAACCTAGACAAACAACAACCCCCCACAGGACAAAAATTAGGCAATGGATTGCTCCGTTGCCTGCCACCAGCACAAAGAGCAAGACCGCAAGTAATGGTCATCATCAGCACAGGCCCAAGACTCACCACACGCCAGACCAAGAGCACGGTCAAAGCAAGTCCAAAGTTCCAGCTGTGTTAACATCTAATCAGAGTCACAGTCACAGGTCCAGACACAAATCCACATCCTATCCAACTTCAAAACAGGTTTCCGAGACTTCCAAATCGAAAAATTCGTCACATTTTGAGCACGTCCTCGATAGCAGATCCAACCATAAGAGTTCACATCATAGCCCCACGAAGGCAAAGCACACACTCCCCACGAGTCATGAAACCGTCACTGGCCACAGCTCTCATTCCCAGTCTGTCTCTAAAGCTTCAAGCAATTCCAATTCCGGATCAAGCTCTAAGCCCGGGCCTGTCTTAAAACATCGGTCCGGGTCGTGGCAGGCTCCAGCCCAGAACCCTGCCCATGTCAATCACAGCAAAACATCACAGAGAAAGCCCCAACTTAAGGCAAACGAGGTGCAACAGAGAGATCATCCGGCCCAGTCGGAGGGGAGAAAACACGAAAGGAATAACAACAGAGGCCGTGAAAAACAACAGGGGAAACACGAAAGAAAGGAAAAAAGGAGGCTGGCGGAGGAGCAGCTACTGAGACGTCCCTGGATCCAAAGCTCGGCCGACGAAGAGGAGGAGGAAGAGGAGCAGGAGGGACCGACAGGGCAGCAGGCGGAGAGGGAGGAAACAGAAAGGAAGGACGACCGGAGGAAGAGGGAGAAACCACACGAATGGCAAACGCCGCCGGCCAAACACAGAGCTCCGACCGACTCCAGGCGGCGCCGCCTCAGTGAGGACGCTCGCAGGAGAGCGGAAAAAGGAGGGAGAGGCGAGCGCCGAGAGCCACAGCCAGTCCCATCACCCAGTCCGTCTTCACAATCCCCGACTCCTCGAAGACCATCCTCGACCTCTTCCTGCTCCTCCTCCTCCTCCTCCTCGTCGTCCTCCTCTTCCTCCTCCTCAAATTCCGACTCGGAATCGGATTCTCAGGCTCCGGTCGCCACAGTTCCGGCAGACTCCACCTCTCACAGGAGACTCATCAAAAAGGGTCAGCGGGGCCCAGGTAGGCCCGAAGGCCTCAGGCCTCAGGCGTTGCATCCCAAGGGCTCCAGCTCGGCTAATCCTGGTGAGGGGAAGCAGGGCGAAGCCAAGCAGAAACTCTACACCTTGGTCCCCTTCGGGCGAGGTAACAAGACAGCTCCCGCCTCCCAGCGAGGGCTGAGAAATCTGGTGGTTCACATAGACCTCTGTCTGCTCAAGCGGGTTCCCGACAGCGCCACGGATCCGCCCGCGAAAAAACCCTCCTCTGCCTTGTCCTCCTCATCAACTAAGGACAAGCCAAAAGAGGTTATGAAGCACACGCACGTCCCCGAAGCGCCAGCGACGGACGGCAAAAGGAAACGCAAGGTAAGCAGTGGCACCGAGCGCTCTTTACTTTCCTCCTGTGTTGAAGGTGATGCGCAGCTGTAGAGGTTTTCAGGCAGACATAAGACAGATTTTATATGTCCTGTAACAAGTCCTGTTCTTAGAAGTCTTTGTTTGATCATGTGTGTCTAGTTGGAGAATGGTGTGTCGCACAGAGAGAGCAAGAGGAGCCTTTCGTTTTCAAATGACCTCTCAGGGAACACGGAATCTGCGTCCCTCACTGCCGAGAACTTTGTAACCGAGACGACACACAACGGGTAAGAACTGCCGGCTCATCGTCGGACATTTTGGCGAACGCACTTAGAATCGGGCTTAGTCCACAAACAGGGTCATTCTCGACTGTTTAACCCAAAATTCGGAGTTGACATCGGTGCAACAAGGGGGTGCGTGCCATTGCAGGTACTTGGAGGATTACCTGGACAAGAGGCCGGTGTCTCCCCTGTCGCCGCTGTCTCCTCTGCCCCAGAGCCCCGAATCCAACAAGCCAGCGCCGAAAGCAAAAGCAGCTGAGCAGCATCACTCTCACAGCCAGAAGAGCAGGGACAAGAACAGAGATCCGGCTGTAAAGGTAGCCTTCGCTCTTACTCGTTCAGGCAGCTCCTCTTGGCGCGACAGTTTGTTTTATTTCAGCTCTCCTTAAACACAATAGCCCAAAACGGAGGTGGAGGTCGTGAAAGTGTCCAAACAGCCCCAGCCACCGTCCGAGTCCTCCTGGGCACCTGCTGGTCACAGAGGGGTCGTGCCAAACTGTGAAATGTGAGTCCAACCAGCCCAAACGTTATGGCCAGTTGGTGGCAAACACTTTGCACAGTCTTGGACATTTATGTATTTGGTTTTTTTTTCCCATTTAGTCCTCACCACGCTGAGTACTATTTACATGAAGCAAAAAGGATGAAGCACCGTGCAGACGCAATGGTGAGTTGTTTTTTTTATATATGATAGCAGAAGAAATTCTCCTCAGAGAAATACTACTGGTATTCTTTTTGCCTTAAATGAGATGTGAGATTTTATGGTAAAATAAAGTCTAATGAATCTAATAAAAATGTTAAGTAAACATCCCAGCAGCTTTAAAATGTCCAGCTTTGCTTTATATACATTTCTAGAAATGCCTTATATGTTTACATTTATACATACACAACTTCCTAAATGTTGTTGGAAAAAGTATCCATTCGAACAAATAAGATTGAATCATTACACTTGGCTGATTAGCAGTTGACAGCATCGATAGCAGTAGCCCAGTACATGGCCTGAAAAGTGAAAATCTGAGTCACTAATTACCGTATAAATCATCAGGTGACAATCAGGGGCGAGAATAAATTGGTTTTATTTTAGGAACAAAGATCAATCAAAGTCTGATCTTTACGACTTGCTGATGGGGGCGTAGTATCATGCGCACCCTGATGTTAGAAGGAAAGGAAAACTATGCATTCCAGCTCAAGATCCTTCACAGACTGTGAGACACAGTGTTACTGGTTAAATGGTTTTGGCACGCGTTGCTGTAACTGGGCCAAGATCGCAGGTTATTATTTATGGAGCAATGATTTTTAACCACAGCAGCAAATTTTAGACAAAAATGTCATGACAACTCTCCGTGAACCGAGTCTCAACAGAAAGTGAGTCATACAGCAAGACCCCAGACTGGTAGAAGAATGGAGTTACTGTTTTGGAACTGCGAAGTTGAAGTTCTGACCTTAATCAAATAGAAAAAGCTGTTAGAGACCCTTTAGTGAGGGGTTCATGCGAGGAAATTCTCTGAATAAGCTTAGGTTGCAAAACAGGTCTGGTTAAAAATTCCTACATGTGTCGTAGTTTTTGAATAACTTTAACTAATAAAGTACATTGTTGCTTCGGAAAGTGTTTAATTTAAATGTCTTTGCTACACTTCCATCTTATCTAGAAATCTGAAGAGGAAATGGGCTACATTTAAGCAGAAATGTAAGGAATTTCTGAAATCTGGCCAAATTTCAAGCACTGTCATGCAGTTGTTAAAAAATTCAATGATTAATCAGGGTTTATTTTAGAATGAGAAAAAAAGAGCAACATTTTGATGAAAACTAGTCCTTTTATGTCCTGTCTCCCTATATGCTAGATTTGCCTTCTGAATTCACTTACAATTAAATTAAACTTATTTGAATCTTCGATAGTTTCCATATCTTTAAATCCCCTTCATGCTTTTGTCCATTTCCCCCCAAGGTGGACAAGCTGGGAAAGGCTGTGAACTACATTGATGCTGCTCTGTCCTTTATGGAATGTGGGAAAGCGATGGAGGAAGGGCCACTGGAAGCTAAGTCTCCTTATACCATGTATTCCGAGACAGTGGAGCTGATCAGGTGAGTCGCGTCGGCTAACGGTGTTAGAATAGAGATCACTCATCGGCGTACGGAATGCAAATAGCGGCTTTACTAACTGTGCTGTGACTTCAGGTACGCGATGAGGCTAAAAAGCCACTCTGGCCCTGGAGCGAGGCCAGAAGACAAACAGCTGGCGGTTCTGTGGTGCGTCCATCATCACCTCTGTTCGTGGCACATCAATCATCACAGCAAAGGCCCAGCATTTCGGGGATGATTTGTGGCCCGTCTGAATTTTCCCTTTGTGTGTCCAGTTTCAGATGCCTTGCCCTCCTCTACTGGCAGATGTTTCGCTTAAAGAAGGACCATGCACTGAAGTACTCCAAAGTGCTTCTCGATTATTTCAAGGTAAATAAAAAGACGCAGAGTAATTTCATCCCCTGTTTTAAACATTTTGTTTTCAAGGATTGTAACTTTTTAAAGGTATCTAGAGCAGTACTTCCAAACCCCCGCAGCTGGTGAACGCATGAGGTGTTGCCATTTCCTTTGTTGAAGTTAAACTTTTTAATGATTTTTTTTTGCATCAACAAAGTAATTCCCCAGGTAAAGCATGGCTGCAACAGGTCTAACAGAGAGACAACTCCTTTTTAGAAACCCGGACCTCAACATTATTAAGCACTCTGGGGTCATCTTTTCAGAGAATAATACAAAAGGGCATCTAACATCCAAAGAAGAACTTTTGGATGTCTGTCAAGAAGCTTGGAGAACCATTAACTTCTCAATTAAGACCAGGACAAGAGGCTTATCCTAGAGGGTTCAGGGATATTGGCAGATTATTCTACGTTTTTATCCATGTTTGCACATGAGAAACAGGGGCTGATCAACCATTTTTCCAAGTACTGTAAGTCAGAGTGACTGTAATATCTGTATTTTTTCTTTTTATTAGAGTTCTCCCAAAGTGCCTACAACACCACCTGGCTGGAATGACTCTGAGAAGTAAGTGGATAACAAATGAATCGACCTTTTTCTAATGACTCTCTCTTGCTCCGTTGACATCCCTGAAGGTTACTGACCGTCATCACTCTGTCTCGCATGGTGTTTCTCCTTCAGGGCCACTGGAGGACCCCCGTCATCACTCTCCCCTAACGCCAAACATCATGGACGGGGTTCGCACAAAGGACGCAGCCCTGTTTCTCTCATCAGCATCCCCCAGCGTATCCACCAGATGGCAGCCAATCACCTGAACATCACCAACAGTGTCCTGTACAGCTACGAGTACTGGGAGGTAGCAGACAACCTCGCAAAGGAGAATAAAGGTCTTTATTTTTTAGCAAATCAAATAAAAAAACAAAAGACGCAACCATTCCTGCTGCCAGAGATTTTAATCGATCTACCCTTTCTCCTTACAGAGTTCTTTAACTACTTGAATACTTTGTCGGGACCACTTACTCTTCACAGTAGCATTGGTCACACTGTCCAGTACACCAGACAGGCTCTTCAGTGGATACGCATCAGTGCCAAACTCAACTAGCTCGGAGAGGACTGACCTTAAACCTGCTCACTGTGCATCACGGCCACGTTTTTGTGGGAAGAGGCAAAAAACCCGGTATCTCTATGCAGCTAACGGTACGGTGCCAGTACCCGATGGAAGGTGTGGAGTGGTTTTGGATGGAGTCCCGCTGAGCCAAGTGTTGGGACGCAGACAGCTGGGTGTGCTCTGAGCACACCTTGTGAAGGAGCAAACATCTGCTTGCCTCTGTCAACCTACTTCTTAGATGATGGAATTGCTGGAAGAATTCTGTCCATTGCGGATGTCAGAGGTTTCTAAGCGTTTGCCAAAAAACTAAACAGAAACTTGCAAGGCCTTTTTTGATATTTTGATATTCATCATTTTCTTGCGACCTTTTTGTCTGGGGCCAAAATCATTGAAGTGGGGGCTTTAAAAAAATAGAAAAATAAGGAAAATTTAATCATAAATGATTTTCTACAGAGTGGGAAATTATTTTTTGTGACTTTTCTATTTTTTAAATTTCTTTTATTTTGTACCCTTTATGTGTTTTTACTGTGCAATATTTAATTGAAATATTTTTGTTTTAAAAAGTACCAATCGAAGAGTTTGACAAATATATTTTTTTGTTTGATTTTTATATTGGATCTGCTCATAAAACATTAAGGTAAGCTGTCATAAACCAGATACCCTCATAATAGGTTCTCTTTCTTGGCTCTAAATTGAGAATGTACCATGAGTATCGCTGGTAGTGACCTCCTGAGAAACCGGTAGATTGTGTTTTATCCTGAGAACAAGACCACTGTGAAGTTTTCCGTCAATCCTTTCAGTCCTTTTTTGAAACATTGGGTCACAACAGATGATGGTAGCGATTCAGAGCAGTTGTTTTGACACAAGTATTTGAGTCTTTTGACACACTCCTAATGCAACATTGTAAAAACACTTCATTTTAGCAAATGTGATGCATTAAAAATGTATTTGTATTTGAAACAATATGACATCATGGGCTGGTTCTGATTCTGTTATTACTTATCATCAAACATAGCACATTATGAGCTGTATTTACTGTTAGTGAAGCTGTTTAATATCGAAGGAGATTATTATACATCTACAGGGGTTGTGAGATCATTTATAGGGTGGAAAAAAGCAACAAAAAAACAAATGCGTTTTCAGACAAGATCATTTATCTTTGATTAAAAGAAATGTTCTGGATCATGTAAAGAACATGTGAGAGGTTTAGATCGAAAACTGAGATTTGTTCCTAAAAACAACTAGATTTAAAAGCAGCTTCTTGTGATATCAAAAGCTTTTCATTTTTTAATGCTTTTCATTAAACAAAATACTCAATGTTAAAGTTACTGAAACCGTACTGAAATACGTACAGTGGAGATATACAAACAATATCAGAATAGGGGGCACACTGCAGGTGCTGCTTTTTGGAGTAAAGAACCACTCTCACTTCTTGTTTCCTGAGTTCTCGGTTCTTGCTTTAAACTGTGCTTCTGAACCTGCTGTTGAGCGTGGGTGTGCATACAGTGAGCACCCTCGATACTGGGACTTTTGCATCATTGTCGGTAATCTTGTCCTAGGATGTCCCAGATATACACAAATGTCTGAGAATCACTTCACAGAAGGCCGTCTTGCTACTGTCTCCATAGTCTTTAATGGAAAAAAACTTGCTTTCAAGCCGCTTTTCAAACTGACACAACTCAAGTGTACATCCCCTCAGATAACATTCGACTGGATTACTCTAAATTTATTTATTTAGAGATTTACCCTAATCAAAACAAAGAGACCAGCTAAACCACTGCCCTACACACAGCTTCTTCATTCAAATGTGTCATAATTTACTCTGTGATGACTTGGGTCTCCCTGTCAACAGGTACTAGTCACACAAATCACACACCTACACACACAACTCTCAGTACTAAGTGGAGCCATTATCGGGCAGCTCGGTGATCTAGCACATCATATTGCACCAGTACTGATATCGCAGGCGACTCTCAGCATCCCATGTCTGGCAGCACAGCAACAGAAAAGCCCCGATAACGTCCCTCATTAGAAATAAGGTCAACAGTATCCTGGCTATTTCCATACTATTCCGATCCCAGACAATGGTGGTTATTTTTAAATCCCCGAAATATGAGCCACTGTGGACTATTTCTCATCTTAAGTGGTGGTCGCGCAGCAGACAGATGTGAGGGGGCTTATCCACTTTATCTTCTGCCGTCTTACTTCACATGCAAGAAAGCAAACGGGTCACGTGACCAAAGCAAACCAGAGGCTGAGCAGCTCTCTGAACCCAGAGCTTATTTCTCCATTATTCATAGCGCCCCTAATTATTGGGGGGAAGAGGGAGGGGGGGGGACTGCAGCAGCCGTGACATAACGTGTCATTTCTTTTCCTTACGACTGCACCATATAGGACTATTTTTGTCTCGATGAAGCTGCTACTGGCGCGTTCAAGCCGCACGTGCCTCTGCGTCACGGCGGCTTCGTTACCTTCGCGACGGAGCGCGCGGTGCCGTCTGAGGACAATGGCTCTCGCGCCCAGACAGCGCCCGCACACACGCCGAATGCAGCAGATGAATAAACATTTGCCCAGACCGCTACCGGCCGTCTGCCGTACGAAAGCAGGTAGCGCAGGACAACTTTGTCCGCCGGCCCTCCTGCCGGAAGGTGAACAATGGCAAGCGCCAAACGGTTAGACGAACAAAAGCCAGCAGTTATAGCCACGGTCGTTTCCTCCGTGTCCAGTCACCGAGCAGCGTAGCTGGACGCTGCGCGCGCGCTTGTGCGCGTGTGAGACAGGGAGAGTTCGACTGTCCGGAGTTTCCGTTAACTATTGTGCTATATTCTGATGAGATGTGCTCCGTTCTCCGCGCAGCGGCAGTATTTCAACGCTACTTGAAACTGAAAACAAGAAGCCGGGGCGGCATGAATCAAGCTAGGAATGAAACCCGGAAGTTGCCCCGACCGCGGTTTTTACAAGTAAAAGGCTTTTTTTTTTTCTTTTTTTTTTTTAAATAAAAACGTTTACGTTTAAAGAATGCGACGTACAAAATGTTACATTCTGATGCATTTCACCACACATAGAATACCTTGCTTGACACTGAAAAATATATCTTCTCAAAATGATAACATAGTGAATAGAAATAATCAGCAATTACAATACATTCTCAGCTACAGACACTTTGGCTCTGTTTACTTTGCTTCTAAAGGATGGAACACTCAAACGGGTTCTTCAGGGTGAAAATCTCTCAGTGACAAATTTTATCAACAAGGAATCTCTTTGACCTCCACAGTTATGAATTTGCCTTTGTGGGAATGAGACAGCAGTGCTGTTACCAAAAAATCCTCTGTGCAAGGATGGATTATTAGGCAACAAGTTCCTTCTCCTTTACAAATTATGGAGATGGACGAGAGAAGGACAAAACATCTACAAACAAAGCTCACGTGTTTTAGTCTTTGCTGTTGTTTGCAATTGAGAACAACTACATCAATTACTATATGCTATGGCAATAATTGATTGAGTGGATTCAAACTGTGTAGAATTACCTGGTTCTTACTATGCGGTACAGCTACAGCAACATAATGGAGCAATATTGCCAAGGTAGACACATAAGCACATTATTACACCAAGCTTGACTTATAAGTCATAAATGTAAAAAAGAACACATTAAATTTTTTCAAAAACAAACAAAACGAGAATATGCACAAACATACCTAGTTTAAATGACAATAAACTACTTATGTTTTCACATTATATTTAACTTTTTTTTTATCAGTTGCAGGGATCGTATTGTGTACACCTGAATATCTATTAGACGAGAATGAATGTTTTGTAATTTTGCTCCATCGTTGATAAATTCCACCTACCGGTTTCAGCGACTCGTTTTATGGAAGTAAATATGTGCCATCAGAATTTGAATAAAAAATAACTCCGAAATTTGAATGTTGTATATTAGTGCTTACTTTTTCAGTATTAAAATAAATTCAGAATATATTTTTAACCTAAAAAAAATTCAATGTCATTATTTGCACATTAAAATAAAAATTCAGTGTAATTTTTTTTACATGGTTGCAATTTTCAGTCATTAAAAAAATTCACATTCCTATTTCAAAGTGATCAAATTTTCAATATACATATTTTTCACAGTTTAAATTTTCAGTGTTAAAAAATTCTGCATATAAAAATTTCAATTTTTCAAAATTCTAATGCATTATTTTCGTTGTCCTCCAATTCAACTTGCTCAAATTCGCTGTCTCAAATTCAGCGTCTAAAAATTCGCTGTAAAAATGGCCAATGTTACTTCGTGTCACAGACATTAGCAATGGATGTCGGATTCCAACACCCACCTAATCACGTGACACAACCGTCATATTGAAGAAGTACCAGTATCACCCATGGAGGCGAACTCAAACCCAACGGTGAGTTTAATGCTTTCATATTTCTGTAGTATATTTTATTTTGCGCATGAAGTTTGATACATTATCTTAAAGCCTGATTTAAAACACTGGTTTGGGTCACGTGATTAGGTGGATGTTGGAATCGGACATTCATTGCTAATGTCTGTGACACGAAGTAACATTGGTCATTTTTACAGCGAATTTTTAGACGCTGAATTTGAGACAGCGAATTTGAGCAAGTTGAATTGGAGGACAACGAAAATATTGCATTTGAATTTTGAAAAGTAGAATTTTTTATATGCAGAATTTTTTAACACTGAAAATTTAAACTGTGAAAAATATGTATATTGAAAATTTGATCACTTTGAAATAGGAATGTGAATTTTTTTAATAACTGAAAATTGCAACCATTTAAAAAAAATTACACTGAATTTTTTTTTTATGTACAAATAATGACATTGAATTTTTTTTAGGTTAAAAATATATTCTGAATTTATTTTAATACTGAAAAAGTAAGCACTAATATACAACATTCAAATTTCAGAGGTATTTTTTATTCAAATTCTGATGGCACATATTTACTTCCATACATTTCCACCGATGCTTTTATTTTTGAAAAATCTCCCCGGAAGTCCTTGGCTTCGCCCGGCGAGCTTCACGCGCTGAGAAAAGAGAAGGCAAATGGATCAGGCGGTGGAAATGGAGAGCGAAAGGACTGGGAGGGTGAACAAAAATGTTCAGGAGACATGGCGTGGCAGCGTGACACAATAAAGGAATCCCTGCTCACCGAAAGGACTGCGCCGGAGGAACAAGTCAAAGCCCGGGAGTCGAGCTGTACGTGTGGAGGATTTCCATTCCTCTCTGCTTTGGTCTTTCCTCGTTTTACCTAATCAGTGCGCACACACCGTCTCCGCTGAGCAGGATCTGCAGGGAGAAGTCTGTGACCAGCAACCTCGTCTGACAGCGTACAAGGTAATAAACAAACAAACAAACTAGTGACTTCCCTTGGCTAACAGTCTCGGGACTGTTGCCTGTTTGCTGTCACGGTCGAAACAGCGCCGAAGTTCCTCAGTAGGACACCCTGTTCATTTTTTGGTTAGCTGGTTTTTTATCAGCATTGTTAGCAAGTGCAGTCAGAACAGTTGGGCTGCTTCGTTTTTGAACGGAATTCAACCCGAGGCGGCGTGCTCGCGCGACATGCCTGTTAGTGCGCGAGCGGAGCGGAGCGGCTAGGCTAAGGCTAGCAGCTAGCGGGCAGACGGACGGACGGACGGACGGACGGTTGGGGCTGCCACATGGGGCTGTGTTGTTGTCAGCGACCTGTCAGTGGTGATGTCTGGCCGGACACACGGTCCCCCGTCCGTCCGAGGTGGGCAGCGCTGTCGTGAAGTCCCGCACATCCCCTGCGCGCGCGCTCTTACCTTAACGAGGCATCGGTGGACGTGACCATGTCATCCGGCGGGCTCAAGACAAAGTTTTGTAAACAAACTCAAACCCAACAAGGTTGATTATGGACTTAGTCTAAAACGCAAAGATGTAGCGTGGAATGCCCGAACAGCGAGATTGCAATCGATTGGTGCGGTTACGATCGTGGTAAAAAGAAGATGAATTCATTTTTCATTGAATTGATTAAGTCTGGAACGTGAGTGGGTATTCACTCATGTGCTGTCATTGAAGAATTGCTGCTGTTTGCCTTCAGGTTCCTCAGTATGAGTCGAGATGGGTGGATGAAGAAGAAAGCCAACGCCAGTGATGACAATGGTTGGGCTGAGAGGGTGAGTGTCAGAAAGATCATGTCTGGGCTGGGAGAGCTCCACAAAGCAGAACAAGAACACAAGATATAGATAAACTAGAGATCAAATGTGTGAGGGGGTCTGCGCATTCTGTGTCTTTGCCCTTAACTTGATGCAGACCACTTTGCACTGGTTTTCTTCTTTTTGCACGTTAAAAAAATCACAGCTAAAAGAGACAAAAGTACCTAAGGAGGTATGGTTGGACAGCCAACATGGTTCCTTTTTTACAGCTCTTTTAAAATTGAGCCACACTTTTTAAATTAACAAAAAAATTCTGCTTGGAATTGTCCGACAGAATTAAGTGACACTGCCCTTACTGACCTTTCACCCGCGCATACGCTGCTGTTTGATTCTCGCTGGATGATTCCCGTCCTCTTTGGCCTGAATCATATGTTGTTTTTGTACTTTCCCTCTTTAAATGGTAGCCTTTACTTAAATGTGCTTTAGCACGGACAAACTGTCTTCTCTGATTTTCACGAGAATTCCTGAGCCAACTAAGTAATTCTAGCTGTTTGAATTGTCTCTTTCAAATGCTGCATCATGTGACTGCCTGAAGACAATTTTACTTATTCTTCATGGTGGCATCAAATAAGAGAGATTTTCTTTCAATATTTGCACTATCTGTGCTATTTACTGTGAAACAAAAAGTTAAGATAATATTTAGTTAATTGCATTCAGACTCCAAATTTTGGCTCAGGTAAATCACTAAGATGGCGTCTGTTGTTTCCTCGCTAATGTCTAGCTGTTATTTACCTTGTCGGTCACGCTCCTCCCCTGCAGGGCGGCTACATGGCTGCCAAAGTGTCGAAACTGGATGAGCAGTTTAAATTGGATGCCCCGAGAGAAAAGCAGAAGGAGGGAGCGAGTTCCAGCATCTTCAGCGGAGTGGCTATTTATGTCAATGGATACACAGGTAGCTGCTCACACATGTGGTCATGTCACCCCTGATAGTGAGTCTCAAAGGGCAATGTGTGTTCCACAATACAGAAAACAAACACGATTCACGATTCCTAGCCTGCCCAGTGCATTTATTTTAGAGTCCTGTTCTTATTTTCTGCCATCAGACCCAAGTGCAGACGAACTCCGCAGACTGATGATGCTGCACGGAGGTCAGTTCCACGTCTACTACTCGCGCTCCAAGACCACCCACATCATTGCTAGCAACCTACCCAACAGCAAAATCCAGGATCTCAAAGGGGAAAAAGTCATCGGGCCAGCGTGGATCACAGACAGGTGCGTTCAGCGTGGACGCAGTCGGGCTGAATCTGTGCCCCGCGTGCTGAATTTCTCCGTTTGTGTTGTTTTTCCCGTGTAGTATTAAGGCTGGGCGTCTGCTGCCTTACCTGAAGTACCAGCTGTACTCTAAACACAAGAACACGCTCTTTCCCGGCACGGCCTTGGAGGTTGCAGGCCCGAGCCGCGGCCCCTTTCAGGCGCTTGTTCCCCAAACGCGTCGTCTGCCGCAGCACAACACTGAGCTCTGTGTTCCCCACAATGGGCTGCCCTCATCCGGCCGCCAGAACAACTCCATCCCTGTCCTCAACCACAGGGGAGCTCACCCTCAGCCCGCCCAGCACAGCTCCGAGGCTCGCCCGGGTCACCCCCGACCGGCCCATTCAGCATCCCTTCAACCCATTACAGATTCCAGGCACAGGGCGCCTTCACACACGGGGAGCTCACACAACTCCCTGCCTTCTCCTCACCCACAGCAGGAAGAATGGAAAACGTGAGTAGTCAGTGCTTAAACCGTCATTCTCTTTTCCAAATTTAAGGAAAAAGCAAGTGGAGAAGTTGCCATCAAACACAGAAACTTTTCTTAATTTCCTTTTTTTTTCCAGAAAAATGGACAGAAACGGACTACTGCGGACCTCACTAGATATCATTAGCCATTCAATAAGGACAGAAACGCATGAGTGTGGGGGAAACGATCCTCATGGCCCCGAAGCGTCTGAAAATAAGTCTCCCTTGACCAATGGACACCCTCCCCTTATTGACAGTGCCTTAAAGCCAGAGGAGCTGTCCCCTGTGACGGATCAGTCCTCTTCCAATAGGGACATGCCCCAATGCAGAATGAAGAACTCACCGGATAAACCTCAGAGCCCTCCAGTGCGGACCCAGACCAAGCCAGACCCATATGAGTTTCCCCTCAGCCCTCCGAAGCAATCTGACCCATCCCCGGGTTTTGGGGGACAATCCAGCACGCAAGGAGCCACTGACAAGACACCGATACCTCCGCCTCCCACCTTCCACGAGGCCATCGAAGCCGGTCAAGTCCAGCTTCTCCCTCAGCAGCTTCAGCCACCCCCTCAGGTCGACGCTATTTCTGAGCAGGCTCATCGTTCCCATGCATCTTATGCCCGTCCACGTTCTTCCGGTCGACCGAACGGAAGCTACCACACTGCCTTGTCCCCTGGCCTGGCCTCCCCCGGCACGGCCACTCGGACAGCCGGACCCCGGCCTCCTGCTGACGGGTCGCCGTCCAAGGCTCCGGCGCCGCTGCTGGAGCAGACCGGCGGCCTGATCTCCGAGTTCTACTCTCACTCCCGCCTGCACCAGATCTCCACGTGGAGGATTGGCTTCTCCGAGTATGTCAATAACCTCCACAGCAAACAGAAAGCCGTAGGGGGCACCTCCTACCCCGGGAAAGATCGTTTGAGGAAATCCGTGGCTCAGCGGTCTGCACACTGCCAAGGTAAGAACAGGGCTGCATCGCCCACTTTTTACCTCTCACTGATCCTCTTACTCTGACCGGCTGCAGTTCTGTCAGAGATCCTCCCCTTGTGGCTTATATTTCTTTAAACGTGCTTGATTTGGAGATGTTCCTGCAAAGCGAAATGAGGAAGGTCTGACGTCGATGCATGTTCCTAGTTATCAAAAGCAGATTCATCCACTAATGATTGGATGCGTCTTTGTGCACATCAGGTACATCAGCACCAGTCACCGTTAAGTCTTGCATCCTCCACGTGGATATGGACTGCTTCTTTGTGTCCGTTGGGATCCGACACCGACCAGAACTTAAAGGTAAAGGTTCATGAAAATTTTTAAAAATCGTTGTATTTATCACAAGAAATGAGGACACGTAGTAAGTCGGTCGCTGCTCCTGGCTGAACTTGTGGTTTCCCAGGGAAGCCAGTGGCTGTTACCAGTAACCGTGGACAGGGCAGAGTGCCGGTCAGGCCTGGAGCTAACCCTCAGCTGGAGCTGCAGTACTATCAGAGCAGACGCACGCTTCCTGGGCCCGGTAAGCGTGAGCGACCCTCAGTGTTCATCACGAGATGTGACGACTCTGACGGGCCTGCCTCTCCCTATGCATTCTACACGCTTTAACACATTGTAAAGAGGAGTAATCCTGCTGTTTATCAGAGAGTGCAGAGGACGATCTACACACCACACCCTCACAAGAGAGTCCTGATTCGTATTCCAATGGAATGAACCTGGATGCCGCTGCTCTCTCCATGGCAGAGATAGCTTCCTGTAGTTACGAGGCGAGGTAAGATGTTGATACTGATCAAATCGTTTTACCCCTGTGCGGATTTGAGTCGAAAGGCTTTTTTTATTTTTTTGTACAGGCAGGCGGGCGTGAGGAACGGCATGTTTTTTGGCAAAGCCAAACAGCTGTGCCCGTCACTACAGTCTGTCCCATATGATTTTGAGACGTATAAAGAAGTGGCTCTGAGCATGTATGAGATTCTTGCCGGGTAAGAGTCTTTTTTTTTTTTCTTCAATTTTTTCTTCTTAAAAAAGATAACACCAGTTCTTCTTTATTTGCTCTTTCCAGTTACACACATGACATAGAGGCTCTGAGCTGTGATGAAGCGTTGATAGATGGCTCCACTCTGCTGGCAGAGGTGGGCATAAGCCCAGATGACCTGGCCCAGGCCATCAGAGCCGACATCAAGGAGAAAACGGGATGCAGTGCATCAGTTGGCATGGGTGAGCCTGCGTGCTGCCCCTCACCTCGTTTGGAATCAGGTCACCCGTCGCATTTTGTGAATTCAACGTGTGATTTGTTCAGGGTCCAACATCCTTCTGGCTCGACTGGCGACCCGTAAGGCCAAGCCAAACGGGCAGTACTTCCTCAAATCTGAAGAGGTGGACGATTTTATCAGGGACCTCCCAGTGACCAGCCTGCCAGGTAGATCTGCAGCACCGGCCGCCGATTAAAGCCGCCATCACACGCTGTATGAGTGAAACGAAACTCTCTTTAAAATGTTTATGCCGCTTCTCTCCAAGGTGTTGGGCATGTTATGGGCAAAAAGCTGGCTTTTATGGGCGTCAAGTCGTGCGGAGACCTCCAGCAAGTGTCTTTATCTCAGCTGCAGAAGAGGTTTGGGCCCCGGACCGGACAAACCCTGTTCCGCTTCTGCAGGGGTATGGATGACCGGCCCGTTCGCCACGAGAAGGAAAGAAAATCTGTCTCTGCTGAGATGAACTACAACATTCGCTTCAGTAAGGTTAGGCCTTTTTTATTTATTTTTTTTTAAAGAAAAAAGAAATCTCAACCATTCCTGCTGCCTTATTTTATCCTCTTGCGTTATCCCTCTCCAGGTTGATGAGGCCGAGTGTTTCCTGACTAATTTATCCACGGAGGTGCAAAAACGCTTACAAGAAGCAGGACTGAGGGGTCGCCGGGTTACCCTGAAGGTTATGGTCCGAAAGGTGGGAGCGCCACTGGAGCCGGCGAAATACGGTGGACATGGCATATGTGATAACTTAGCCAGGTAAAGAAGTAATGTTACCTCCCCACCACACACACACACACACACACACACACTGCACATTTGAGGTGAGTGATAACAGCATGGGTTTAATTCCCTGTTCCCTCATCTCTGTCTGCCAGGACCGTGATGCTCGCTCAGTCCACAGACAGCGGTCAGCTGATTGCCTCCGCGGTCATCAAGCTGTTCCACGGCATGAAGCTGCAGGTGCAAGACATGAGAGGGGTGGGCATCCAGGTTCAGATGCTCGAGGGAAATCACGCTGCCCCCCAGGACTGCCAGGGCTCTGGAACGCGCTCCATCAAAGACATGTTGTTAGGGCAGGGATCAGGTGCTAGGACCAATGGCAAAGGTTTGTTTTCTCTCTGCTACACAGTGTTTGTTCTTTGTTTTTTTTTAGCTTAAAAATGTCAACGGAGCCGTGCATAATTGTCACAGATGCTGCAGACACTCGCCAAGAGCAGCCTTCCACATCAAGAGGCCCCTCAGCTGTTTCCACGCCGCGTCCCACGTCACCCGGCGAGCCAACCCCAGGAACAAGCAAAGAGCAGCCGGCCTGCCGACAAACACCAAAACATTCCCGAGCGCGCCTCAACTTCAGCATTGAAATCCCCTCCCCCTCACAGGTAAATCCCCCTCAGAAACCCGCCGACCGATGGCAGAGGAGCCGATCGGCGGGATGTTTCTAACATGCCGCCTGTCCGAAGGTGGATCGCTCTGTGCTGGACGCGCTGCCCGCCGAGCTGAGGGAACAGGTGGAGCAGTCGTGGACTAAGAGAGACGGGAGATCGAAGAACTGCCGTTCGCCAAGTCTGCAGCTTTCCTCACCCAACCCACATCCCGCCTCCCCTCCTCATCCTGCACCGTGCACGCCACCGGCTGGGACAATACTCCTTCAGATTCCAAACCAGCCAGACAGCCCAGGAATTGTACTGGAACTACCAAACTTCTCACAGGTAAGGACACAGGGGTTTTTCATGGATACCGCATTTATATTCGAGACCAATTAAAGAATGAAAAACTTTACTGTGTATTTAGTGACTTGACATACCTGATACATTCACATTCTTGATCATCCTACTCCATTGTTTTGTACAGGATGTAGGTTTTGACACTTAGCAACACAAACAAATAGTTATCTGGTAGTAACAGAGTGAGTAATGGTACTTTTAAACAGGCCCCAAAACAAACTAATTAACCATATCAGTGTTTTCCACTCTGATCAATGTCTTCTATTGCTATTACAGGTTGATCCAGATGTATTTGCTGCCCTTCCCAAAGAGCTACAGGAAGAACTGAAGTCTGCCTACAGTCGTGCAACAGATGCTCAACCCCAAGTGAAAATAGGTGAGTAAACAGGTCAGAGATCTTCTTGTTGTTTTGCTCCTTCCAGCAGCCATATTCCATACAACATGGCGTCCTTGTTTGCTAGTGATGGAGCCGAAGAATCCCCTGCTGCAGCTGAAGCAGCCTGGGCTGGGAACGGCCATCGGCCAGGTGAAACGGCGCTACAAGAGGAAGAATGCAGTCAGTCCTCTTAAAAAAGGAACTTCACCCCTGAAGAGACGCCAAACGACAAACAGCCCAGCCAAAATAACACCACTGCCCACACGGCCCCGGGAACCAGTAAATATACCAAAGGTGGGTCAGTTCATGGTCTCATCCAAAAGTTGAAGGTTTGTTGTTTAGTTTTTTTCTTTGTTTTTTAACAAAAAACCAAAATGCATGGCAGTTTGGCACTGAAATTAGCGCAATACCTACTCCTGGTTTTCCTCCTCAGACTGAAAATGGTCCGTCCACTTCTAAACCAGACGTCCAGGTGTCTGTGGCGAAGCCAGTTCCTCGTCCTGTTCCAACGCTGGCTGGAGCGTGCGAGCTCATAGACATCAAAACGCTTATGCGGGAATGGGTCACTACAATAACAGGTTACATGTTTATGAACAGATATTTTTCATCCGCGCAATCCGTCTTTGTGTGTGTGTGTGTGTCAGTGTGTGTGTATGTATTTTCAAAAATTATTTAAAAAATGCCCTCCTTTATTAGAACCCATGGAGGAGGACATCCTGCAAGTGGTGAAATATTGCACTGATTTGATTGAGGATAAAGATCTGGAGAAGTTGGATTTGATCATTAAATATATGAAAAGGTAAGTTCTCTGTAGCTTAATCTTCTCCAGTAACCGAAATGTGTCTTCCGTTATTTGAACGTGCCAGTTCTCTCCGGCAGGCTCATGCAGCAGTCGGTGGAGTCTGTCTGGAGCATGGCGTTTGACTTCATCTTGGACAACGTGCAGGTGGTTGTGCAGCAAGTTTACGGAAGCATCCTGAAGATGACGTGAAGAAGGAGCGCAGAGTGTTTTCACCGTGTGCCGTCGATACAGCAGCGGTCCTTTGCTTTTTTAGCTGTTTTAGCACTGCCGAATCCCCTGGTGTAGTAACAGCAGGAAATCGCACTAAATGAGAAAGAGCTATGACAGTATTCGAAAAATGTATGTATAATGTTTGTGTTTTAACCAACTTGAACTTGCTATCGGCTCACGACAACCCAAATAACTAAGAATTTTTTGCATGCTTATCCTTTTCTTTGTCCGTACTCAATTCTGGTTTGATTTCTAAAGCATCCATTTGAGCCTGCTCTTGTAACGTTTAAATATCTCTTGTTAGAGAGTTACCACTTACGTAGCAGTTGATTTATTTCAATTTATTTAAGTATTATGTTACACAAAAAGACCTACAGCGATAAAATGCAATTTCTTTTAATTTCTTTGTCCTTGTAGCTCTCTTCAAGACATTTGAAGATACACAAAAATGGTGTAAAAAATCAATGTTTCTTCATCATTGTTAGTTTGGTGCTCTTCATCATATATCTGTGAAATATTTGCAACAGCTGCAAACAGTAGGATTTCTTTTTTTTCCTCATCCCTGTCAAAAAAAGTGCCAAGCCTTGTTACTATAGTGTAAATAATGTTTTTAAAGATCCTTGTCAAACATTTTGAAAGGAAAAAAATGTGTATGTAGAGGAATTGCCTCTTTTATTGTTTACTTGTAGTGAATTCTTAGTAACTGTCAGCAAATTGTTACTTTTCTCACTCTAATTTTTTTAGTGTTCCAACATGGAAATCAAAAGCTAGCCAAAGTAATTTTTTAAAGGTTTAGCTGTTGATTCTTGGTAGCACTCTAATTTCAAATTACATCAACAAGAGTCATGGCAATCAAGCAGCCTATGCATTTTTCCTTTATTTTTTTCTCTTCTCTAACAATTGAGCTTTTTCCTCGCGATAATGTAACAACTGTAATTGAGCAATTGTATTGGAGGAAATCCACCGTTGTAGTGTTTGTTTTGTTTTTGGTAATGTTTTTTTTACTTGTTTCTTGTGTCTGATCATTGAAATAATGCTGGAAACAAGTGATCCGATTTATAACTCTGTGGCCCATCTTATGCCGCTCACACCATGGGGACACTATGGCATGAGGCTACATTTCTGTATTTCTTCTGTGTTCATCCTGTACAATGTATCATCGAAAGCACCCAGGAGACGCTGCTGGCTGACCTCTGATCTCTCCATGGAAGATTTTATGTACACGGTTGAAGAGTTTGTTTAAAGCAGTATCCTTATGCAAACCCAAACCAGAACTGTTTTCTTTTTTTAACACTTGTTGAAATGAATGTAACTTTGAATGTGCTCGTTTGCATTCACTCTCAAGATGTTCTTTGTCTTCGCCTGTCGCATATTTCATGAAAAGAATGGCCACGAGTAAAAACTGGCCAGGGTTCTGTTTTCTAAACTGGCTCGTGCCTGAAGACCTGAAGCTGTGAACTTGTTTGTAAGTTTTCTAAACCTTGGTAATAAACTGAAAAGTCTGTATGAATCTATTTGTCCTGGGTTCTTAATAATGGCAACTAAGGTTGCAAAATTTGACAATATATAGAAATCAGGCATGGAAAATAAATTTGTAAGCACCTTTTTGTTTTTGTTTTTTCAGAGTAAATGGAGAAGATTATGTATGAACCTTATAGTTTATAATAGGTTTCTCAAAGAGACCAGAATAGTCATATTTTAACTGACAACTGTTCCTTTTCTAAATGCCATATTTATATATAATAAAAAGGAAGGGTTTCTATCAAGTATGCTTTACTGGATATTAAGGTGTTAACTAATCCAAAAGACATTTTAAATTTAAAAAATGGTTAAAAAAACCCTTCCGTTTGCCTTTTATTTGATAAGAAACCCGGAAATAGTTTCATATTTCCTGTTTGACGTCATAACTGCAGCAACCGTTTCGCGCACGAACTGTAACCGGGAGTTATACGGTAATACGTACTTGAATTTTGAATATATTATGGTACATTTAATTCTGTAACAACACAATAATCATTTGTATTGTAATTTACCCCATGTTTGTGTTTTGCGTGTTTTTCAGGATTATATTTGTGGAAGGGCTAACGTTAGCCAGCTAGCATACAAGTAAACGCAGTGTATGGTATTTTATAGAATGTGGCATCAGTTGCTTCGCTTGAATAAATATTTCTTCTCATGATGTATACCGGTGCACGAAGTTTAAAATTATATGTCCACGAGGTAACAGTTGTAATAGACAACTACGTAGCTTGCACCTAGCTCTCTCGCTAGCTAGCACTCAGGTTAAATAAGGAGTGCCCTTTGTTAGCTGCTGGTGCTCAGTTTAAGTTACAATTACTATAAAGGATACTGGTTGTATGTTTAAGACCGACAGCAAAACTTTTTTGGTGCTAAAAGATCTTAGATTTTAAACTCAAATGGCATTGCTTTCAAATTCCGTAATATTGACCTACGCGTTTAGTTTGACAGCTCAAAGCCACCGTGCACCCAAACTTCATTTTAGCACAAAACAACGCATGATGCAATTCTGTAAATTATATATAAAATATTGGTATTCAAAGACACTTCATGTTAAGGGAGACTTTGAAAAGGATTTTAAAAACGTCTCCTGTGTTTATTCCTTCATTCCTATTCCTTTTGCCTTTTATAAGCAAAAGCAAATAATAATAAACACAAAGAAGCTACAGTCACTGTGTAATCACGCTCAGCTGTATTGTTATAAATATATTTCAATACCAGTAGCCATGCCTCAAATCTCTGATGACGTTGTTTATTCTGCACCCCTTCAGATCCAGAGTATTTCACACAGGCAGCCATGGCCAATCAATCCATTGACATCTTGGCAAAGGTTTTGGAGCAGTCAGCTAAGGTGGTGGAGGAGCAGGTGGACGCACAGCTGAGCAAACTAAATGAGTTGGATGATGATGATTTGGAGAGGCTGAAGGAGAAGCGATTAGAAGCCCTCAAAAAAGCTCAGAGACAGAAGCAGGTAAGCAGGACATTATATCCATCTTGTCAGATTTATGGTTAGAACACAGGGGGGGTTTAGAGGTTTTGTTTGGCTTCACCATTAGTACCTACTCAGTCCTACTCGTCTCACCATGGCTACAACTAGGAGGTTTTCCATTCCAAGCAAAGTCCAACCAAAAAGACAGGCCTAACAGCCTGTGATGCCAAGACAACAAAATGAGGGAGATAATGGCAATGCAGCTAAAATTGTTACTGTTAGGAGAACTCAGCCCTTAATGGCAATCCAAGAAAAGGGGGCCGAGCTAAGCCGCACTGAGTTGGTAGTAGAGAACAGGTCCCACAAGAGACTGAGAAAACGTTCTTTTTTTCTCTTTTTTTTAAGGAATATTTGTCCAAAGGCCACGGGGAATACAGAGAAATCCCCAGTGAGAAAGACTTCTTCAGTGAGGTGAAAGAGAGCAAGAACGTCGTCTGCCACTTCTACAGGAGTTCAACTTTCAGGTACGTCTGTCCAGTCACGCAACTAGCGTTTAACTGAGAGCTTTAATTCAGATTATTGACCAGCACAAGTACAAATATTTATGTTTAATGATGATTTAGAAAGACAAGTCCTAAAAATGATCATCATTGGGTGTAGTAACCATGGTTTAATCACACTCCTTGTGTTTTAAACAGTTTACTATTGATTGGCTGAATTTGTCTTCCTATTTCTTACATGTAGATGTAAGATCCTGGACAAACACTTGGGCATCTTGGCTAAAAAGCATGTGGAGACCAAATTCATCAAACTCAATGCAGAAAAGGCTCCATTTCTGACAGAGAGGCTCCATATCAAAGTTCTGCCCACACTGGCGCTGCTCACAGACGGAAAAACAAAGGACTATGTGGTCGGGTTTTCTGATATGGGCAACACAGATGAGTTTCCCACAGAGGTGCTTGAGTGGAGGCTTGGATGTGCAGATGTTATCAACTACAGGTGAGATGGGTCACACTCACTCCCTCTTTACATTCTGCAGTTTAATCGTGTCGTTTAAAAACCATCACTTTATTTTTTCTTCCAGTGGTAACTTGATGGAGCCCCCAACAGTCTCGCAGAAATCAGGCTCCAAGTTCAGAAAACTGGAGAAGAAAACCATCAGAGGACGAGGCTACGACTCTGATACAGATTCAGAGGATGACTGAGGAGCTCTAAGAACAGGCCGTTTTTCTTTAGTGGATAACCTGCTTTCTTTTTCCACTCTTTAAGTGACTCTGTCCTTCATCATATTCATTTATGGAATTTATTTGACCAAACTAAGAATTTATTTTGTCAACCCCTTGTTTTATGAAGTATCTTATTTTCTATTTCAAGTAACATGAAGTGCATTCAGAAAACATTGTCAATCCCTTTCTAATTTTCAACACTTAATGCTGTAGCCTCAAGATGGAATCATTCAAATAAATGATTTTGCTCATGAATCCACACTTGGTACCTCATAATGACAGCAGTGAGTCAGGAACAACCCTGAATATCCTTGAGCCAGAGCCCTGACTCAAACCCCGCTGAGCATCTATGGAGACACCTGAAACATGGCTGTGTTAAAGTGACAGAGCTATGGAGGATTTGGAAAGAAGAGTGGCAGAAAATCCCCAAATCCAGGGGTGAAAAACCTGTTGTATCATTACTAAGAAGATTAATGGCTGTGTTAGCTCAAACAGGGGATTCTACTAAGTATTTTTACGTTTTGTTAATTTATAGCTTTTCAATTAATTCTATTATGCTGTGTTTTGGTTGTTTTGGGGTTCTGGGTGTTGATTTGTGTGGATAAAAATTAAGTTGAATGATTCTAACAAAGTTGAAAGGGGTCAGACTACATTGTGAATGCACTGTATGCTTCATAAACAAAGAACTACACTGAGCCTCAAAATTAAGCGTCATCTGGCCTTAACTTTTAACCTCTTCTTTTTTATTTATTTAGACAGTCTGTTAGATCTGTTTGTTACTTTGTAACCTGGTCTGTTGGTAAAAGTCAGAGATGCATATCTGTGCCAAGATCAAATGTATTCTGAAGTTACATCTAAATACATTTTGTAGCAACAGTTGGACAGAAATGATGCCCTCTCAATAAAAGCAGAAGAGCTATTGGATGTAATTGTGGATTCTTCTATAAGTTGATAGATGAGAGGTAGCGAATGAATTAATTTGATTTTAAATCATATTTGACCCTATCATTGTTTATCATGTTTAAAAGATCAGATTAAACAATTATGCTTTTTTCCCCACTTTGGATTATTACAAACAGGAATTTTTCTTGAGGTAAAAGAGAAAAAAAGTAGTTTCCTGTCATTAAACTGACAGAAAAACATCTCTAATTTGCAACTGTTAAGTTGAAAGTCCTCCCTGCATGCAGCTGTGCTGTGGAAACCCAGTCAGACACGTTCCAGGTTATTTCAGTGTAAAAACAATCAGACCGAGTTTTTTTTGTTTTTCAAAATGATCTTTATTAACAAACAAACTTTTCAATGACAGAACAGAGCAGGACTAGGACTCAATAGCCTTGTGATCAGCGGGTTGGAGCAGGCGATGTACGATCAGCTCCCCTTTGCTGTTGATGTAGCTGTCAGCCATGTCCTGCTCGGCCGGGAGCCCATAGGGAGTCTTTAGAGGCTGTATCCTGCAAGGACGGAAAATAAGAAATGGGTAGGGAGTCAGAGTTTCCTCAAATTAAGTCTGTCTCAAAGTAGGTGTGCTCATCCTAATGCTTTCTGGCCAGCTTTGAAGACGTAGAAACATCACTGCAGCCAGAGGGCGGGTGTGTGGCACAACGTTTTGCCCAGCAGTCTTACCTCACGAGGTGTTTGACAAATTTCAGCTGGCTGTTGACCGCAGGTGTATTTTTGTGAATTACAGGCTTGTGGGCCTTCAAGAAAGACGCATAAAAAGAAAAGGTTAGCAGATACAAAAATAAATCTCAGTGACTGTCAGAGGATGGAGAGACCTCCACTAAACTGCACATTCAGCAGCAGTAAAGTTATTTCTTAGGCTTAAATTAAAGACTTGCAGACTTAACTTTTGTTTAATTATTCCTTAAACGCTCATTAGAATGCCTTGAAAACCTCCTATTTTCCAGGACTTTGTAAGCCATAAACAAAGATACAAAGCCATCTTCTATCAGTATTATTCATGACAGCTCGCCTCACCTTCTGGAGGCCGAGGTATTTCACCATCTCCTTCTCCCAGTACGGCCTTCCCACCACGCTCTTCACGCGTGTCACTATGTGCAGCTTGTGGGGTCGGTCGGGGTCGCCACCATACCTCTCGTGCTCTTTAGATCTCTCGGCAAAAAACTGTTAAAAGCAAACGATGGATCATGAGCAACAGAGCCAACGCCTCCTGAAAGCTGCTTCACCACTACAGTGACTGGATTCCTCCATCTCTGTGTGCTGGATCCTGCTGAACACTCTCAATGCTATGATGATTTTGGCGAAAATGTCACAGAGATGCTGCCTCAAGAAAACAGGACTATTTGTTTTGTTTTTTTTAAAAGCCAAAGACTGCCGTGGCTGATGGAACCGGTGTGGCAGAAGTTCCCTTACAGCTTAGTAGCTCTTAAACTGGCACTAAACTGACACAACAGGGAAATTAGGTCTTTACCTCCTTTGGAATCCTTGCTTTGGAGAATTTGCTGCGCGCCGACACGAACCACCAGCTGGGTGACAAAACTGCCGCTTCTTTCAGGGTCTGTGACGTAATCACAAAGTTGGGGGGAAAAAGATTTCAAATATGACAGAAAACTTAATTTGTGGCCTCCTACAAACTGCTAGATGCCAAGCGTTTCTCAGATATCAGATATTGCCAGTGAACAATAAAAGCCATCGCTTCAATCTGTTGCTTTTTTTAATTATTAAAGGCTTTATCCTCTTAAACACTTGGGAGCCCTCAGTTTTTCCTATTAGAGGCTACACTTAATAAATCACGAACAGACAAATATCTGGTCACCTGCATTTGAATATAAGAAATGTTTGTGGTGTAATGTTTGCCAGGTGGTATCAAATACACTTCTACCGATCTATACTTTATCGTACAAATAAAGAGAAATAAATACAACATTATTGTAGGTGAATTGTAAGAATCAGCGTCTTTGTAACGAGTCCTAGCTTCGAGGTATTCCACAGAGCAAAGATGTCTTTATAGTACTAACTGGAGCCCTTGCAATGGGAATGTTTAGGAATTCTTAAGTAACTACACAGATTTCTGCTTGGATTACTCATAAAACATGTTACGGCATAATTCACCCAACTCCTAATTATAGAGCAACAGTAACAGGACTTTGCTTATTGTTATTTAACGCAAGCAGGAATATAAACAATGCAGACTGGAAAACCAAAATGTCAGACATTGTGATTAACATGTCTGCGATTAACATAGATCATTACCTTGCAGACAGTGACAACGTATGTTTGAGGCATAACAATCTGATTCACGTGCTTACCTTAAACGACGCAGAGCTGAAACTGCGAAAGACAGCTGACATGTTGAATTTCTACGCGCCAAGGTTACGGCCCTGCAATCTGTTAATGACAAATGCGAGCGGGGCGTCACTAGGCTTGCTTAATAAATACTCTATTTAAGACCCATATTCATCTAAAGTACGGGTACAATAAAAGTTCCTTAAGTGAATAGACGAAATATATTAATCACGTTGGTATCATGTCTTTGCTACGAAGCGGATCAACCGGAAATGTAGAGTTACCTCTAAATGGCGCCGATGTACCAATTATGCTCAAACTATTGACCTATCCCTTTTTGCTGTTTTACTTGAGACTTTAAAAAAATGTTTTACATTTAATAAAAAAATGAATACACTACAATATAAAAACATACATATATACCTAACCTATACGTTTATGCCTTTACAAAAATATGTATCAATATTTCAAAGTCCCCATTGCGTACAATACATTTCCCCGGGAGTTATTTTGATGGTACACCCATGCAACTGTCTTCCTGGTAGGGTAGAGCTGCCTCTCCCATCACCTTTCCCGTACCGAGTTAAGAATGGCACCACTAAAGTAAGTTATTAAAAGAAATAGGTAGACATAACAATGACAGAAAACCATGTGTCAGGGATGGAGGCGTCTGCCGTGTCGGTCCTGAAGCGTGCCGTGGAGCTGGATCAGAGTGGGCGCCTCCAGGAGTCTCTGGTGTGTTACCAGGAAGGCATACAACTACTTATTGACGCGTTGAAAGGTCTCCCACACACATCGTGAAGTTTAAAATAATACTTAATAAACACCCCTAAAAGACCAGAACCATCACCTTTTTGTGTTTTCTGTGTCAATCAAGCAGCTGTTAAAGATGAGACGAAAAGAGGCCACTACAGGGAAAAGATCAAGGGCTACATGGACAGAGCTGAGCAAATCAAAGCTCATGTGAACCAGATGAAAGAAGGTACTGTACTTTTCCCTACTAAAAGTTTAGGAATAAGTGGTTTTATGTAAGCAATCGCCCTCGCCAACTCTGTAAGACAGCCTGATCACACTGTTTGTGGTCATTTATGCCATGTGAAATCTGCCATAAACCTTTTCTAAAGACTGGTGGGATTGAGGATCACTTTGCCCAGGCATGCAGATACTTGTGTTTTCTACCATTAGAAATGGTATAATAATAAAAATCACAAAAAGAACAATCTAGAAAAATAAAATAATGTTGTAAATTTATGAAAAATTGTATTCAGAATTATTTGTGTGTGTGAGTATTATTCTGTCATTCTTCCTTAACAGATGGAAAATACCACGAGCAAATTAAGATATCAGAGGATGCCACTGGTTACAGCTACGAAGCTCTGCTGAAACCCTACATCAGCAGCGCTCTCACAGAGGTCTGGGTGGAGGATCCATACATACGACACACCCATCAAGTACGAGCTTTACCTTGCTGTTTTTTCCCCTCCTCTGCCCTTTCTTCCTCTTCTGATTCTCTTAAATTCGTCTTTGTTCAAAGATTACAACAGCGGACAATTAATTAATTTGACCAAGCATACGATGAACACTGGGACACTTGAATCAGCCTCCTGTTAGTTGGTTTTAAGACAACTTTATTGATCATTCAAAAGAAAATTCACTTTAGACATGCAAGAGCTAAGGGGTTAAATATAGTTATTACCTTAGTTATTCCAGCTGACAAATTTCTAAAGCATTTGTGCTTTAGCAGATGAAAAATAGCACGTTTCCATTTGCAGATTTGCTCCCTGTTACAGTCCTAATCTGGAAGACTGGGAAAATTGAGGATTTTTGAGTTGCCCATTACTTCAGCACATGTTGACAAAGTAATTATTCATTACCTATTTTTTACACCCACTTTATCCATCAGTGTCTCATTGACGGTTTATTTCAGAGGATTCAGGAGATTTTACAAAAGAGAAGCCGATAATGCATCCCAACAAAAGATGTAACAGAAAAATCTATTATATTTCTCTAGAATTGATTGAAAAAGATGTCTTTTACACTGCGTCAAACTGAGCCGTCACCTCTCCTCCACAGCTGTACAACTTTGTGAGGTTCTGTGAGATGCTGCTCAAAGCCCCCTGCAAGGTGAAAACCATCCATCTCCTCACCTCACAGGATGAGGTAAGTTGTGAAAAAAAATCTGATCTCACTGGGTAATGAACTGAAAGCAGCTTTGTCTGTGCAGTTGTTTGACTGACACCCCTTCTGTCCCGCAGCCGGACAATGGCCAGCAAAGCAGCGCTCTGGCGGAGCTCAAAGAGAGCCTCAGGACTCTGGGAGTCACTCTGGATCTTCAGTACTCCTCTACCATCCATGATAGGGAGATCAGGTGTTTTCCTCTTCAGTAACAGTCACATATGCGTTGGTTTTTAATTTTAGATGTTTCTTTCATTTGAAAGAAATTAATTTTTTGTAGCACACAGTGTGTATTTTCTGATTAGCACACTTATGGCTAGCATAACTTTGGATTTACTTTGTGGGACTGAACAAGCTTTCCTTTATCTCTTTTATTTTCAGGTTTGACAATGGCTGGATCATCAAAATCGGTAGAGGGTTGGATTACTTCAAGAGGCCTAAAGTAAGAGAAAAGCTTTCATTCTTCTGCACTCATTAGCTGCTGTGGTCAACACATTGACCTGTGGATGTCTTGGTGCCCCACAGGGTCGATTCTCCATCGGCTATTGTGATTATGATCTGCGGCAGTGCCAGGAAACCACCGTTGACATCTTTCACTCAAAGCACACAAAAACCCTATGAGATTACATAAATTCATAATGACTTGAATAACTTACTTGCTCTAAAACATGCACACACCTGCTGTGCTGCTGGCGTTGCCTTCAAACAAGACTTTTTAACCTGTTGCTGCTCTGATATGTTGTTACCCACAGCTAATTTCAACCTTGATTCCACTGTCTTGTCTTGGACGGGTCCTTTTCGGCACTTTTACTCCTTTTATTTGTGGTTTAATTAAATACAGAGAGAGGGATTTTAAACGGGTTGTACCACCATCTGGTGGAAGAATTCATGTATTTTCTAAAAATGATTAAATGTTTTTATACTACCACGATTTCATACTGTTCACTTTTTCTCCCGTGTTGAAATATTGACTGTTTCAAGCAGTTCATTGTGAAGTGAAAATGAAGTGTTGATTGGCTATTTCCCAAAAAGCAACATTCTCAGTTTCCGAAATGCTCACATCCACTGGTGTTTCACAACATTCCCCCTGAACATCACAAGCTGTGGTGAAAACCCCATTTTCTCACAGGCTTTTCCACTATGGCTGGCTTTGAGCACAGGGAGCTAAAAGTGTCATGTGACGTGGCTTTATGGTTCACACATTAACACAACATTGCCCACATGCATGAAAAACCCGCACTGACACTCAGTTAATCATTACCATCAAAAACCCCTGAGGAACAAATGAAAAAGAAAATAGTGAAATGCTGTTGGTCTTTATATCAAGTAGCTAATATCAAACACAGTGTTGTGTGAAATATGTGTTGGACTAATTGTCTGGGTCTGGGATATTTCCTGTATTATGAAGTGAATGAAATATGATCACAGGGGAGTTTTGGACAGGAAACAAGTTTCCTGTATGTGAAAAAAATGACAATAATCCTGCAAAATTTTAATGGAAAGCTTTGCTTCGATGAACTCAAGCAAAGTCTCCCGATTCCACAACACTGGGATCAAATTAGACATCGGCCTTTATCTCAATGCGCATCTCTTATCTGGGTTGAGATGAAGGAATTCTAACCCATTGGAGAACCTAATGGATGGCACACACTAGTGTACAGGCACTTCCATCAGTACCTCTGTTTGCCTGCTGGAGGAGGTGGACGTCCCTGGATACAATCTCACTGCGGTCGTGTTGACATGTGGATGTTTGTTGCATGTAATGCAGATGTCAGTGGATTTATTTTCTGGGGGATGACATGAGGATTTGTGCAGTGAGGGGCCTCATCAGAGAAGCTGCTCAGCCTCACAGCCAGACGGATGAATGTGGATGCAGCCGTTTTGCTTTTAAACTGATGCTGCCCTCCCTCTTCCTGACTGTAGCCCAGTGGCCTAGATACTGCTTCCATGTCTGAATCCAATCCTGTGTGTGTGCGCAGGAAGTTGTATTCTAGTCCAATAGGCATGTTGTTTTTTTACTGTTTAAAAAAAAAAAAAGCACTAGATAAAATTAGAAGAATATTCAAACCATGAATGTTCTTTAGCAGACTGTGGATTCACATATACTGGAGATTTTGTTGGAGTTCAAATTATATGTAAAACAGATCAAGTCAGGGCAGAGAAAAACCTAAAAGAACCATTTTGTTTAAAGAAAACATAGAAAAATATTCTAATAAAACATACTGAAGACAAAATTATTTTTTGTTTTATTGTTACATATTTTCTGTCAATTAAAGCAACATCTGGACAGCCTTCTGTCTATCGGTGTTTTTCAACTCTGTTATGGATTTATAATCTAAGCTTTGGTTGTATTATGAACATGGTCAACTATTGAACTCATAGCTTGTCATCTCTATCTTTTTGGTGGATATAAGCTTTAGGCTGCTGTACAGATTCAAAATTCCCCCTTTTTCCCCTCTGATTTACTTTTCTAATAATGGTTAAAAGATATTTTTCTTTATTTTACAAACTCAGTAATTACAGTATCAGAAGAAGTAAAGCAGATGCTACATTATATTTTACTGCATATGAAATCGCGTTGAATGACTGGAGAACTGTTTTCAGTTTTTTCTTGCCGTCAAGATTTTCTGTGAAGCAACATTTCTGTTGCTCTTTTTGTCTTTTTGGTTAGCACCATCGCCTCAGAGCAAGAGGGTTCTGGGTTTGAATCCCCGGGGGAACCAGGACCTTTCTCGGTGGAGTCCGCATGTTCTCCCTGTGTCTGTGTGGGTTCTCTCCGGGTTCTCCGGCTTCCTCCCACCATCCAAAAACTTGCATGTTAGGTTGACTGGACATTCCAAATTGCCCTTAGGAGTGAGTGTGTGTGGTTGTTTGTCTCTGTGTGTTTCTGTGTGGCCCTGCGATGGACTGGCGGACTGTCCAGGTTGTCCCTGCCTCTCGCCCATTGACCACTGGGATAGGCCCCAGTCCCCCCGCGACCCCATTAGGGAATAAGCGGTTCAGAAAATGGATGGATACATGCAACTCCATGATGACCGGAACTCAGACGGGAATCACAAGCGCCTTTACCGGCCAGCCGAGGGGACATCGAAATGGACAAGCCCACCGCGAAACCAACAACTTGAGTCCGTGTATCCAGATAACCTGACTGATTATGTGTGTGGTTGCAAAGATTATGTAATGAGTCAAGTCTCATTTAACTTATGTAGAAATAAACCCGGTTTCAGATTTCTGTAAAGCTGTGGGAGGGCTAATTCGTGGCTGGTAACTGAAGTGCTTTTGCACCCACCCACCCACCCACACACACACACACACTCACACACTCACACACACACACACCTTCGTCTCTAATCACCCTGGGGGGGAGTGAACAACCCGGGGTAATGAATAAACAGTTCCATGAGCCAGGATTCCTATATGCATGTCCTCTTTCCAGCTGGAGCTTTATTTTTTCCCTCTACTCTCATTTCTAGGCCCAAAATCAGGTTAACGTTTTATAAGGAGCTTAGCGCAGAGGGCCACAGCGCGCCACCAATGTAATAGAGTGTCCCTCCCTCTCCCTCGCTCACACATTCTCATCTGCCCTCCTTTCTCTTTGTGCATTTGCCTATCCTGTCATGCAGTGATCTCTTCCTCTTCTCTTTCATTTATTTCTCCCTGCACGTTTTTTTTCCGCCTCTCGCCGCTTTGCCTCTGCATCTGCAGATGTGGACGGCCCGGTTCTGAGCCCTGAGACGTTTGGGCTGGGACACGGCCGGGAGCACCGTGTGGAGAGGGCGACTAACAGGAGGGGGTGAAGCCCAGCTGCCCGTGCAGTCCCTGAGTAAGTTGGCTATTTTTTGTTTCTTAGTTTTTTTTTTGTCAGTTTATCACCGGATACCGCTTTAACGGGTGTATTTCACGTGAGATTCCAGGGAGAGTTTTGTCTGCTCCACGTGACGTGGGAAAACTGGGCTTAAGCCCTAGTTGTGGATTATTATGGGGACGGGAAATCTTACAAGGATCTCACTGCAATCTCAATAATCCAGTAGATTATCCTGTTTCTCTGGGGGCTCGGTGAAAATCGGAACCTTGATTCATGAGAACTTGGCATTCATTGTCGATGTTACAACCCGACCAAGTTCAAGTCTATTTTTTGACAGAACCTTTACGTTTTCTTTTAGACAGACGTGATAAGACAGGTTTATTGGGTGTCATGAGGCAATCATACGCCTACATCATTAAAAAAAAAGTGCACTCCTTGATAGGAGAGGTGCAGGGTGGACTTTGTATGTTTGCCTATAAGCTGATGCATCTTGTCTTATCAGGCGTACAAGCGGGGTCATGCTCTGTTGTCTCTTTGAGTATATAGATAGAATAAATAGAGAGTGGTTTATTCCTGCATCTCTAACAGAATACTGTCTCTAGGGTATGTATTAGGGGGGAAAATTAAAGACAAATGAAGAGAATGACCTCAATCTATTTGAGTAAGCGTATAAAACCATTATATTCTAACCTACAAAACATGGTATGTTTTCATTTCTTTATTTTTATGATCGCCACTGGAATAGATTTCACACTGTGCATGGTCCATCTACGGTGATGTTAACTTTATCAGAAGGATAGGGATTCCTCGCACGCCCCGCCTAGTTGCAATCACGGTTTGTTGTGTTCCTGATAGTGAAAGATAATAAACCTTTGAACCCCACGTCTGTATTTCCGTCTTCTACCATGTGACGACTACTTCTAAGCAACTGTGATCCTTCGCTTCTTTATAGATGCAGACACGTTTTACCAGCATTTTCTTTGATTATAGAGGTCAGGGCATTTATGATATTATTTTATTGTTTGACTGGTGTAGTTCTGCAGGTGGCATTCATCGGTGTAATGAAAAGAGGTCTAATGATGAACTCCACATGGTGCATATATATATATAAGAACAAACTAGTCTTCGACCTTTTAAAACACATTGATGTTTTGTTTGTTTTGTTTCCCAGGCACCATCCCAATGGAGTATTTCTCTGGAGATAAAGAAGGGAGCCCAGATTACATTCCAAGTAAGCTTATTGCTCATGTAGCGCGAAACAAAAGTATTACCTTGACTACAAGCGGGTTTTCAACATACATGAGCCAATTAATAAACTTAATATCCAGTCAATATCCAGTTTATGATTTACACCTCAGACAATGATATTAGAAATCATCAGTGAACGGAAAGGATTTAGTGGTGTGATAGTGGGAGTTCTGCTCTAGTGTGTGTGTGTATGTGAGTGACTGTGACCTGGATTTTTCTTTCTCAATCTCTGTCAGAACATGAAAAGCCCAAGCGTAAATCCCTCAAAGCCCGTCTCTTCAGGATGAGCAAGAGAACAGGTGATGAATCCCCCAAACTCAGCCAGTCAGCCAGTGACATCACTGCCGGAGAGGGACTGGATTCAGACGATGATTTGGAGTGAGTGTCCGTATGATAGGAATTCATCCCAGATATTCAGTCTTGTTCCTTACTTTTTTCCCAATACCTTTAATGTTCTTTTGTTTGGCCTCTTCAGATCCTCTGAGGTCATGATGGGATCGCGAGCATTGTCCCATGAGAGCATCTTCTTGGCTGATGAGGCTCAGACAGACACTGAACCAACCAGGATTTTATCCCAAGAAAATGTTCACAGCAAGATCAAAGCTCTGCAAGTATGCTTTTTTTTTTTTATTCTCAGCATGGTGCTCAGAACGAGGAATTTATGGTAACTGGGGCTCATGTGAAAGTATCACTCTGCACCCTGCTGTCTTAGATGAAGCTTCAGCTGCAGAAGATGCATTTCGGACCACCGACCATGGCTCTGCCAGTAAGAAATCCAGAGGGAGGCCATTCAGAGGACAGCATTCACTGGGACTCCCATGATACCTCAGGAGGGGGCATCACGCTCACCAAGGTGGATTATCATCCCAGTCATGTACCTCGGAATCATATAAAAGAGTTAGCCATCAAAACCGCTGGATTTGTATCTTTTGTCAACAGACAGATTTTCCTGTACATTAAAGCCATCACACAGCGAGCACTATTTTAAGACACAGATTAGAGAACTCGTGAGGATTTAGGATATATGTGGATTTGGTTTCAAATGAACCTCAGTGGTTAATATTGTACTCGGTAGAATGGTATATTTCATTTAGACATTTTTATCCACAACACTAACTCCAGAACACTTAAATGTTGTTTAAAGTATAAATGAGTTCCAGTGTGAAAGAAATCTAAATGAATCTATCCATTTTTATTACTGCTTATTCCTAGTAGGGCTGTGGAGGGGCTGGAGCCTGTCCAATCAAGTCACTAGGTGAAAGGACGTGTACACTTTGGATAGTCTTAACTCCTGTGTTTTAATGAGAGTACTGTTACCAGAACACATCAACCATTCATTTTACTCTTATTTCCTATATATATATATTCAATTATATGTTGATGTTGGCAACTCATGCCAAGAAAGTTGTTGTTTGGGGACATGATGTTCATGATATCTAAAATGATTTCAAAGATTTTGATCCAGCAGAAAATGGAATATTCTTCTGTTATTAATAGTGAGTGAATATGGCTTTGCTTTTAAATTTTGCTTTCAATCCTCCCTTCCACCAGAGATCTTAACACCGTTTTAGGAATTGCATTGACATTTAAAAATATGTGCCATATAAGAAGGGTAAGATGGGATAAATGCAATGCAGGTAATCATTCAACTAAGTTGTTAATAGCAAAAATGTTCTGATTTTACCAATACATTTTGTGAGCTCTGTTGTATTATTTCTTCATTTACAGAACAACCACTCATTTGTGTATTTTTTTCTTTTCAGACAACATCTCAGCCAGCCTCTTGTTCACTTTCACCCATCTTAAAATTTGCACCAAACAAATCGCTGCCCCCAACTCCATCCCATCCATTTTCCCTTCCTGGCCCCTTAAATTCTTCTTCTTCTAATGTCGAGGCTCCATTAGACTTTAGCAAGCCGGTAAAATACACAAGATGCTTAGATAATTCTGCTGCCCGCCATCGGATGTCTGTTAAACCCAAAAACCAGAGAGCCACCACCAAGAGAAAACCCTCATATGTGGTGAGAGGACCATATCTCTTTCGTTTATTTACTTTCTGTGAAGTCAACACAAAATTTAATTTGAGTTTTCTCTCATTTTAAAATGTCCTTCCCCATTTTCTTTTTTTTCTTCCATTTCTGAAGGGTCAGCGCAGTTCCTTCCACACCATAAACAACACTGACCACCAAGACTCTATTAAAGGGAAAAAGCAAGAGCTTCATGCTGAAGAGGAACTGTTGGTCACATTTGAGGAAGCACCTAAAAACCCCATCCAGGCTCTTCCTCAGACAGGAGCATCCCAGGCACCATGGGCTACGTCTCACAGCCCTGTGGATCCAGTACCCAGTGGACGGCCAAACTTGTCCTTTATAGAGGCTGAAATAAAGGGAAAAAAAGATTCTGACATGGAGAAGCGTGTAATATACCATGACAAGACAAATACCCTTAAAAAGGCTGAAATGACTGACCAGCTGACCACCCCTGACCAGTTCTCTTCTACCCTTGGCTCTGTGGTGGCATCCAGGCTTGGGGCTGTTAACCAGCACCTTCAGGATGAGGATGAAACTACAAGAGGAATAAAAAGACCAGTTGCTGGATCTGGTTCGTTCCATTCTTCTGCAAACACATCGAAAAAACGACATGGGGAAAGACCTCAGTCCGGCAGCTTTTCGGGAGAGCTGGAACAGACTGAAACAAGGCTTAAGGTGACTGGGGAAACAGAGGAGAAGAACATAAAGGAGAGACAGGAACTTAGAAGCACCCTACGCAAAGCTAACTCCTCTGCTGTGGGAGGACCAAGACAAGAGGGGGCGCCAACCAAAATCCCAGCCGTTCCATGGGACAGGAAGGAAAGTCTGAAAAAGGTTGAGTTAGTGGCACCATCTAAAAACATACCCACAGATACAGGCGCTTTAGAGGCAGTGGAGGTGGACGGCAGCCAGGAGCAGGTAGAGGAAGCTGAGGAAGCAAGAGAAGTTCAGGAGGAAGAAGGAAAGACGGCGTTTGGCGTTAAACTGCGTGCCACATCTCAGTCGGTGAGATTACGGTCTGAGACCGCCACCAAGCGCCATTCAAGGACAGAGCAGAGCGAGGACCAAACTGACACACAGAAATATCAAGAAAAAAGTGAGAATGTCAAAAAGAATTCTGAAAGGTTTCCAGGAAGCACATCTAGTGCAGTCAGACCAACAGGTGAGTGGTAACTCTTCATCTATATACTGACAAACACTGGAGGGGAAACTAAACATTGCAGAGATGTATCTGTTAAAAAAAGAGTGGTCTTACATGCTAAATAGCTCTAAAGTGATAAGAATTTACTAGTCACAGTTTAACTTTGTTCTCTTTAAACACCATGCTATTTTCAACAGTGTTATCAAGCATATCTAACTGGTTGATGTCTCTTCTCAGATCCAGTCACATCTGGCAACCACCCTCCAGTAAAGCATAATGCTCCCCTTTCCAGTCTGAACACAAAGGTCACAGAAGCCAAAACAAGCTGTTCAAATCAGAAAGAGGCAGGAACTGCAATTAAGGAGCCTGAGTCAAGCGCCCAAAGTTCCTCATCCGAAGCGTCCTGGATTAGTTTAGCGATGGAAAAGACCAGGAGCCTCCAACAGCTTTTCACTAGCAGATTTCCAAGAGATTTTACAGGTGCCCAAACAGCTGCCCAACCTCAAGCACATGTGCAGCCCACCAATCAAACCGAGGAGTCTGGGCCTGCAAAGCAAGCATCAGTGAATATAGTGATAGAGGAATCGTTTCAAAGCAGAGGTCAGGCACAGACTGTCAAACTACCAACAGCGGCAACGCACCAGAAGACAGCAGAGATGTCTCCTCTAAGCTCAAGAGAATCCCAAATATCAAAACAACCCTCCGACGACCAGGCACAGACAAACATAACTCAGCCTGTCTCACAGTCAGTGTCTCCTGCAGCTGTTCAGACCGTCCCATGGACCACTCAGTCTCCCTTACGGTCTTCTTCACAAACAGCAACGACATCTAACTTTGCACAAAGGAATACCTCACAGTCTCATGCGCAGGCTAACCTCTCCTCTGGCCAGCAGCAACCCTCTTGGAGCAATCGAGGTGTCCAGCCTGCCACCCAGCTCAAGCCCACAGCTGCAGCTTCGGTCTCACCAGCTGCAGCTCATACTTCAGGCTCAGCCTTGGAGAGTGCAGAAAAAGAGGCCACCTTGCAAAAAGAGGTTCCGTCACTCTCTATCAGACGAGCAGTTTGGACCGGTTCAGTGACCGACCGGGCGGCTTTTATGGAGAAACGGGGAGAGGGGGCCACGACACCTATACTCAAGGGGGTTTGTGGTACTTTTTTTTGTAACTCTCATATCATAGGTGTAATATTACCAACCCACTTGGACTTCCCAGGTCCTTCCATCTAAGTTTAATTTGTTTGTGGGGTAAAGTACTATTTTTCTAAATCACAGGGGACAACAGAGTTGGGTACAGAACTAATTAGATTTGGAGCATCGTTATACATTAACAGCATCATATTATATTTAGAATTAGCGCATCTATATCCCTAAAAGTAAACACAATGTCAAAACTGCTTTTTCATACAGATGCTAAGATCTTTGGTTTTACAAGCTTTTTTCCTTCGTATATTGCTTTTTGACTGCCAAGACAAAGATGTTGTATCTTCTAACTCTGTAATTCTTTTAGGTGGAACTGAGAAAAGCACAAATAGAAATGCAAACATCAGGTGATGCCCCCTCCTCCCCAAAAAACACACCCGTAAACAAAGATTCAGTGGATGGAAGACAAGAGGTGAAACCTGCAGGTGTGTTTTTTACTCACTAGTCTTAATGGTGAATGTACAGATAAGACATCATTATCCAAAGGGACATTACCTGTTTTATTTTTTAGAATCCAGTCCCACCAAAGTTCTAGAAAGGCTAGAAAAGCTGCGAGAAGAGAAATGGTTGCAGAAAAATGTGGGGTCCTCTTCGCCACCGCCATCACCACCCACACAGCCATCGGTGTTGCAGTCGATGTCCGACAGCAGCCAGCCGTCCTGGATGGAACTGGCCAAGAGGAAGTCAATGGCTTGGAGTGATAAGACCATGGACTAAAAAATGAAAAACTGAATTATACACAATAAGTGTGAAAATGAAAATGACCCAAAATAAATGGAATAATTTTCTATTTACAAGAAAATACTTATTCAGGTTGATGTGTTGAATGTCAGGTGGGGCTATCAGATGGATGGTAATACTATTTTTTACCCTGTTGTGGTTTTGTTTAATTTGTAGTGTGAGACACTGAAAGAGGCAGGGTTTATGTTTAAAAATTCAGCTTTATCCTCTATTGAAATACATCTTGAGGTGATTCAGCCCTTCACTGCTGTAAAAAAGTGAATGTCAAAGAACACATTTTCTAATATTGATTTTTGTTGCCATCTTGTTAGAAATTGGTATGGCCAAGGAAAAAGATATTAAATCACTAAATTACATTTCAGAGTTTCATTCATTCTCTGCCATTATGTGGAAGATGACCGGGTGCATAGAAAAATGGGGATTTCAACAGAGGTATTCATTCATTGTCTACACCACTTCTTAGTAGGATCGTGGGGGCTGGAGCACACAGCTGACACTGAAAGAGAGGGATGTAATCTGTTTCAGTGACCAATATGTCATTTCACTGGTCTAAAGCTCCACCTACAGGGGAAATCTGGGAACTTCCCTCAGCTTAATAGCTTTACAATAAACATGATCATGGAGCTGAAGTTTCAATGATCATCCGAAACCTTTGATAGGCGTTTTTTCCTCAGGTGTAAAGAAGGAAACAATGATGGTAAAATTCTATAGAGATGTTTTGGTCTGGAGATACTCAGCAAGGCAGACTACACACATTGTTGCAGCTCTATGTGAAATGTGTGCACTGTAAAGCCACTATGTGCTTTTCCTGTGATCTCAAATCCAGGTCTAAAAAAATTAAAATGGAATCATAAAGGTGTTTTCAATTATATGACTATGTACTGAGGAGATTATGACTGTGATGGGTACATGAATAAGGTTTAGAATTTTCAGCCGATTCAATTCATGAGCCCCACACACACACACACACAAAAACAAATACGTAAAAATTTGAGATATTTCTACAGATACCAATGTAGTTTAATACCCATCCCCAGCAATACACTAAACTTCTCCACTATTATTTGTGTGATGAAGTGTCCAAAAAAAGAGTAGCAGCAGGTCGATTATGAAATTGCCTTCTTTGGTGAATCAGTAGAGGTCGCTGTGGAAGTTTTACCCTGCACCAAAACGTCCCGTTGTTACAAAAGCGAGTTTGTAAACATAAGCGGGAGTGGACGAGGACGACCATTCGCCCAGCTCAATGACATGAGGTCCTGTTACTTTCCCTTGGCAGTGTTTGCCAGCATTCTGTGTCTAAGTCAAAGCTACAGACTTAGGAGCTCCGTGTCCTGGGTCGTGTCTTCCAATGATGTTGATGTAGAGGACGGGGACCTGTCGGAGGAAGCCGCTCCGGCCCTGCTGGTGGACGGCGCGGCGCTGTGGAAAGCGAACGTCCTCGGAGACAGCTTGGAGACCCCCGGGGAGAAAAACAATGCCGACAGAAACGATGCCGTGAAACGGCCCTCTCGTTTGTTCTCGTACCGTTTAGAAAAGCTGAAGTCTGGAGGAGTCTCTCCTCCTCCGCACCAGGAGACCGCTAAGACTGCTAGATATATAGCACATTACAGCGACTGGGGACACCTGGCTACCATTTCTACACAGGATAAGGTAAGTTAATAACATGGGTGAAACGACCCTGAGTATGCAGCACACTGTTGGAGTGGGCTATAAACAAAGTGAAAGAGGCCAAATAATATTGGTTTGAACAAAAAAAAAAAAAAAGCTCACCTACATCTCCTGTTTTTGTATCTATCTTTAACATGCCACTCGAAACTAAACGCTAAACAATGTCCTCACAGGTGTTGTCAGTTATGTGTATGATTAGGTAAGGTCACATGATCAAGACGCTACGGTGGCCCTGAGGCGCAGAACATTACACAATAAAAAGCTGTAATAACATTTTGAAAAACTTATACAACATCCAAAAGTATCGGTCAGCTCCACAAAAAAGTTTAAACAACTATCTAAAACACAGCGAACAGAGAATGAGACAAATAAACATTTTCCAAAGTTGTCATTTATAAAGATGAACAAAAAGAAAACTCTGAAAAAGGGACAACATTGCATGCTTTAGGGTGGAAAGAATCCAAGTCCAAGGCATTTCATTTCTCGTCTTTACTGCAGTCCTCTGAGACATATTGAGAAATACACCTTCCCTTTCATGACGTTCTCCCACATATTTTTCAAGCTGACTAAACATTTACATTTGTACATTTGCAGAAATATGTGGAGGAAGTTACAACACACAGTTTACAGGAATTTCAATTAAATAACAAAGAAGACACTATAAAGAAAGCATGAGCTTGCCTTTTTCACTAAGGTAACAAGACTGTCTATGCTTTCACTTTTTTTTTCTTAGTGTAATCCTTGCCATTTTTTATGTGTGTGTCTTCGTTTTATTTTACATTGTTGATTATGTTGGAGTTTATCTCATACCTTACAGCCTCCATACGAGACGCTTCAAAATAACTTGACAATGAAATAAAAGAAGAAAAACAAATTTGTGTCTCAATAGAAAATCCATTATTTATAGCTCTCTCCTACAAGGAAAAAAGAAGTCTCTGGTTGAAAATGAAACAGAAAAAGAGAGTAACTTAATACACAATTAACTCACAATGAATGCATTATTCAAGTATTTGTTTTTCTAGTCATTTAGACCATTTAGACCAAACAAAAATTATTAAGTTCTTCATCAATCATTAACAGTGGAAAATGCATATTTGCGTTAGCCTACTCCTCGTTAGTTTAGTGGTGACTAGCTTTGATTCACTGATAGGGAGAAAAAGAGAAAAAGATATGGATGGCCAATCCCAGCTGTCATTGGGCGAGAGCAAGGGTACACCTTAGACAGGTTGCCAGTACATTACAGAGCCATACTAAGATGAACAAGCCCACACACTCACATTCATGCCTATGAGCAATTGAGGGTCACTAATGAAACTAACATGTCCGTTGGAGCAAGCTGGAGGAGAGAACATGCAAACTCCACAAAGAAATACCCCTATCAGGGAACTCAGGAATTTAACCAAAAAATCATACTGATATAAAAACCAAAGGTTTTACAGTCATTTGCAGTGGTTATTGGCTCTTTTGAATCTCTTCACTGTGATATAAAGCTCCACCAGGAAGGAGCAACTATAGGAGTAACTATTGTTTGTTCAATTTCTTGCTTTTTCAAATGTTTTTGTTGATCTTTTCTTATTTCAGTATGTCTTTTGTGACATCCAATAAGTGTTCCTTTATTTCCTCCCACAGATCAAAGGTATCCCCTTTGGCAACATCTTCTCTGTCAGCGATGGGCCGCTGGACAACAGCACGGGAGTCATGTATTTCTACATGACTCCAATGGACTACACTGTGGCAGACCTGGAAAGTAACCCTTATGCTTCCCTCACCTTCTCTGAAGCCGAGGGAGACTTCTGCAGGTACCTGTGTCCCGCTCTTCTACTGAACACTATGAATGCCAATTCTGAGATTATAATTGTTTGATTATCAGAGTAAGTGTACACATGATGAGATTTGCCCTTTGATGACAGTGAGAGAAGACTTCAGCTCTCTATTTGACAGGATTTGGGAAGGTGTAGGCATATTACGGCTCATCAGTCTCATGATCCACACATGTAAAATAAATATAGTCTCCACTCATGCCACACAAAAGTCTTTAACAGATTCCCACCCTCCTCCTGTAAACTTGCCCGCAGTTTTTAATTTTTACAAATGCTTTAAGCAATAATTCAGCATAATAATACAAAAAATTCTTCCAGAGCTCTTTAGGAGTTTTGTTGGCTGTCCATCATCTTCCGGCGGATATTCTGATACAAAATATTGAGGAAAGCTGAAAGCATGATCATGTTACACTCAAGCTTTCATCCTGAGTCCGCTTTTGCCAGCATAACTGCTGACCCTGCTAGAGCAGCAGTTATCGCCACACTGGCCAAAGCACAGGTCAGTTATGATTGTGTAGCTGATTTGGTTAGGCTTAGTTTAGCTCTGGATTTGCTGCACCCTGCTTCATTCCTGATCCTAAACAGTAGGAGTTGCTGTTCATAAAATTCTGCAGTGACATGCAGGAGCAGCTATGACTATTTTTACGTTATGAAAATAGAACTTTCTTTGGTTTGGATGGGTTATAGATGTGTCTTTTATTTTATTTAAAGTCACCAGAGGCTTTGTTTTGAGGTTGTCTCTGGTCCCGGGGGCCCATACATATTCACACATATATACAGACACACACGCATATGCGTGAATTTAATAGGACTTCAGTTTTGGTTTCTATTTTCATGAAACACCTTCATTGCTAAATGACTTGTCTGCTATGTTTTTCAGGCAAATGGTGTATGATCCTGAGGATCCCAGATGTGCTCGACTCACTCTAACAGGGAAGATGGTGAAGGTGGGTCCAGAGGAGCTCGCTTTTGCAAAGGAGGCAATGTTCTCAAGGTAACAAAGCTTGTCGCAGCTCGCGTTGTCACATTAGATTTGAGTTGGTGTTGTTTCTCATGCTGCTCTATTTCTAAAAGACATCCCGTGATGGAAAAGTGGCCAGTGGGACATAAGTGGTTCTTCATGAAGATGGATTTGATTCAAGTATGGCTACAGGATTGGATCGGGGGAGTATCACTTATACCTCTGGAGGACTACTTTAAAGCTACACCATTTTGAGGTCCTCTACTTTCTCACAGCATCAGCCTACAAATCCAGATTATTTCAGCTGTTTTTGCTGTACATGAAATGAACAAAGTAATGACTGACACAGAACGTATTCATTTTTATCAAACCTTTATTCTTTTTTTAATGATTAATAGAAAGAGAGAACAACATTCACACTCTCCTTCTTTACTCCTTCAGCTTTGCTAACAATGCAACATAAGTAAAAACAGGTTCTGTGGTTGATGCATGAATGTATTTAGTCTGTTCACTAATTGAATTAGTTTCATGGGTTTGCACTGGGATAGGTTTGCCGTGTCAAAAAAATAAATAAATTTGTTATCAGACTGTTTCTGAGAATTTCTGCTAGTTTTTTATTTATTTATTTATTTATTTTTTTGCTTTTCCTTCTTGGAAAAAATGTGAATGAACATTATATGATATAAAAACATGGCTCAGGTTTAAGTTTAGGTATAGAATTACACTTGAAGTTGAAAGTGAGATTGTGATTTTCTGTGTGCAATGACAGTGTTTGCTCAATCGCCAGTGGTTCAAGGCCATAGGAAATTTTACATTGAAATATGATAACACATCTATCCCAACAATGAGTCATATTGGTTTTGAGTAAATGGGAACATAAATGCAAGTGTCTGAAGTCACTGTAAACTAAAAACACTGGGGGAGTACTCAACCCTGGTGTTTGTTTGGGCCCCAAACCTGAAAGAAGCCATTCAGTGAAATGTTTGCATTTGCAAGCATAATGGCTATACAAAGTGAAACGAACTCCTCCATGCCATGTTTGCTTGTTTACTTTATGTCGAAAATGAAAGATGAAACAAGTTTTCTCTTGAATGTATTAGGACTTCAGTAACAGGTGATCTATCTTGCCTCCTTTAAATGTTTTTATAGATATATTATAACTTCTAGTAGGTAGATTAAGAATTAAATCACCCAACAGCTGCGTTGTTTAAACAATATTAACCATGTAACCACATTTAGAAAAACTGAATTGAGTTGTTTTCACATCAATGTGCAGCATTTACTTTTATTCTGAAAGTCCAAACCGGAAAACGCATCCCTCCACATTAACAGTTAAACGCCTTTAGAAAGAAATACCACTTTACCAAACACAACACGCCTCAGTTCTGAATTATTCATACCGAGAGGGGCGTTACCTCTTATTTGGCATTTGCGCGAACCCACGGAGAAAGCTCAAGCTGTGAAACTACACAGCGACATGTAAAAAAAAAAGAAAACCTAACAAGTCACCGTGTTCCGCCCTGACAGCTGTGGGTAGGTAAGTGCAGGTTAACGGGACCCCGGCAGCGCTGACTAGCGGAGTCCCCAGTTAATGCTAGCTCAGTGGCTAACTTGTTCACGTAAACCGTGTCGCAGTCGTCCGGTAAAACTTTACACGACTCCGGGGAGTAAACGCAGCCCTGGTTTCCGTGTCTAATTCCCCCCTCTATCTGTTGCTGGCTCTCGAAGTGGCGTCAACGTGATTTGAGGCGTAGCCTCTCTACCGCCGTCACAGCGCGAGCAGCCTATCCCGAAGGAGCAGCCGTCACACACTTAAAATGCCTTCTTACTTGCAACTTGTAGCTAACGGGCGGTTGTAAATTTTTTTACAATGGAATGCTCGAGAAAGCCGTTCGTTTCTCTGTGAGCCGAGCGTGTGAAGTGTTTGGTCACGGAAAGAGCTGACGCGTGACTGACTGCCGTTGGAGGGGTACCGGGGGAGGAACACGTCTTACCCCTTCCGATAGAGAGAGAGAAAAAAAAAACCGACAAGAGGAGACGCACTAAGACTGGGGTTACATCCGAGCACTCGCCTCCCAGAAGATCGGTCCGGCGAACGAAGCCCATCGACGTGTCCGTATGCCTGCGACCGCCTTCATCTCCACACCTCGAAGGCGGTGAGAGTCGGAGGGAGAGTCGGCAGCAGCTCGGGGGTCCTCGACACTCAGCCGAGGGGGAGGCATCGCTGAAATGAGATGAGGCTCAGAAATGGAACTGTGGCCACCGCAATCATCTTCTTCACGTCGTTCCTAAGCCTCTCCTGGTACACCGCATGGCAGAATGGCAGAGGTACGTCCAATCTTTCTCCCATTCACGGATGGATTATGTAACGACTGGCCCCTGGCCTTAGATTTGTAAAGGCCCCCCCTCACTCAGACATGTAAAGGGACGTCCTGCCAAGGACTATGACGCCCTGAAAGAAGAAAAAAAAACACGAAACAAACCGCGCTTCATGCAGGCTTGGCTTATGCGGGTGATGTGTGTATTGCAAACGTTATCTATCCCATATCTTCATAGTGGTCGTTCTACTTCTCTTCAGGGTTTTTTTTTGTATATCCCATCTTGTTGGTTTTACCTCTCTTGACGCTGTGTTGAAGTTTTGTTTTTTTTTCTTTCCCCCTGGCTTTAGATGTGTGAAATTGGCCTCTGAGACTTTGGGGTTGTTTTTGGATTTCAAAATTCGGTTGTGTTGGTATATTTTTGCATTCATTTTCTTAAGATGGTTGTATTTTATGTTGTGTTTAGCCTCATTTGCATCAATTGGCAATCCTTCCTGGTGTGATTCTGTCTCATATTTGTGTGTAGTGCATTTGGTCATTTTGCATGTTATCATCGTCTTGCTTCCCTCGTATCTCACCCACCCATTCAGGGTTTGTTTGTCTCCTAATGAAATGTAACCAGCAGGTTGCCTTGGGTGTGTTGACTTTCGACACACAAGATGGAAATATTCCCACTGGGGAGTGCACCCATAGTCATATGTAGTGTATTTAACAATTCAATTTATTTAAAGTATTACCATTCCAGCTATAGTAAAAGGGTATGATCAGCCTGTCACCGGCCCTCCATTGGTTGAATATAATCTAATGACTCCCCATCATATAAAGCAACAGGTGTCTGGAAATGTTGTTACCCCAAAAAGAACAAAATCTTCTACCTGAACCATACTATACATGCAAAGTTGTAATTTATTACATATAATGGTTAGGACACAGTTGTTGGCACAATCATTGTTGTATCTCTTGTCAGATTAAGCTGAGAGCATGCTCTTCTGCTCTATTTAATCGAACTTCTACATGGGAAGCAGGGGGTTATTCACTATGACTTTGTAATGGTTATGACAAAGTTATAAAAAAAATAAGGATATCAGTTCTATTTTTTCTCTACAAAAACTAGCAAGCAGATAAAAAAGCAATTTTTAAAAATTGTACTCCTTTTGCTTTACAATATTATTTTAACTTTGAATTGGCTTTATTGCAGTATTAAGGTCTATCGATCAGCATTAGCCATTACTTTTGAAATATTCGAAATATTCAATGTTGCTCAATAAAAGATTGGGGATATCTCAAAATTTTGAGTCTAAAAGATGTTAAAGTGTGATATTGTTGCTTAAGTGCACTATACTGTCAGAATCTCTTGTCAGCTTGTCTTTACTAAATAATATATTCTAGTCTGTTATATGTTAGATCTGTGCCCCTGACTATTTCTAAAATTACCAACACGGGAAATGTTGAAACAGAAGATATGCTCGTGAGAAACTGTGCAGATGAGGGGATAGCATCTCACCTGTGATCATATCAATATCTAACTGATCTACATGTTTTAGGAACAAGGAAGGAGCAGCAAAAAAACAACAAGTAAAATCTGAATTTAGTGAGTGGCAAAGGAAGAATCTGCACCCCGCTTGTTTGTGAAGGTGCTTTTTGAAATGCTGAACTTTTTTTTTGACAGAAAAACAATATTTACACTTGGACCCCAAAATTTAACAACAAAAGATATATTTTAGGAATCAACAGAACTATGAAAAGTAATCATGATCACTTTTAAGCTTTAAAGTGATACCTGCGTTAATATGGACTTCAAAATAATTCACTTTGACTGTTTTATGGAATTCCATGAACTTTGTGCTCATAACTCTTTGCTCTCTCTTGCTCTCTTTGTGACAGATAAAGATCAAACAGCAATTGTACTCATTGGACGAGGCTAACAAGTGAGAGCTCAGCTCTCAGAGAGTATTGCAAAATGTCAAAATAGATGATTCATCAGCTCTACCAATCGGTCGTTGTTTCTGAATCTGAAAGTGCATCATACCATGTTTAGTCAAGATATTTGCTTGCCACACCTGTCTTACCAGCACGCCAAATACTGTCAGGCTGTCTCACTGTACTCCCCCCCCCCCCCTCCCAGCCCCAAAGTGAATTCCTTCTTTGCTTAGTCTGTTTCCTCCGAAGTTCTCTTTTTTGTAAAGCCACAAGCTTCTGTTTAACTGCATGGCGCATATAATTTCTGCCTACACGTAAAGGTGGATTCACCCTTCTTACTTGCCATCACAGGCATGTTTGCTGCGTGTTGAGACATTTAATAACCTGTCCAAGAAGTTGCACAAACACAACAGATTTCAATATAGGCTCATGGTATGTGAGTGATCTGTCAAAGCAATAATGATAGGCTCCTTTTTTTTCTTAGAGAGCGGTCAAGCTCTCTAAGAAACCTTTTGATTAACCTTACATACCCTTTGATTGCATTTGGAATAGTTTTATCTTTGACAATCTGTTCCTGTTCTGCTTCCTTGACTGCTGTGAATTGGAGCTTTAAGAGTCAGCTGTACAAACACTCCATGTTGAATGGCCCTCCAGAATGTGCACTTCTCAGTCAGGGTCTCCTTCATCCCCCAGTAAGAAAACGCTCTCTGGTTCCGTCTTAAGTAGATCATAGTACAATAGGATTGGATGAATATAGTTCAGATACTTTAAGAAAATAATGCTGTTGTTACGCTTGCAAGAGAAAGTAGACCTGTTTTGAATGCATTGTCTCTTTAAGTGCATTTCCCCTCACTTAGCAGAATGTCGAAGATCCTAAAAAGACTATTTATGGATGTATTTTATGTAAGCCAAATGAAAATGCATTTAAAAACACAAAGACATTAAAAAAATATACTCTTTTTGCAGATTTGCATTGACAAATATTGCACCACTAGCCAACTCATGCCACTGCATGTGGCGCACAGTAAAAGTTTGGGTTTCACCATATTTCCTCTGCAGCCTTTATCGGTTTGCCTTTATTCACAGTTGCGCGCTGGAATGAAACCCTCTTTCAAAAGAGGCTTGAACACAGGCTATATATAGTATATGGCACATCACAGCGATTTGAGGTAGCTACAACAGTGTACAAACCAAATTTAACTGCCACCAGTATTTAGTAAATAGAGCTTTGAATTGCAGGGCAGGTTTTATTGTTTCACTTCTGTTTGCATCTAGGCTTTTTCCAATAATTTAAAACAGTGCAAAACCAACTAAAACCAAAGGTCTCTGCCTTTTTAAAAAGTTTTCAGAGGAACTGTTAAAGCCAGTAGTAGAAGTTGTAGTTCACTTCTAGACTTGGCTTCAGGGCCTTTACTGAACTGAAACGACGGCATGTTTAAGCTCATAACCTCCAACTGAAAGTGACAGTCATCCAGCCGTTTCATTAATCAAAGAGTGGTGACGTGCGATAGGTCTTCCGAGGAATTAATTTACTGTCTGTGTGGTTAAACATGACGCAGCATTTTTTTGGTTATGGCAGAACAATTGGCTTCCAGGCAAGATCAGTTACATTGAGTCTTAAATGAGCCCTTTTAATCTACTAAAAACAGTATTTTTTAAATTAATTTCAAGTCAGTTTGAATCAAAAGAAGGGGGGGAATAACAGTTGTTTGGTACATTTATTCCTACAAATGCCACATTTAGACTTCTTGATCTACAAACTAAAGATGAGACGGCTCCGTTGGAATTCCTTCCGAGCACATCTGCTCTGTGTCCTAATGTCAAGCGTATTATCCTTTTTGTAAATACTAGCTTCTCTTTGCTTTACAGGAATATATACTGTTCTCTTCCGTTTGTTTTTCAAGGCTTAGTTCACCTCCATCATCACTTCTGTCTGACACAATGGGACAGAAATAGCCCACATGATTGCCATAAAAGAGGTAAATGAGCGAGCATGTTCTGGAAGGAAGGGTAGCTGCACACTGCAGGTTTTCAGCTGCGAATGGAATCGGATGTGGCTTACAGGCTTGCACATTGTGTTTCCTCGCTCGTAGTCTTTTTCTCTGCGTGTGTGTTTTCGAGCCCGTGCACAGTGTGAGGTGAGGCAGCCTGCCAGACGGATCCCAAGTGGCCCGAAAGGAAAGGCGAGATAGTGCAGAAATCTTATGGGAGGATGAGAGGAGGCTGAGGTGGGGCCGTATGATGGAGAGAAAGGCCGCCGGCCGCTGTGCTGACAGGGCAGTGAAGCACTGGGATACAGACACACGCTGACACGCGTCCAACTCTCCTTCTCCCAGACAGTCCTTGCTCTATTTAAGCAGACCTCTCCAGCTATTAGCGACTCAATCATCATTGTTCGCCTCCTCGTGGTTCCTCTGGTCCACAGTGCGCCTCATTCATTCGCGCATGTTCCTCCTTTACTTCTGAACGGCATTGCCAGACAGCGCACAGTTTCTCTCAGTGTCAGGGAGAAGAGATGCTGACTGTTGGACTCAAATAGCTCCCCGTTGATTAATCAGTGGCACAACGTGTCTGAATACACTGGGTTGGTGTGTGTTTGTGTGGCTGTTGGGATGCCCCCTTACAAACGACAGTTTGAAATGTTAGAGACATGTTATGATCAGACACTGGAAATGACCAGAATTTTATCAAATCCATTTAACAGAGTAATTCATTTAATAAAAAAGGCTCAACTTGGCCTGTAGGGGCTCTGCTTGTTACGCGGAAACAGAAACACTTTAAAAAATAAATCTTTACTTGCCTCTGGCATTGCTAACACAATAACTAGCATCCCTTCACTATATAATAATATAGTATAGTATATCCTCCTTTTCATGGCTATGAAGCCTAAGCCTGGTTTTGAAAAGACACATCTAAGACACATTTAACACCATAAGAACAGCTATATTCATTCAAAGAAAGCCTATAAAATGACACCAGTTTGTTTGGTGCCTGTTGCCTCTGTAGACTTAGCTTCCACTGCGGGGGAAAAAATACATCCCACCTCAGTGGAAGGGGCAGATATCACTCAAATGGCAAAAATGACTCCTTTAATGTGATAATGGGACTAGCCTCCAGGTTAAGTGGGTAATTTTTAACAGGATGATGTTGAACTCTACTAAAACTATCCACTTCAGGAACAAAACATTAATGAGAGTAGAGGGATGGTAGTGAGTAAAGCATTCTACCAGTCAAAACGACTCATTGTTGGTGATTAAATCGCATCTACGATGCGCGGTGCTCTCTTTTCCAGTCCTGATCACAAAGCAAAGAAAGGTTTCTTTTTTAGAAGACATAGATGGTTATGCAATATGCAGAGTCAATCAATAAATCTTTAAATTTCTCTTTTTCCAAAAAAAGAAAACTCGCTGTGGGTGATTATAGTTGAGTAAGAAGGAAGAGAGCTGAGCGTATTTATCTGAATGAGATAGAACCGGTGAGCTCATTGTGACAGTTGAGGAAGGACTTGGGTGGAGATCGGGTGAAACAATGAGGTCATTGTGAGAAAGCAAAATTAAGAATCGTTACCAAGAAGGCAAGCTGTTCCCTCGTCTCCCTAAAGTTCCAATTTTTTCTTACTGTCTTAAGTGAATGGGGGGTAAAAAAGAAAAGAAAATGACTGAGTGAAATACAGCCGTGCCTTTTTCCTGCAAACTCGATGGAAACATTAAGGGGGTATCGTTTACCTACTCCTGCACCTCTCACCAAGAGAATACCACAGAAAAATCAATACTACTACTCTGTGCGTGCTTGCTATGGCTGAGGTGTGCTGGTGTGTTAAGCGTTACGGGAAGAATACAAAGCGAAACTGTTCGGTCAAACTTTCAACTTCTCAAAGTGTTATCTTTTGATCTTTCAGTTCTCTACCGCATATGCAGTTAAAGCACATTTGCATCCCTCACACAATGTTTTGCCATCGAATATGTAGGCCTGTAGGTTCCATTCAGTTGTATTGGACATATCTGGGTGCTTCCAGATCTCCTCCCTGGACGGCAACATGTTCTGTGCCCCCTTTAAGAGGCCATTCCTTTGTTACGTGCTTTTTGTTGCACACAGCAGCTGCAGAGTAGAGCCTTATGACTAGCAGGTGCTCCATTTTGGGTCGTCATACATGCATAATGAATGCGGACATGCTTTTCAGTGGCCCCAACAAGTTTAGGGACGGCCCAGTTTGTCAGAGCTTTCATCTGTGTAGAAGTACACGAATAAAGTAGTAGAACATGAATACAGCTGAAGTGCTTTTGTGTTAAAGCTGAAGTGCTTCTCTGTGTTCTGCGATAAGTCAAGGCTCTTCACACTGTGGTGTGGTATTTGGTATGGTTTCCACCAGCTAATCAGGAGCGCTTATCTCAGATCACTTCAAAATGATCAGCCTTTAAGGGTAATGTGGCCTGTCCTTGAGGTTATGGCCACAGATGGAGTTTTGTTTATTGCTGTTGCGTCGGGTAGACGGCAGAGATCCCAGAGGGGCAGCATTTGAATTCCAGCAGATAAAACCAAATTTGTGGCCACACTGGATTTGAGTACATGTGCTTGCGTGCGTTTGTCCATGTGTGTTTGTGTAATCGAGGTAAATGACCCTTTAGTCACAATTTCCTCTGAACAGCTGGTGTTGAATCGTCTGCACCTCTCGTACGATTGAGCTGTCCTGACGTTTAAAGCAGAGCAGATCTCTTCATCCTCCAAAGATTGACTTTTTAAAAGAGAAAAAAATCTAGACCTGGTCTCTCGGGGCTGTAAGCCAGCCGTCTCCTGTAACATGTATCAGTCTCGTGTTAATTTGTTGAGATAGATGTCTGTAAGTGGCATGTCTGCATATTTGTTGTGCACGTCTCCGTCTTTCTCTCTCATGCAGACAAATCCCTGATCAGCACTCATGAGCTCGCTGTCAGCAGCGTGCATCAGCAAGGGGGAGTAAGGTCAAGGTTAGCATCAGTGTGAGGGCTTTTGGTGAGCGGATACCCTGACTGCTAAAGCATTTAACTGTTCCACATGCTCAGAGCTGGATTTGTGCGTCTTTAAAACGTCGCCTTCATTTCAACGGTGAAATTTTTTTTCATAGATTGACGTAGGGCCACCGACATTTAGCAGAGCATATACACTTGAACTTCTTTTCAATCTATGTGAGCTGTTGCTATCTTTCGGTGTGTCGTAGAAAGACATCTCATATCTCTAAAATAATCAGAAAAATGAGATTGAGCCATTTTAGATGTAAAAGCGTCCTTGTTCATGTGTGCGGCTTTAAAGATGAGCGCACTTAGCACAGATCTCAGCAAGATTTGTGGTGATACAACATTTTCTGCAGTGGTAGTTGTTATTTTGCCATTTAAAGTAGAAATGAAGACTTTTTCCTTTGGTATTGAGCTGTTTCTGACCGGATCATTTCAGTGTCTTTGTCCAAGTGTCAGTGGTGAAATATAACATCCATGATATAATCTACTACTTCCTCTTCTTAGTGTTCCGCTTTGCTTGGATGAGAGATTAAAACCCTTTTAGGAGCTTTACTAAAAAGTGTCAAGATGTGAAGAAATTGACAGTAGATAGTGTTACGTCAGGGCCGTTTTTATCTTAGTGTGAGTCTCGCAAATGATACCCAAAGGATAAGCAGGATAGAAACATCCAATAACTTTTAGTTCTACTCTAATTCTGTTTGGATACAGCCTAAGACTTTATTAATTTCAGATGAACACATTTAAAAAAAAAAAAAGTTATGTGTAAAGATTAGAAATAGACCAGTTGTTTTTAATTTTTTGTTTTTGTTTTTCTCAAGCAGCTTTTCTTTAAGAGAGGCTGCTTAAACATGTCCATTATTGTTATCCGTTAATGGTTATGAGGCCTATGAGTCTGCTTGTTTTAAAGCGTAGCAGTTAAAAAGTCCATTAAACGTCCTCCCCCTCATTCCTCCCACAGATATCATTTATAAATAAACTGAGCAAAGCAGTCAAACCTGACACATCAAGACAAAATATCACAGCACTGTCAGGGATGGAACACACTAAATGTGTGTGGCCATGACGGTGGACAGTGCGTTATCTTAGGAAAAGAAACCTCTCGTGCAGAGTAGAATAATTCGATTTTGTAGATATGCTGCAGACCTGAAGTGGGTCTAATTATTTAATGCATTTCTGGTTCTTTTCAGTCCTTCTGTGGCAGCAGAGCTTTGCATTGGGTTCAGCATTCGACTTCGTCAGTGTGACAGTCAGACAGGTTTTTTCTTTTAATAGTTTTTAACCAGGGTTAACATATCTATCCCTGTGCATCTCTTCCGCATGTCTTTCTCTTAAGCAAATATTTTTTTTTCTTAACACATAAAACTGCCAGAAGTCTCACCATGCACTAATTAATCTGTTGCTGGAAAACATTCAGTTTGTCGCAACCTCACCTTCCTCTTTCTGTACTTTCCTCGCTCCGTGGGACTCCAGGTGTGGTTTCAGCAGTCCAATAAAATCAAAGAGCTGTTGTGAAGATAAAAGCTTTGAGGGCCTTTTTTTTTTTCCAGTTTGAAGTTGCCCTTTTCTTGAAGCTTGGGGGCAGACGACAGCATCTGCCTGCCTTACCTTCAGAGTTCAGCATTCAGGTGGAACAACATGAACAATGAGGAGTGGGGCCGGGGCAGAGGGGGGTGGACAATAGCCCAGTCAGACGGCGATGGAGAGGGCCAGATAAAGTGAGTGTGGGGTTGTTGAAGCAAAGGTCGCAGAGTAGAGTAAACCAACCAGAAGAGGAAGATAACACCAAGAACAAACTCACACCTCCAACTTACTGACTGAACACAGCAGATGAACACCTGAGGGCTTTTTGTCCATCCGAAAAACCCTTCAAAAAGATGATAAGATGAGATAATCACTATGTCGGAAATCCTATTAATAAGAAAGGGTTTTAATCTGTAAGATTTACCTTCAGGTGTTTTTGTGCCGAGCTAGTTTGGTTCAGCTAAAATTAGCTACATGTGCCCATTTAGAGCTGCGCATAAGAATAGAATTGCGACCGGCGGACAAAAATATTCTCGCTTCTCTTTAAAAAATTATTTAAAGACTGCTTTCACATGGTTCACCTCTGTTCATATGTTTGGGTGAATTTTGCTCATGACCATGACACTCACCCAATCTGTCTCTGAGCCTTTTTGTTGTGTTCCTGTGATATTCCCACTGACGACAAACTATCTGTTGCAACTAATTAGAGTAGAGGTGGTGTCGAACGTCACCAAAGCACAGCAGCTCACATAGGCACTAAACAAGTGTGAGAGAAGAATAAAAAAAGTGTTGAAACAAAGTGATGTGTTATGTGAATGTGTGTGAAAGCAAAGCTGCCAAATTTTGGAAGCTCCTTGCTTATCATGTGCGAGTCTAGAGAAATCTTTTTACTGTGTGTCTGCATAGCTTGCAAAAGTGTCTTATAAAGCAGAGGTATTCAAGCTGGTATTAAGCTGGCAGGTTAAAGCAAGCAGGGATTGTGTTTATCTGCAGGCTTTCAAGACACATTGGCGACAAACTGTCTGGACATTGTATCAGATTGGTGTGTCTTTACGCGCTCGGAACCTTCTCACCCCGTTTAGATTAGTGAACTTAATCTTTTGTCCTCACAGAGAAACTAATAGCCTACCAGCGGGAGTTCCACGCTTTGAAAGAACGCCTTCGCGTGGCTGAGCACAGGACGCTGCAGCGCTCCTCGGAGCTGAACACCATCCTGGAGCAGTTCAGACGAGCAATCGCCGAAACCAATAGCAGCAAAGATGCTCTCACAACCTTCTCAGGTAACAAGCGCACGAACGGCGCGTGAACTCATGAACCCCCGCTCCGCTTTCAATGCTCCCCGGTCAACAAGAGACGTTTTGAAATTCTGGAATGATCTCATGAGGGTTTCTGCACGCGGATTGATTTAAAATAAAAAATTGTGGTTGATGATTTGTCAAAAGATTTTTTTGTTTTGCCCATTAAATGAATCAGACTAAATCTTATTCATTCAAAGTACACCCTGTGGGAAAGTACCCTTTTGAGAGCTAACTAATGAATCTTTCTCAAAAATTCGAGGAATTGGGCAATTTTTCTTTTTGGCACAACTGAGACAAACCTAACAGCCTCTGAATCAGTCATAGAATCTGGCAGAAAAATTATACTTATCACAAGATCCTTGAATGTTTGGTTTGAGCAGTTATTTCTGATGGAGACAGACTGATTTTGATAGTTCTGTATTTCTTTCCTAAAAAAATGTAACTGTTTTTTAAATAATCAAATATTCAATTCTGTTCTAAAGCTTTCCATTCCACATAACGTGTGAAGTGTCCGAAGTGTGTCAGCGTTTATGGTCTGTTTTAGTGGCCATAAAAAAGGAAACCTGTAATTAGAAAAAAGCTTCCATATAGGGTATTGTAATTCCATCTATATTAATCCTCATTGTTCCATCAGGATGATAGTTTCAGCGTTCTACCAGAGAACTTGAGTGTCAGCCTGTGGTGCTTCAAATTTTATGTTGATTCTTTTCCCAGATATTGTTATTTCAGTATTAAGCCACGTGTGAAACATTATCTGTTATTTGACTTGCAACCCTATTTTATTACCAGCAAATCATTCTGTAGTGCGTAATTATGAGATTGTAAGTAGAACACAAAGGCTACACGTCCTCCTTTTTGTCATTTGAACAGCCAGAATGGAGCTTTTGTAATTATTTTTTTTGTGTGCTTACTTTCAGACGAGACACAGAAACTACTGAAAGAGCTCGCCAACAGAAAGCCTCTCCAGGTGCCAAACATCTACCACCACCTGCCTCACCTCCTCAACAATGAGGGCAGCCTGCAGCCCGCAGTGCAGGTCGGCTTGGGCCGCACCGGAGGTGAGGGATATGTGTGTGTGCATCCTGCAAATATAGCATGTGTTATGCCTTACTCTCCACACTGGGAGTGCTTATACAAACACATAAACCCTGGAGGCGGTGTTATTTCTCCAGGGCGAGGAGCAAGTCTCAACAAGTTTGAAGTTTGTGACTATTTCAAATCAAATATACCCCTTGGAATTGGTGTTTTCTGTTTTTTGTTTTTTAAACTAAATAGAAAAGTTAGTTCAATGGAGAGATCATACATAACGGATATAAGATATGTTACTGTCTGTATAAAGTAAGATTACGGTTCCTGGATGGCAGCCTGCTGGAGAAAAGGTTAATCCCCACTTTGAACTACATAAGGTGTGGCCTTAGATTATTTTTTCTCCCACTCACACATTCAGGTTTTGCATTAATTCAACAGCTTTCTCAGAATGAGTCCTTGTTTTATGGTTGTAGTTATTGGTCCTCAGCTTCAGAAAAATGATCGGTAAGATATGTTTTTTTAAATGTATTTCTTTACGTTTTCAGGGTAGACTCAGATCTCTTCAGACAGATATATTTTGAATGAAGCACTCATTCACCCTCACAGTCTTCGGAAAAGAGCTGGTAGTCTAAAAGTGCAGTTGGCTGAGGACCAAGAAAAGGATCCGGTATAATCAGAGGCCTTGATTCGTTCATTCTCCAGTGAGGAGTTGTGATGACACAGCAAAGTTTTACATAAGCTTTAAGTGTGTTAGGCCTTGTCTCAAGTTATTTTTTGCCACAAATGGCATCGTTGCCCAACAGTTTCCATCCAGAACAACCGTCATGCCGAAGTTTCTGCTGCAGGAAGTGATTTGTGATTTGTGCCATTGTGACAAATGGCTGCACAAACTTTTTGACCCTCCATCAACCATGCATGCCACATGACACGCTTGATGGGTCTCTTGCAGTATTTTCCACAAGGCACTAACGCTTACTGTAATATCCCATCTTGGTGTGGCGCTGTGCCTCGGAGCCCACCACCCTGCTTTTCTATTTCTGTTTCCTGGATTTCTGCTGATGTAAGCACGTTTGACACTGTGATATTTATAGCTGCTCCAATTAGGTTTTCATCTCACTTGAAATTGAAAGATGGATAATGGAAAGAAACAGTTGAGGGAGATATTGATCAGTTTTTCTGTGAAGATGCACATTGACCTGGCTGCTTTCTTTCTCCCTTCTCAACAAGCTCCTTATCAGGTGGGCATAACCCCACTCACTCTGGGTGGTCAGACACTAGAAATGGCGACTACCAGTAAAAAAGATATGTTACAATAAGGGATGTGATTGTTGTAATGTTATTAACTCTAATATAGTACAACCACCTGGTAGCCTTTTCTTTATCTGAGAATGAACATTGGCAATTAAAACATTCCTGATCCCATGATCATTGGCCATCCATGACAGTGGTGCAGAGATATCCTGCACATCGTGTGTGTTTAGTTTTGTTTTGTTTTTCTTTTCTTGATGGAGATAGATGGGCTGTCAGCAGTGCGGGCGGATTGATCCTGTCCCAGTGGTTGAGGCAGTGCGGCAGTCGGGTTGGCCTTGCTGCCCATGCATGCATTATCGCTCATTCACTGTCTGCCATCCTTCCTTACTCTTGTCACTGGGTCTCTTTCTCTCCCTCCCACGTTCTCCTTTCATCTTCGACCTACATTCTCTGTGGTGGTGGGCGTCGCTATACGGCATGGAGCCGAGTGCGAAGAAGGCAAAGCAGAACTGGGACAGATTCTTTATGCTGCGCGGATCACTCTGGAGGATTACACCCATCTCTGTCCACTGTGCTGCACTTCGACTTTTCTTTTTTTTTTTTCCTTCTTGCTTTTACTGGGCTCCCTTGAGTTTCTTGCATCGGCTCAGTCAGCATCTAACTCTTCTCCTCCACCAGACCCACTCTCACACGTAACACTTCACTTTGCATATACAGCATGTTACTGTCCCGCCAAGCCAAGTGTTCTTGGAACTCTGAGGAGCACTGTACTTTGTTGAGCACCACCGTCAGACAAAGCCTTTTACATTTTATGGAAAACATGCAAAACTGCTGGAGTGACTCCACCACGTATGCGGAAAGAGTGCATCAACACAACACAGGAAGCACACAGGCTAAAATCCTGTTGCAAGACAATCTTTTTTTTCCCAGTTTTCCCTTGAAATTTGATTTAATTTATCAAAAGACATCACTTATCCTGATTAATGGCGTCACGCTGATGTTTTTATACTCCTTATCTTTGTCTCCTTTCCTGATGAAAGTAACCTTCAGTCCAACAAATACAAATGAGATAATGGGCATTTTTACCCAAACAAAATATTTTCAAGTGCGGGTATCCTCCGGGGTCTGTTTCAGTGCAGTATTCGCCTTCATTCAAACTGCACTGGGACAGAACAGAGGCGGCTCACCCTAATGCCATCACTGATTCTGGCTTTTTTCCCTTAGGATGATAACAGCCACAGTTAATCTTTAGCACATGGAATGAGAACTTTAAAAGCAAGCTGAAACGTGGACCTCAATTATGTCCAATTCTAGAATGTGTTTAGTGTCTCTCTGTTAACCAAAGATGAGCCTTTGACTCAACAAGAAGAATTTGGCAGAGTTGATATACTGCATGGACTATTTATTTCGTAATTCTGGATGCAGTGATAAACACACTGGTAGCGTTTCCTGGATCATTATTCCTGTGCTTACATGGACGTAATGATGGCATGCCATGACAACCAGAGGCTTGAAGGTTATTTGCATCAATAGTTCTGTTGGCTGCTGGGAGTTCTCAAGACGCATATTTCTACCAGAGACCCAAATTCAGCTTGAGGAAAAAACAAAATCCTAGGAATAAAAACAACCAAAGGACCAAAAAAAAAATAACTAGGAAAAATAACTGAGTTGAAACAGCTGCGGGCAGGAAACACAGGTGAAAAGAGCTGAGCTAATGACCAGGAGGAGGCAGGAAACTGAGAAGAGCCACGACCCATGTAAACACACAGGACCAAAGACAATTGAATAAGAAAAACAACACAGAAAACGCAGAAAAATATCTCAAATTTGTGACTGGGCCTAAACTCTCTAAACTGTATAGTTTATAGATAGGTTTCCGCTAACCTTTTCCTCCCTCATGCTGGACAGCAGATGCATCTTTCATGGACGGCCACGATCCCATTCTCAACCTCCAAATGTTATTATTTCAAACTTCTGTTTCTTCCACGTCTGGTATTTACATACCTGTCTCTCATTTGTATATTGAAATGTTATGGGAGTCAGATAAATTAATTTAACTCAAATCGGTTGTGTGTACTGTTAGGCATTTGACGTTAAATCATGACGTTTCCTTAGCATCATGAATTGGCAGTGGAGATGCACTCAAAAACGTCTTCCGTCGGTCATCCTGTTACCACCATCTGTCAATCTGGGCAGGAATTTCTGCTCATGTGGATCAGGGCCGGCATAATCTGTTGTTGACTCGCAGCAGAGATTATTTAGTTTCTGACACACCCATTTTTGATTAGACAGCCACCCTTGGGTGTTTCTCTGTCTCACACTTGGCTCCTTGTCTTTACTTCAGTTACTATGGTGATGGGGATTCCCACAGTGAAGCGGAAGGTGAAGTCCTACCTGTCAGAGACACTGCGATCGCTGATAGACAAGCTATCACCAGAGGAAAAACTTGACTGCGTCATCATTGTGTTTATTGGGGAGGTGAGATATATGACATAGCTTAACTGTTAAGAAATTCAAGAGTTGAATGAGGCTGCATGGGTGTCATATATCTTTATGGTGCCATCCCTACAGACTGACGTGGACTATGTTCAGAGTGTGGTTGCCGGCCTGGAGAAAGAGTAAGAACACTGTTCTTTCTTTTTACAAGATTCTAGCTCAAATTATTAACGTTTATGGATGCCAGGAGAGAACTTTGTTACATTTCCTCGCAGGTTTTCTACAGAGCTCAGCTCAGGCTTGCTGGAGGTAATCTCCCCACCAGCCGCCTATTACCCTGATCTCACCAACCTCAAAGAGACTTTTGGAGACTCCAAAGAAAGAGTCAGGTAAGAGGAGCATGGCGGGGCGGAGCAGCCCGCTCCTTCACAAACTCTCATTTAGACAGAAATCATAATTCCGAATGTGAGCAGCTCGGATACAACGCAATGTTTGAAAGCTGCGGGATTGCAGAGGAAAACAGATGAGTCAGGGACTAGTGGGAGGGAGAGAGCAAGTGAAAGCTTTTAGGTAGGCGCTTAATATTCCACAGGCATTTGTCAAAGTCAGATCAAGGTCAGCAGTTTGCAGCAGCGCTCTGTAGCGCTCACTGTGATCCTCTGCGCTTATCTTCTCTTATAGTTGGGTTCATTAAAAATCTATTTATAGTGCAGTGGAGACTTGCATTATGTACTTGGATAATAGCCCACAGGAGCCCTACGCCGTGTTTGTTTGTGGATGAAGCTCAGTGGCTACCGACAGAAGTCTTATCTAATGAGATCGTATTTTATAGCAGCTCTTCCGTGAAGTTTTGTCCGCGTGTTTTATACACTAGCTCCCAAGTCGGTTGTAAAGAAAAACACTCATTAAAGCCTCTCCCTACACCCAACAACCCGGCTTAGCTGGAAAAAGTATTCATCGATGCCCTATTTTTTGTCTTTACACGTCTTTTAGTAGCCGTGTGTGCGCATGCATATGCGCGCTATCAGAAATCTTTCAATGGCAGCTCCAACACAGGAACACCTGCAGTCCTGGGCGAACAGCCTTCAGTCAGACTGCTACATCACTTGGATCAAACAATTAGTGTGACAGTAGGACCTCATGAATAATTCAAATGAAGTCTGCCACTGCACCTGTTCCTTATATACCGACGAGCGCAGTTCCACTTCCTGCATGTCTGAAGAGACACGCTCTCAGCCCAGGAATTTTGTACACACTGTAAGATTGATTCGGTTTTCATGTATCAGTAGTAGCTGCCATCATGTGTTAATCATTCCTGCTCTTTTCTTCTTCTTTTTTTTATTCAGATGGCGAACAAAGCAGAATTTGGATTATTCCTTCCTCATGATGTATGCAGTGAGCAAAGGGGTTTATTATGTGCAGGTACATTCTTAAATTCAAATTGAAAAAAAGACATTGTACTTCTTAGCCCTAAACCTCTAAAATAAAATAGCTTTTTGTATTTTTAAAAACCAGCAGTAGTACGGTGTAAGGGGCAAAAAAGACAGGGATACAGTGATGTGCAATAGTCTTGATGCACATGTCATTAACCAGGCTTCAACGTACTGCAGGCGGATCAAGTGTCTGTCCAGATGCATATCTCAGGTCCTGTGTCAGGACTTTGCTGCATTTGTTTCCTTTTCCTCGTGGACATCACTTTGAAATACTGCTGACCTGCAAACATTTTTTTCTTTTTTACTTTCTGTATAATAATATCTTAATGCAAAACAGGTTTATCCCTTGGGTTAGATTTTTTACACTGAAATGAGTCATAGACCAATAAGTGGCTGGACTGCATCAACAAGAAAAAAACACAATAAACACCCCACCCGTTTATTGAAACCTTCAAAACATCTATAAACTACTACCCAAGACCACTTAGGAAAAAAGTCCAGCCCCGGGAATTAATGTGTGACATGAAAATGAAATAACTGGAATTTCAAATGTTTTCATAAATCATTGCCCCTGAAAACAGGAAATTAAATTTTATTGTCAAAGTGCAAGTTTAAAAAAGAAAAAGTAACTTTAAGACTAGCCGAATGTTCTGTGCTGTTCTGGATTACCACAAATACTCTTCCAGACCTTTTCCTACAGTACATCTTGTTGGGGTTTTAGAATGGACTCCACAAATAGGTCATGCAGTTTAGCATGTCATAGCAAATTAAACATGTTGTGTATTATCTGCACTGTGTTGCTCTCCTCATTCATTAAAGTGGATGCTGCTTTCCAAGACTGTAGCCAGTTGATCTGATGGGTATAATTTTATTGGACTTTAACAGCTTGCTACCTTTGACACCCAGTTGTTAAAATAAAGCTCTAGTGGATATTTTCTGTTGTAATCTCTCATATTTCTGTCTCACTCATGGGTGCTGTCATTTCTATTATCCGCTGTCACTTGAAGGGAAGAGGTATTGTCTGCCTTATAGTGAACTGCTGCTGTAGTTTAGAGCCTCTTAACTCAGCTTAGAGAGTTTGTTGTGTTTGAACATAGAGGAGCCTCCTGCCACCCCTCCTTTCTATCAACAATCCTTCCACAAAATAGCACAAAAAGGGGTTTGTTGAACCATCTTAATGTTTTTGTCTTTTTTCCTTGCCGTAGTTGGAGGATGACATCGTGGCCAAACCCAACTACTTTGCCACTATGAAAAACTTTGCCCTGCAGCTGTCGTCGGAGGACTGGATGATCCTGGAGTTCTCTCAGCTTGGCTTCATCGGTAAGGCAAAATTGTTATACCTATTTAGTTAGGGCTCCGCCAAACAAAGCAGAATTTACAGCGCACTTGTCAAGTGTGCAGCAGCCAGTGAGAAAAAGAGGTAAAATAGACTCAAAGAAACTGGGTCAGTGCATTCGGCAGAGAGGAGAGAATCCTTGTTCCTTCAGTTTGTGAATAAGGAATCTTCATTCTTTAGCTCATTTTTTGTTTTCAGCATGAAGAATGTGCAGTAAATATTCTATTCATCGCTAAAGGGACAAGGGCCCACTTTCAAAAAAGGCAGAGAATTTTTTTTTAATTTATTTTTGCATTTATTCATATTGAATGAAAAACTCTTAAGAATTAAAGGGGTTAAGATTATGCCCATGTTTTTGCAAATATTAGCTTTGTCGTCATAATTATCTGTACTACTACTTCTGTTTTACTGGAACATTTTTACACTGCTTAAACCTATTTTATCTTCTTTTTCTTTATTTGCAAATTCATGATTTTCTCACAACAGCAGAGTTTAAAAGATAAACCTGTTATGCTACTGCATTCAATGTTTCTAACATAAAAAGAAGCTATGCTTTTTCTTAAAGGCTTGAATTGTTGAACACAGATACTGGTAATATGCTGTGTCCTCCGTTTTAATTATAACACATGGAAAGCGTAGACCTTTATCTTCCACAGGAAGAGCAACTCAATGCTTGAGTTGATATTCACATTTTTTCCCCCTAATGTCTCTTTCGTGGGTTTAAAGAATTTGATGCAAACGATTGTTTCCTGTTTAGCTTCTGTGGATGTTCCTCGAACATTTCTGACCATGGTCTCTTTTTTTCGTGCAGGGAAAATGTTTCAGGCTTCAGACTTGAACCTCATTGTTGAGTTCATCCTCATGTTCTACAAAGAGAAGCCTATTGACTGGCTGCTGGATCATATTCTCTGGGTCAAAGTCTGCAATCCTGAGAAAGACGCGGTACAATCTGCAATTACCTTTTGGCTAAAAGTGACAGTGTAAGTGAGCTGAGTCTTATTTGTCGGCTTTTCTTTCCTCTTTTTTGCGTCCAGAAACACTGCGAGCGACAGAAGTCCAGCCTTCGTGTGCGGTTTAGACCATCACTGTTTCAACACGTGGGGCTCCATTCTTCTCTTGCTGGAAAGATTCAGAAACTCACAGTGGGTAGAAGAGCCCAGGCAGTTGTTTATTCTCAAAGACGGTCGAGGCCGCTTCCTGTGCCGAGACGCTGGTCTCTCTTCTCTCTGTTTGTGTAGGACAAGGATTTCCTGAAGCCTTTGCTTCATAAGATGCATGTTAATCCCCCAGCTGAGGTCTCCACTTCAATGAAGGTATGAGACTGCCAGTCCTTACTGTGCAGAAAATGAATAATGATTTATATACAGAGTTCTCGGAATAATACCTAAGTAAACAGGACTGTTTCCTCGTATCCTGCAGGTGTATCAGGGTCATACATTGGAAAAGACATACCTAGGAGAGGATTTCTTCTGGGCCATCACTCCTACAGCAGGAGACTACATCCTCTTCAAATTCGATAGGCCGGTTAGCATAGAGAGGTGATTTTTTACATTGTTTTTATGTGCTCATTTGCTTGCCGTTAGTCTTCAAATGAAAAGACATGTATCTATTTTATGTATATATATACATATATATATATATATATATATATATAATATGTGTGTGTGTGTGGCATTTAACGCATTGCCCCAGACATTTTAAGCTGCAGTTAAAAGAAAAAAATCTGCTTTTTTAAATGTTTTAACCTGCTGCCTGTCAGTGGCTCAGGCCCAGATTTAGTGTGCATGGTTGTTCATCTCTGGGGATCAGCGTGAGCTAATGAAAGTGCTCTAAATTGAGCATTCTCAGGCCAGCCACCTCTTGTCTGTGGAGGTTGGGTAGAGATGGAGGGAAACACTGAAATATAAGTGGAGGTTAAAGCAGGACTGAAAACATTGAACAGAGAAAACCTTCATTCTGTGTTCACGTTCAGACAAATGAGACAAATATTGTACCCACTGCTTTGTGATGTGAAGGCTGAAGCGAAAAAGTAGTAGATAGCAATGTTTATTTTTTTAAGTTGCAAACCTATTTAGATTAAGAGATACAGTATTTGAATTTTCCAGTCCTTTTATCTGTCTCTCATTTGCCTGTTTTTGTGTTGAAATAATCCAAGAGCTCTCTTAAAACCGCTTGGAGTCTTGACTGTTTGACAGATAAAACCACAAAAACAGCAGAATTCTTAACACTGAAACTACCGCTGTGACTTAAAAAATAGATCAAAGCATCACAAGCTTTTAAATGTGAGCTAAACATATGTGGCTTGCAGTTAAACTCTGAGACGAGGAGAGTTTTCCTTATCCATATTTTCACAACGGGGACAATACTAACCTTATGTCCACACATGTTTTGATGCTGTATTGAGGCAGATACCACAGGGTGAGATGGGAAAGCCTGCTCAGTACAAATATGGAAATTAACCCTCGAATTGATCGACAGGTTCCTGTTTCGCAGCGGTAACCAGGAACACCCAGGGGACAAGATCGAGAACACTACAGTGGAAATACTGCCTGTCTCGGTAGGGGAACCTCCCCCACCCGAAACACAACACATTCGCCCACACAGCCTGTCACCCTTCTGTGGTGACATGTGCAAATGGCTCTGATTAGATTACATTGACTGGCTGCTCTCTTGGATGTTGCATATTGATTATTGACAGGAATGAGAGCACGACAGGATCGCTGGCTCTGCCACAGTTGATACATTCTGACACTGTAATCCACACTATCCATGTTAGAGAGTCTGCTACCATTTGTTTGGGTGCTTTTTAAATTCAGAAATCATTAGAATTTCAATTTGTGTCTTAAATTTGTTAAGTTTGTTACCAACAGTAAATGTCTTTTCGTTTCAGGAAAGCGGACTGCAGACTAAAGACAAGTACAAGCGAACTGAAGACCGCTTCTATAGGATTGGTAAGCACATTAACACTCTTGCAGTGCTATGTGACAGCATGCCTTCACACTCGAGCCTCGTGAGTCAGATTACACACTTAAACTGATGAAGACAGGACTGGTGACGATGCACAAAATGCATTTCCACTTTTCACTTTGACCCTCCTTTTTCTCTAATTTTAGACCATGAGATTCCCCTGAAAAAGACCCCACACATCCCTCCCCGCCCCCGCTTTCCACCACTGTTTAGAGTTTCAAAACCTTTGATCCAAATAGTTCCTGTTAATAATTGACCACATTCTTGGCTTCACGTGTGATTCTGAGAGCACAAGATCTCGTCAATCACCCTTCTTTGTGTCATACGTTTAGTTAGTTTTTTTTTCAGCTGAGGATTTTTGCACTTTTGCTCCCCCTCTGAATATGATTTATATTCTTATATGCTTTTGCATGCCCAAATGTTTGAACACTCAGGTCACTTTGAGAAAGGTGTGGCAGAGGGGGCAGTCGATCCTTCCTTCAACCCTGCACTGGCCCTCCGGCTCTCAGTTCTCAAAGACTCTGCTGTGTGGGCCATCCTTAGTGAGGTGAGTCCCTCATTCAGTCCACAATGTGGACCTCCTTCTTCGTTTGTCTTTAATAGCACAAAATATTCCACTCTGCTCTCCTTGCAGATTCATATAAAGAGGATATCTGGCTGACTGCTCAGGACAAGGTACATGAGTTATGGCCCCTGGAGGACCAAAATCTTCTAGACTGCTTACGCAAGGTCTCTGGCACCTAGCAACCAGCAGTGAAGTCATTAGAGCTGCTCGTCCCAGCTTGTCTGAGGAACACCACCTCTCTGTCCCCGCTCTTTCCTGCGTCCTTTATGTTGCTTCTCATTGATCAGTTTACTCCCTTTCTTTCTCCATCTTTCGTCACAACCCTGTGCCCCTCCTTAATTTGCAAGAATGTGAATGCTACTGTCGGCAGAACAGCAGTGGAGGGTGTGAGGACGGCCGTTCCCGGCTAAGACCCCAAAAGGGACTGTGGTGTTCAGAAGCTTTGAAAACAATCAGACAACTCCTGACTGAGGTTGAGTCTTCACATCTGGTGAGAACCAGTCGGCTGGCCACTTGGTGTTCATGCTGCCAAATCCCTCTCTGCTACTCAATGCTGCCACACTTAGGCACGCTGGGGCATTGCACTGTCACTAGCGCCTCAGCAAAGCCTGTGATCGTCAAGAATGTTGTCATAACTGATGGCCAGTTGCTCTCCGTTCTCAGCAGAAATGATGGAGCACTAGATCAACACCAGCCTATACAAAAAAAAAGTAACACTTTCCTCACTCCCATCAAAAAGCGTGAATACATATACTGAAAAACCAACTCACAATGTTCCAAAACTTCACCTGTAGCCAGCTGGTGACAACCTGGACCATAGGGCAGTATCAGTGGTATCCATCAAGAAAATAAGTTCAATGATATTACATCTGTCTTGCCTCTTGTTTGACAGACTGTGTTCAACCTCAGTGTCCATTTTTAGAAAATTAATCGGACTTTGCCTTGGCAACATTTTCCTGAAGGAATATATTGTTATATTGATATATTATTACAACCATGACGATCTATGAAGGTGACTTAATTTATTTGAAATAAATCTTTCATTTGTACAAGAGGTAAAATATATTTTTATTCTACTAAGAGATGTTTATGGTAGTTGAGTCTGTTTTTGTGTACTTTTTTGCTTCTTTTTTGTTCTAAATCTAAAGTGCATCTGTAAAGTTTTATTTTATGGTAATGGATACTTGCAAAGATTGATCTGAAATAATTTATTTTCTATTAGGAAAGGGTAGGAAAGTTGTGAGTAGAGTCTGTTAAAGTCAATGTGGATGTGGGTCTAAAATAGAAAAATGTGCCTTATATCCAGATCTTTTGAAGTTGCCCCCACATCATTATAGCTTGTTCTCCCACACCTTTTCCTACATATGAATTGCTGGATATAGTCATAATTTAAACTTCAATTTAGGATTGGACAGTAAGGACAATATTTTTAAGACTGAGTGAAAGAAATTATGGTTTTATCAGTTTACCACATGAAATGGCAAATTTGCACGGCCCTTTTTTTTCTTGCTTGTTTGATTACATCAATCGCCATTGTACCTCATTTTCCATCTTCCTAACTTTTATTCAATTGCAATTAATTTAGTCTTTCTGCTTTTTTAAACTAACACAATGTTATGACTACTGATTATTGCAGAGTGCCACTGACTGTACATATATATAAATGGCAACGAGCAAAGTTTCTTTCTAGCAGTCTCTTTTGCTTTGTAGTAGTTTATTCAAATCAACCTGGCATCTTTTCTGTATGTTGCCAATGTTGTGGCTGTGATACTTAAATGATCTCACATGTTAGTTCTATTTTTTTCCTCAGTTAGTGAAGTGCCTTTTGGTAGAATTGATATGAAATTGGTCAATTCTTGCTTATCATGCTTCTTTGCATGCATGACTATTAAATGTAATTTCTAAGGATGTTCTTTCTCCTCCACCCCTGATCAAATAATCTACTCTCTGTCTTTACTCACTTCGTTCTCTGGCTCTTCATCACTGTCCTTTAAATGGTTGAAGATGGCAGGAAATTAACAATATTTGTTTTCAAAGGAAATTTCAGTTGGACTAATACAAATTCCATTCCCTTGCTTTCCCATATCCATATACAGAATAGGATTGCATGTAAGGGGCATGGAATTGTCATGTGATCCATGGGAATCCCCTGCCCCATTCTCTGGAATGTGGGACAGGAGATGGAAAAACAAAGGACTTTCATTCAACAGCCTCTAGCAACTCATCAATTCATGTGCCTTCATTGTGTACATGTGTATGCCTGACTAATGATTTTTGTCATTATTTCTCATGGACATATTGAAAATAAAAGAGAAAAGTTAGTGGAAATCATGGTCATCATTGTGTTGTCATTTTGATAATTTTTCATCAGCCATACCATCTGCTTTGTTAAGTTTGAGTTACATATAGCTTTGCTCTAAAACGATCTAATTGACATGACAGTTTAAAAGCTATAAATAGAAAATAGGTTACCCATTACGTTTGCGTATTTATTATAATGCCATCAGACACCATTCAATACGTACAGAAAAACACATTCTCCCAGCATGCATTTCTACTTCCGTTATCCCATCGTTCCGCTTCACAGTTATGGCGGCTTGCAGCTTTTCATAACAGCATCGATGTCACTGCTGTTAACTAACTGATACTTTTACTTCCGAGGAAGTCTGTAAGGTGGTATTGATACAAAGGTGAATTTTGAACAATGCCAAAATATTATGAAGACAAAGAGGAAGATAACAGAGCCTGTGCCGGCATCAGAGAGGACTTCAAGGCTTGTCTCCTTCAGCATGACTGCGTTGTGAAGGTAAACCAACATACAGTGACTGAACACCTCACCGTTGACAGTCGATAGTGCTGCCACTGCCTGCACCCTTTTATATGTTCGATTTAAAGGAAACACATTCTATATCAAAGCAGAAAATAAGCAGACCTTACAGATATTAACTTGTATCAAAGTCATAGAAGGTGCGAACCATACTCTCTCGGTCAACTGGACGCCAGACTCCAATCGAAAGACTTGCACTTTTCCATTTATGTGTTACATATGTTCGTTTTAGGACAGGTATGGTGTGCTTTTTAAAAATCTTAATGGGAAATTTGGTGTTGTTTACTTATCGATAAACAGCTCACAAAAGCTGTCAGTGGCCGTCTGCTAGCATACTCGCTAACTACGTCAAAATACTCTAGCATGTTTCGTGCCATAAATGCTACACTCAAATATAATTGAATTGTTTTCCCCGCATTGAACATTTTTTGGGTTAACACAGAAAGTAAACTGACTGTTATTTAGTATGCTTCAGATAAATGAGGCTAAATTGTTTAAATTAGCTGTTAAGGCAATATGTATTTGTCACAAATGGACTGAATTCCAGTCGGAAACAGACACATGTGTCGTGAAATTAGCTTTAGGTATCGAGGCGTACAAATAAAAAAAATGGAGATTTATTCTCCAGTGTTCCCCTCTAGACATTCACTGCGTTGATACAGCTTTTAATACAGTGATTTTTTTAAAACACCCTGTTGTCTTAAAGTGTTATATAGGGGGGAATTCGTGTATTGCACATGTGATTAATAACAATTTATTTCAAGTTCAATATACAAATCTATATATATTTTTAACAAGAGCTGAGACAAAGTTCTGCAGTAGTGAGGAAAAAGCTAAATATGCATGCATGCATACATTCAGCTCATTTTGTTAGATGTCAATATCGAATTCCAGCATTATCATCTCATGAACATGGAGAATAAAGAGCAGAGGAAAAGTGAATCACAGGAGGTCCTCCAGTGGGATGGTCATGTGTCAGAGCCACGTGGGCCATATCTAACCATAACCTTCACGATGACCAAAGTTTTTAAATCTAATCTTAAAGATAGAGGGGGTTGTTTTTTCATGAGTCCAAACTCCTCATTTTTATGGCTAAATAGACCTGAGCTAGTTAGGTAGCTTTTCTTTTATTGGATTTTTTACGTTTCTTTTTATCCATCAGGAGGGCAAGATGCCCAGTGAGTGTCTGAAGGAGGGCCACTGCAAAGCCCTGCAGACATCCTTCTTTGAGTGCAAAAGGTCAATGGTAAGTGCTCAGACATTAATAGAGAAAGTCAGCTCCATACAGTATTTGGAAATCAGTTTTGTGTGTGATTTTGGGTAATCCAAACATTCCACATCACACAAGCATGAATATTTCATACAGATTTTTCGTCTTCAACGTCACAAATGTGATCGTGCTCAAAAAGGTTCTTTGTGGATACAAATCCTGAAGAACATGCACACACAGCTACATTTCTGAATAGTTTACAAGATCACAAGTTTGTAATGAGTGCTCAGATGATAGAGGGGCAGGGCCAACAACAAGAGACCGGATTAAAACTCAGATGTCCCAGCCTCTTACCAGCACCTAAATGGACCAAACACAGACAACACTGAAGAGTTGGATGTGTGAAAATCCCAGGTGTCCTATTCATGCTTAAATGTAGACTGTTGTCCTGTGATGACAGGGTTTGATGGTTTTTGCCTACAGCAGCCTTTTTGAACACGGAAATCATCACTTTTGTGCTGTTGAAGGTAAAAAAAAAAACTTGCATACAAAGTGGTTGAGGCAGCTTAAAAAAAAACATCAATTTTTATGAGACTGATTACTCCACGGTACCAGTGCGGTGTTTTTTTTTTCTTTTAAGAGTGGAAAAACTGTCTTTCTTCTGTTTGCAGCTGGACACCAGATCAAGATTCAGAGGAAGGAAAGGATACTGAGGAGCGACGGGGCTGCTGCTGAATGGAAGACAATACGCACAATGTAATTGAAATAAAAGCAGCTGCTCGTGCGACAGAGGTCAGCATGAGAGAAACTCCTTTTCAAAGAGGTGTGAAAAATAGTAGAAAAGGACTACAAAACAGGAAAGAGCAGCCCATGCTGACAGACGCCTGGCTGGAAACAAACGGAGGCATTATTGGCTGGAGCTGATAGCGTCTCCGTTCCCCGAGAGAAAAGGGTGTTTTTCTGCATGGATGAATGTGGGATGACAAAAAAACCCCCTTCAAATAAAAGATGAATAATGAAAAGACAAGTGCTCTGTGTGTCTTTGATATTATTTTAGACTTCATCTTCATGCATTTAAGGTCAGACTGAAGACAAATCGGGTCTGAAAGTAAGTTCCAACTTGACAATTGTGATTGAAATTCATCACAACAAAAAAAATTTCACTAAAAGACTGAAGGTTGCATCTGTATGGAACAAAACACATTCAGACTGATGCATAATGACCCATGTTCAGGCCTCCCCCGGTCATTCTTTTAAAGCAGCCATCATCATCTGCTTGAACTTCTCCATGTCCACCTTCTTCATGATGACAGCTTGGTGGGTCTTCTTCAGAAAGCCCACAGTGTCCACCACCATCATCCCTCTGGTGTGTGTGCCCGCCAGCTCCACGCTGACCGGGTGCCGCTCGCTCTCCAGGATGAAGGAGTCGTCCACGGCGGCCGCCATGGCGTAGGAGTCGCAGGAGACGAAGCCCGAGCCGGCGACAAACTCCTTCTCGAAGCGCTCGCTCTTGGACGCCTCTATGCTGTGGCGGAAGATCCGTTCCATGAAGCGAGCTTTGTGGCCGCTCTGCGCCAGCCAGGCGTCGCAGAACTCCTGCGGAGACGGGGAGAGAGGCGTCGGACCGGGAAAACCGGCGGGACTCGGGCTGGGAGTGAGCGGGGAGAGCTACCCAGGACAGCTTGCTGTGGCAGGTGAACTCCCAGCAGGCCAGGTAGGTGGGGCACAGGTAGCTGTTCAGCACCACGTAGGCCGCCTCCGGGTCGGCGGCGAAGTTGAACTCGCCGCAGACCGTGGTGTTCCCCCGAGCTGTGGCACAGCGGGCAGACGGAGGGGTGAGAACTGTGGACTGACCCGGACAGAGCCCATGTGCTCAGCTTACAGCGACTCAGAGCAGAAAAACACACCAGGTATGGTGGTGCCTGCCTATGGTGGACTGGTAGTTCTAGCTTATGTGACCAGCACATTGAAATAAGTCCACCTGGAATTGATGTGTAACGGGCAATAAATATTCAATGTCTCCTCACATTTCTGACTATATCAGAAACTACATGTCAACTATGTTCTCAGTTGTGAGTTTAAAGAGTGGACCACTCTTTAAAAGTCACGTGCGAACAACAGGAAATGGTTTTTGCTCCTGCTTTTCAAGGAGAATCGGATTTGCAATTCAAAAACTTTGAGATGTCGAGCAGGGAGACACAATGTGCCGCATTCTGGTCTCCTTTAAGCCTCAGACTTAGACTAGACAGTCAATTCCTAGTTTTTGTGTGTATCATAGTCATATCACATCTATTCTGTAGTATGAATACTTTTCTAAAATGTCCACAAATGCAGCTAGTGATAAGCCTCAGGTGTGCATGTCAATGTCAGAACCTTGAATAAGGTAAGCCTCCCACTGATCAGAGTGTTCGTCCAAAACACGGCGCGCTTTGTTTATCTGATGAGGGAACCTGCTGGGACATCGGAAGCTAACGGCGTCTCACTGACACTCGGTGTTGCCTCCCATGATGTAGAGCCCTCTGAGTTTGCTGGGCAGGGACGGGTCCATCCTCACAGCCAGGGCCAGGTTGGTGAGGGGCGCCGTGGCAACCAGAGAGACCTGGGGGGGGGGAGGCACGCAGCGCTTACTCAGCAGAAAGAGCCCCCCCCAGCAGCCGGCGCGCAGCCGGTCCCCTCCGCTCACCTCCCCGGGATGCTGGTTAACGATCCTGATCATGGCCGACACGGCGTGCTCTGTCTGGAGGAGGTCCAGGCCGGGGGCGTCGGGGTCAGGGGCGTCTCCCAGACCGTCCTGCCCGTGGAAGTGTCCCGCGTCGATGCTGTCCCCAAGGATGGGCTTATCGGCACCCTTAAACACTGGAATCTGGGCCAGGGCAGGCAGGAACCGAGAACACAGGATTAAACAGGTAAATGGAACACATTGTGCAATTATGAGCTCCAACAAGATCGGCCTCCAACGCCGACACGTGCAACTCAAAATCTTCCTCCTAAAGCAAAGTGCCAGCGTTTGTGTCTTAAGGAACAGAAAACTAACTCAAGGCTGCACGGTTTTGTTAAAAGTAGGGTGACTCATCACATGATGCCAGTCAACTGAAATTCATGTGATGAGGCTCCATCAGAATAGCCTCTGTGAACGAACATTATACTCAACGTTTTCCCACGCTGACGTGCGCTTAAGGAAAAACTCAGCCAACATCTCAGAGACGTTGTTCGGAATGCCGCCGCAGATATAATGACTTAATGAGAAACCAGTTCTGAGTTAATGAGTTACAGGTGAACTCAGCTCCGTGGAAACCACATTTTAGTTAAAGTTTAATGAATGGTTAAATATTGAACTATTATTTTAGGAATCTGTTATTTCTAACCGATGCTTTTTAAAGAACAATACCTTGTTTATTATTCAGTTGTTGTGCTGGTTCGGCTAACCACCCACCTCCAATCTTTGGCAGGCCTGGAGAACTCGCAGCGTGTTCTTACACACGTTCTCCACCGTGGTGTTCCCGTGCACGCAGGTGACGGCCAGGATTCTCACGTGAGGGGCGGCCAGCGCCAGCATGATGGCCTGAGCATCGTCCACACCGCAGTCTACGTCCACGATCAGCAGCTTACTCATCCTGGACCCTGCCCGCCACGCACCGGTAAAGAAAAAAGCTCATTGCTTCATTCGGTTACATATAGATAATGAACATTACTACTGATAACAACAAAAACATGTGGTCCACGTCAGACAAGTTATGCAAAGCTTCAACATAAAAACATCTACCTGTAGGTGAGTTTGATAAATAGGAAGAGCTATGTATCCCTTTCACAGACCAATGGCAGAAAACTGGAGAAAACCTGAGAGAGAAACAGAAACAAGCCAATACTATTAAATTGCTTGATGTTAACAAAGAAAATAGACTAAACAAGTAACCAGTTCCACATGACTTATACTACATAAAAACTTTTTTGTGGTCCATCAGATTTTAAAAAACAATATAAAAATACTATCAAACAGTCACAAAAATATGTAGCCCTTTCAAGTTATGAAGAAACGGTATTTTTTTTCTCCCGGTCATGTAAAAGAAATAACAAAAAAAAGTTAACTATAAAAAAAAATATCTAAACAGAGCTAGACATAATTGTAGGCTTAAAAAAATGTTGGACAATAAAAATGACCTGGACACAAAAACTAGAAATACGTGTGGCTGCTACAGACAAAAGTTTTGAACAATCTCGTCTTTGCATTGAGAGGCGTTACCGGGTGATTCCCAGTTATTCCATTGACAGAGAAAGAAAAACGGGCAATGCGATGGCAAACAGGGAAGTTTGAGACTTCTCAGTGACAGATTCATGTCTGACTGTCATGTACGACACTTACGTATCTACCGTGTGAGCCGTAGTGAGCCGCAGATAAGCCTTACCTCCTCACTGAGCAGCCAAAAACACGACACGTAACTGACAGAAGGGACCTTGAGAACAACATCTAGCGGTTTGTTTATTCTTCTCTCGTCCTCTCATCTTCTTCGGTGCCCTCCCACTCTCCGCTCCTTCATCGTTTTCTTCTTCTTGGACCGCTACACTCTCATTCTTCTTCTTTGCTTTAAATAGCGGTTGATATACCGCGTTCTGGTGCTTTACCGCCACCAGCTGTTCTGGAGTGTGCATCACGCTCTATGCCTAACCTTGAATGAAAAAAGAACGCAAACAAAAAAATTCAAATATATAAAATCTCTCTCCATAATTACTTAACAAAACATATTTCAAATCAAGACAGTGAAATATTGAAAACAGGAGACTAAAATATACTGCAGTAATTATGCAAAAAACCCCATCTTAAATGCTTATAAATTAAATTCCTGATTAAACTCCAGTCAAAACTAAAGAGCTATTTCTAAAAGTGTTGAAAATTTTTGTTGTCACACACGTCATCCAGTTTTATTCTATTTGACTGAGTTGCTGTGCACATCACTGCATCCATGTGACTAACTAAAAACTAATTCAAATATTTATTTATGTTATATTCAAGGTGGTCAGTGCAGTGTTGTCCACTATTCTCTGTCAACGGAATGGTGGGATATAATGCAGGAAGAAAATATTTTGTCTCTTTCCTAGAAGGGGTAGACTCATGGCAGCCGCGATGAGTTCTAACTTACCTGGAACTAGTACTGACAATTCTAATATGGATCTCTTTATCGTCATAATCATTTTAAAAGGGTGTGTGTGTTTGAAAAATTGGTTCACACATTTTAGATTCTGATGAAACCAACCATTAAACCCGGGGGATGTGGCGCTGAACCAGTTTATACAGTTACTCATTTGAGAGTCAGGGCTTTGGAACGGCATTGTGTTATATTTCTATGCTTATCATACAAAAGTGTTTACATTGTTGTGCAAATTACAGAGTGGTTGGCAAAGAATTATCATTCTGAACGGACGTTTGCTCCATGAGTGGAAGCTTTTTGCTATGAATTATTTTTTACACAGCAATTAAGAAAAACTGCATGATTTATTATTGTGATTTAATTTGTGGAACGTCTCAGGACTGTGGACTCAAACACCTGGATACGTTTCTGGCTGAGACCAGAAAGACATTTAAACTTTTGTTTCCAGGTAATATCTAAATTTACACCTCTCCACAGATAAAGTTCAAATATTAAACAAAATAGGGGCATGCGGCATAGGTTAAACGGCAATCCTGGGTGTTTATTTGTACTTCAGGCTCCATTGCTCTGTGGTTAAATCAACCTGTTCAATTACGGCTCAGAACAAGTCCATAACACCATTCATCACAAGGAATCAAACTTTAACAGCATTTGGCTGCACTATCCATGTCATCACAACTTACATCTCTCTGCAAGTTTCTTTAAATAAAATCCCTTGTATCTACCTTTTTAAACATTACATGATACAGTGGAGTCATAAACAGATTTGGCTGGTTCAAAAATGTAACAGGTTTGTTACATTTTCAAGTGTACATGGGTAGTTTTTTAGTTTGATTTTTCATTTTCATGCATATAAAATTATCTTAAAGGTTCTGCATGAATTCCATTTGCACTGCAAAACTGAGAGCAAACACATACAATGATCAAAAGAATAGACACCAAAGTCTGAATGGGTATCACACCAGTTTAGTGTTGCATACAATCCAGCAGAAATGTCCTAAATAGCTGTAGATATGTGAACCACAGTGTAGCATAAGATGAACCTCAGAAATTACACGAGAGTGGACACACTTATATAAATGTCAGAGAAGAGTGTCAGATATAATGTAGAGAGCTGTGCTTGTTGTACTGAGTGATGCAGATTTATTGGAGTTGGCAAGAGACGAAGGTGAGATAGACCATAAAAATAAACTAAATAAATTCTCTGATACTAAAATCGGTCATCCTGCCGTGCAGTGTAGGTCCAGAGGAAAAACCTCCAACAGGTAACATTGGTTTTGGCTGAGCTGATTATCTGCTGTGTCGCCCTTGGCAAATTGAAAATGACAACAAATGACGTTATAACATGTAGGCAGCTCAGACTAACAGTCCTGTTTTGCTCCATATTTTACAGGTTACATCTTCATAGAAATAGCTATAAATTTCAGTGTTGCCTTAAAGTGTGAAGCTGGTGCTACTTTTTAATGTTCTATATCAAATGTGAACAAACACATCAAGAAGACCAACAATGATGTTTCATGTCCAACTTTAACTGACTTCTGTGGCCTTTCTGTTCTTTTCTGTAAGTTTCTTTTTTCTCATATTTTTTAAAGGAAATTTTCTTCAAGACTGGGGACCAAACATATTTAAATAGTGTATAAGGCAGATAATTTTTTTTAAGTCGCTGACTGACAGCGTATCATAGTGGTTTGATTGTAACTTATTTACTTGTTTGGTAACTGTAAATAGTCTAGTAAGCAGACGTTAAACTTTGAAACCAGAAGATAAAAGGTAGCACAGAGCAAAAAGATTTGAACTGGCCATGCAAATTATAAAGCTGTACAGATACGTAAGTTAAAGAGATTTAAGAGAAGATGGCCTCTGCAGCAGCGGGACTATTTCAACGAAATAGACCACCTCAATGCACGCTAGTTCAGCATCCCATAACCTTCTGAAGAGTCAAGGAACAGCCCACACAACTTAGGTCCACAATACCAAACTCATCACCAGTTTTTTCTTATGGAGAAGTTACCTAAATGCAGAACTAATTTAAAAAAGTGGCGCATGCGGCAGCACAAGCGATATTTCTGCTTCTACTGTCTTTATACTGTTAAAGATTTAAACAGTTTGGTAAGCAGTAATCTTTAAATGGAAAGGAAAATTGATCATCCTCAACTTATCAAACTCTCTTTTACCCAGATGTGCGGAACCGCAAAAATTCACTTTGTAAGGCGTTTTAACTGCATCAGATTGGTTGAAATAAAGAGAAAATATAAACTTCATACACTTAATTCAGGAAGGGATAACATCAAAACAAATTGCCTTCTTTCGCCCCACACACAGGTGTGCTATGTGTGCCACAGGATCTGTTACAGCATAATTTTCTAGGACATTGGTTGAGTTAATATGACCTAAATCCAGATGCACACTCCCTGATGCTCCAACTGGGGCAGCTGTAACACCTTCAGCCCACCGCCTACAGTGTGACACAGAAAGCCGACCGTCGCTTGATTTTAGCCGTAAAGTGGTGGTGAAAAATGTGCGATTCTAGTACTACGGAGAGGGGGGGACCCCTATAAAACAACCTACGGTAGCACTGGCACTTGGACATTAATCGACAGTGACTAAGCACTAAAGAAAGGGCTGCTGTTCCAGTTTGTGTTGGTATCTTCTCTTTGTGGTGTTTTTCTTTTTGTTTTCTCTTTTTGTATTTATCGTTTTCCCTTCTCAGTCTTTTGGATTCAGCACAGGAGTCCAGTTAGGTCTCAACTTTCCCATATGTCCCCTCTGGGGGGCGATACTGTTTGGGGAAAGCTTTGAGCTGGAGAGCGTTAAAGGCGTATTTACGACATCCAACATTCTTCATGGTGTTCTCCCTCCTGCAGCCCTCACTGTGGAGACAGAGAAGCAATGCATTTTCATTTCATTCTGGCGACTGTAGAGCTTTCAAAGAGCTTTCGGTCAGGAGGCCTGACCTGCGCATGCAGTCCAAGGCCTGGTAGAAGACCTGGGGGGCCAGGGCGTGCTCCTGCTGCAGGACCTGACACTGTTCCAGCGTCAGAGACATGGCCGTGCGGTCCTTGGCGCTCTTACAGCTGGTGAAACGCACTCCATTAAGGCGCCGGCACACCTTGTTTTTTTTTTAGGTTTTACAAAAGGAGTAAAAAGGAGAGGAGTTAATAAACCTTTTCGAGGCTGCTGCAGAGCATTGAGACGCTAAAAGCTGAAAAAGTCCACCTCGGCAGCTTGCCACAGGATCTCCACGTTCTTGCTCCTCTTGGCGTTCACGTTGTGGCTCAGCTGCCTGAGCAGCTCGGGCAGACTGCTGGAGCTCCGGGAACGAGGAAGGCCTGAGGAGGTTTCAAGAGACTCAGTGATGAGGAAGGTTTTAGTTCACCGTGAAAAATGTGGTGGTGTGCGATACTCACAGTCTTCTGGAAGGACCTCTTTAAACTGGTCGTAGTAGGAGCTGAGGCGGGCCATGCTCTCCAGGTTGATGATGTCTTGTAGTGATGTATCTCCAAACCTACACGTGGTTAAAAACAGAAGAAATAAATGACGTCAACTGTATATAACTGTAGTTTTAGTCCAAAATGGAAGAAGGATCCATTAAAATGATGAATTCTTTCTACATCATAATGCACGCATACATAAATACATGCTCATATTCACTACACAAGGAAAGTTATCAAGACATACTGTAGTGTCTTCAGTCAGAGGTCTCTCCAGCTACTCTGCAAAAATAACTTTTATCCAAGAAAATCCTGCTCATAGAAACAGCCTTACATATGAACGATTTACTCTTCTTGTTCTTATTCAGATGTTTACATATCAAGCTAATAATTTCTCTACTTATTTACGTACCTCGAAGTATGTATATACTTATCTTTTTTTAATAAATGTTTTTTTAGGGAAGAATTAATCATCAGACTTATTCTCATTGATGGGAGGTTGAAAGATATATTTACATTTTTGCACCCATTATTGTCAAACACAAAACAATGAAATCAAAATAATGAGTTATAACTACTGATGTTATTTGCAACTTGTAAAGTATTCATTTTATAAAAACCGAGTAACTATATCATCTTCATTCTTACACCACCCTCCTGTTCTCAGTTTATTTCTATCCTCCTGATCCGGGGACTCACTTCTCAGCCAGTGTCTGTTGTTCATTGATCCCCACGTTAAAGAGGACCGGCTGCACTCGAAGCAGCATCCCGTTCTGGATCTCTCTAGGAAGCGTGTCAAAGATTGCTCCAGGCATCGGAACCCTGACATTAAAGCCGTTCCTGTTCCCCGTGATCACCGGCAGCATGTCCGGGCTGAAGCCTGACGTTGCCTGGGTAACCTTGAAAGTGACATTTCTCAGGTCCATCACTCCGATGCTCATATCCTCCAACATGGCCAGCTCCTCTCCTTGAAGGAACAAGAAGTCATGCAAAAATACCATATAAATAGTTACAATACATATACATTTTTTTATATTATCTGCTGGAATTAGGTCAGGAACACATGTTGTGGTTTAGGTGTGACTAGCACAACTCAGATTACAGAAAGCTTTACGGACAGTGAGTGGTCCAATTGTTAACATGTTCAGACAATGCATGAAATAAAAAGTTAGTATTGATCTTTCTAGCAAAAACGTTGGTACTGCATGACAGAATCCGCATCATTTAAGTTGTTATCATCCGTCTAAGCGAGACAGCCCTCGTGACCCTCCCCAACACAAGTTACCGTAGGTGCTGAGCAGGCTCTCGTACTGAACCAGCAGGCCAATAGTGGGCAGCTGCCTGAGGAAGCCGGAATCGCAAACGCAGTTCCTCAGTTTGAGAACGAAGCCGCAGATCAGAGCAGTCAGCTGTAAAGACAGTCAAGTCAGCACATCCGAGCAGGGATTCAAACATACTGGTGGAGGAGTGGCCGGCAGAGGCCCACAGACCGTCTGGCAGAAGACGACGTCCCGGCGGTACTGCAGCGTGAGGCTCATGGCGATGGTGGGCGCGCTGTCCTGCATCAGCAGAAACACCATGGCTTTCTTTGCTTTGTCGCTCATCAGAGACGCGCAGTCCGTCAGGGTGCTGAGGACCGGATACAGGGCTTCGCTCCATTCTCCTTTCAATTGAAAGGAGGACACTTCCATCAGAAATCCAAACCCCAAAATGAGCGTCTCATTTCTAAAAGGTCTGAGAGAAATTTAAAAATGCTGCTTTTCACCCCCCCCCAAAAAAACTAAAATGGAATTGCTCTCTCATTGAAACTCTCATATGGGTCTGGGATAGATATAGGGAAATAGAAGAAAGGCTTCCTTAAAAGAAACCTTTGTTCTGACCTGGAGATGTCTTTTCGACCCCCGGACTGCTTTCTACAAATAAGGAAAAGGCAGATTATATGTCGATAAGACAAAAATCCCAATTTGGCTGATAAATCCAAAATGAAGGTGAATATTCCTAAACACCAAAATGATTTACACGACCATGACAGAGACCTTTCTTATGCGATGAACTGGGAGAATGGTGATGATGATGGTTGAAGATAACAGAGAACATGTGACGACGGAGATAAATGATAACGCAGTTCTAAATTCTTGTCTTTAAGTTCAAGGTAAGTCAAAAAGCTATCTGGTAACAACACAGTCACCTTTAGTCTGGTAATAAACAGAGGGTCCATCAATGATTACATGAGTGGGATTTTTTGCGTATGTGAATAAATGAGGTACATACCTTTCTTAGTGTTACTTGGCTCCTCACTGGCCAGCAGGAAGACATCCTCGGAGCTACTGTCACTTTGGAGTTTGTCTCGCTGCAGGAGTCGGTCCACTCTCTGGATTACACACTCTAGGCTTTTGTCAACATTTAGCCATACCTTCTCCTGCACACACACACACACACACATCACAGAGGAGCACATAATAAGGCGACTTCCACAGGAGCAGAAAAGGGACAGATGGCCTCCTCTCATATCTTACCCACTCCTCCTCGCGCAAATCTCCTTGCGTGGAGGCCCGCTTGTTTTTAGTGCCCTCGCCGCCCTCCTGAGGAGCCGCATACCGGGAGGGCGAGGTGGCGGCACGGGAAGGGGAGGCGGGTTGTCGAGACGGCGAGCGGGACGGCGAGCGGGAAGAAGGCGAGAGGGAGGAGGAGGACGGCGAAGGGGTGCTTTGCTGGGAGAAAGTCGGGCGAGCAGCTGCCAGGGCCACGATGGCGGCAGACAAAAGCTTCGAGTCACACACAGTCACCAACTGGCGGGTCTGCGGGAGGAAAGCAGTCCAAATAATATCGCAAGAGTTATTATTTGGTAAAAAGAACTGAATCACAAGATGATAGATGATTTTGGAACAGAAGACGGGTTGTAATGAAGTATTACAGAGGAAACTATGAAACAAACAACATCAACAAAAATGCCTCCTGCCCCCCCCAGCAGGGTCTTACCTTCTCTGTCAAGATGGCCAAAGTTCTTTCCAGAGCGTTGGCCGAGCGTTCTTTAGCAGCTCGCGACAGACGCTCATTATAGTAACACACTTGTGTCTTCAAAGTGTTAATTTGACCAATCAGCTCCTTTGCTCTTATGACATCCTGAGGCTGGTACGCCATTCCTTTAGAGCCAGGACCAGTAGAGCTTTGGGGCATAAAATAGAGTGACATCGAGACAATGCATACTGGTAAACTGCACAAAAAAAGACAAAGAAAAACGTCTTACCTTTCTTCTTCATGAGTGCTGATTGAGAAAGAGAACAAAGATTACAACCAACAAACTGGTAGCAGAGGAGCTTGACGAGTTTTATCTTAAACCACTCACTGTTTCCTGGCTTCTTCCAGCTTGTGTAGCAGTCTTCTGAGGCCACAGCCTTTAAAGCCCTGGTGATGTGCTGCAGGAGCGCCGATGGTCACCACGTCATACGTCCGGTCTGTGTCGCAGTTATAAGAAAGTGCACAAGAAGCTTATAGAATAAACTGTACTATCATCCAAACACAGTAGGAAACAAAAATAAAAGGTTAATAGCATAGGTTCACCAATAACTACCATAGCCAGATTCTCCTTGCACTCTCATTCTCTGGATATGCAGATTAGTGGGAATGAACTCCAGCTTCCTCTCAGCCTTCAAAGTGCTGGACTTAAAGGAGGGGCCTGTATAAAAAAGGACACATGATTTGATTGTTTAAAAAAATCGGTGAACGAAACAAATTGTTTTGCTGCTATACCTACTGTGATTTTTGCTGTGTGTGCTGGGAACAGTGTTTGTGGTTCTGACCTTTGTACTCGTGCAGGTCACTTATGGTCTCCTGGTATGTGAGGATGATGGTCTGGTACTGAGTGATGATCTGCCTCCTGAGGTTTTCCCAGCATGGAGACAACTCACCCAGCTCCTCCAGCTCACACACCCTGTGCATTCCACACACACATGCTTACATACAGTCAAAATCAGGACATCCTGCTTGTGCACTGATGACCTCACAGTTTGCTCGCTCACTGACTTTAAGCACTAAAGTTACATTCTGAAATTACATAACTAATAACTGCAACCAAAAACAAAAAGAAACACTGTCTATAATGCTAATTTAACTACATGGTGACATCACAAGAGTTGAAAATGAGTATCTCACATTATTAAGACTGCTGTATAAATCGAATGTGGCACCATTTCTTAGCAGGAATCAGGGGGACAAAACATTTTTAAAAAATAATTATTTTTCATGTATCATTTTCGAGATCCAAATAAACAGGAAGACAAGGTTGGGATGTGACAAATGACACAACTAAAGTGATGAACATCACTGAAGCAGTTGAAAGAGAACAGAACAAAAGGCAGCCAACAAACGATATAAAACAAAATAGCAACTTTTAGATAAAGTCATGCAAAGCGGTGCATCATTTCAGGAATGATTCATCTACGTGGCTGAGGAAGCAGGCCTGCCCAGTGCCTGATATCTCTCAAAATATCCAAGTTCAGAGCAGCAGGGAAATGAAAAACAATGCAAATCTTAGGCTTTAAAACAGTTTTCTGTGTTAAAGCCCCAAAACAGAGGATGACATCAAGCCATTCATCCTCATTCTCATTTAAAGAGACTGCTCCACACTCTCCTTTGTTTGAGTCCACAGGCAATAAATCAAGGAGGATGAAGACCTGTAAACTGTTCCATTACTTGTCATGTCTAAGCAAGAAGTCTGAGTTGCTACGTACCTGACGGCATCTTCTTCCAGCAGGAGTTTGACAAACTGGCGAGGGATATGCAATGAGAGGGCGCTCTCTGCCATCTGTTCCAGGATCCGCAGGTGATTACCGTCCGTGGTCGGGAAGCGATAGGTGCGTGACATGACGCCTCCAAACACTGAAACAAAGCGGAGGGAGCAAAGGGAGCAAATCACAGAGATAATTTACAGATGACAAGTGGGACTTTAATTCCCTCCTATCTGAGAAAACAATCCAGTACACTCACCTGCCTTCAGCAATGGATCTTTACATAATGATGAAGACTTCGATTTAATGTTCACTGATCCGGTTAAGCTTTCGTCAACAGGGAGAACCATCTGAAGAACAATCCAAAGACGAATTAGGGCGCATCTGCCTATTGAAATGTGACTTTCTTTCACCTTTTCAGCTTCTTTATTTATTGATCTGCTACAAACGTCTGATTAAATCCATCCAACAAAGTTGAGAATCATACATGCTCTACTTGTAAATTTGTGAGTTGTTCAGCAAAGACAGAAAATTCCATTCTATTTTAATTAAGTCAGTTAATTTTGTCCGTCAACACTTCTAAGAAGGACATTTCATGATGTATCAGAAAATAAAGAGCAGAAAATGATCACCAGAGACAAAGAAAAGTTAGGATTTTGTCTGGAAATTGAACATATTTTAAGCAATGATCTTTTCAGTTCTGATATATTGGTTGTAAATGTTGATAATATGTCTTATAGGTCCTTTTCTAATATACCCTTCCATTCACGGTGTCTCCCCTCTGTAATCTGGCGACCGGAGCCCTCTGTTCCCGCTTCTCCTCTATTTGCCAGGCGATCACGGTGATGTTGCCCACGCGCTCGCTCTCTGTTGACCTGACATGCAGTGACATTTAAACCACGTCCCTGCGTTGGGGATTTGGCATTCAGCTAGCTGACCACATCTGTTGCTGCAGTTACCTGAGAGTCAGGTGCAGCCTGTGGTGTTTGTCCTGCAGCAGCTCCTTCACAGAAAACATGGAGGAGCCAAGCATGTACATCTGCGGTGTACACAAAAGGGTGGACGAGATTAAACCCTGAAAGGGGCTGAATACCAATGCACAGACATTAGGCGAGCTGGAAGGTTACCGTGCCCTGTGTGCGGTCCTTGACATCGTAGACAGAGAGTTTGACCTGAGTCTGCTGAGTGATGAGCGAGTCCTGGAAGAACGCTATGCTGCTCAGAAAGATAGGATTACTGGTGCCCTGACAAAAGACAGTCGGAGAGAGGAAGGTGAAAGGAATGTTGCAGTCTCCGATAGCGGGGAGGAAGCAAGGGCAGATGAGGTTTATATACCTCTATGATTTCAGTCTGAGCGTGTTTGGTCCAGAAGGCCTGCGGGGGAGTGGTGCAGCTGACTGCCACGAAGCTGGTTGGCTTACGGTCCAGAGAGGGCGTGACCAGCTCGCTGCATGCTGCAGAACCAACGCAAACACAAGAGATTAAAAACTACCGGATTTCATGGTGGGAGGAACGGTAATCCTCGGCCATGGGGAGAATGTTCGGCAGCATTTCTGATTTAGTGTTGAATAAGCAGGAGCTGTTATGTAACTCTTAGCATGAAAAAAAACAAACACAGATTGGTATCATCAAACGCTGAGCCAATTCATGACAGGAAAGGTCATGTGTTCATACATCTGAAACATATAAATCCACTTTCACAAAACCTAAATATAAACACATAAAAGGTTTTACTGATCATGCAAAATGGAATTGTAAAGGGATTTTGATAATCGTTTTTACAACACCACTTCAGGTTCCATATTCCCAGTTTTTTTTAAACCACCATAACACAGTAAAAGCCTGTGAAGGTATTGTGTCTGTTAGTCCCAAAAACCTACAGGCCAGAAGGCACCTATGACAAGTAAAACATGTGAAAAGGTCATGATATTCTCTATTTTAACCTCAATTGCTGCTCCTTAATAAAGTCTAACACTTTTAGAAGTGTTGCTCCTTCTGAAAAGTCACATTGTACCAGTGAACCCACCCCATGCAAATACATGTGGGCTCCCATCCATTGCAGCTCTTCTTCTACACTGTACCATCAGCTGGTAATGTTTTTCGTCCCTTACTTTTATTGCTGTGCTGTTGCATATTGAAAACATTATTATAATGGATGAGGGAAGATTAATTGTTGTGGTTGAAAACTAACCAGATAAATGAAATGCACTATCTTTTCATTATATCTTCACAGAAGTATAAACTAACATCTTATTCAGGCTGAGAACCTTTTCTTTATGATGGACATATCATAAAGAGAGAAACTAAAGAGATATATAATACAAGTTTTGGGGCGAGGTTAATAATCATAACAAGGTTAACAGGTTAATAAGGTTAATAATCATAACAAAAGCTTAAATGAAAAGCAGTAGCCACTTGGTGAAAATTGAGCACGGGGGGGTTCTGGATACAGAAACTGTGAGGCCATGCTTTTTATATCAATTCCTAATTTCATAATCTTTAATAATATGCTGATTCGTCATAATGAGGGATAAATATAAAATGTACATTCAACACTTTAACTTAGACTTGTTTTTTATTCATTTCAGAATCTAACACTGAGGAGCTGAAGGGTGAGTCGAAGAAGAATGTGACTTTGTGACAGTGCATTTTCATGTTGAGGTAATAAGGCTTTTTTTCACAAAATAACTATAGTCTTTGCGAATAGGCATATCATAATGCAATGGCAGGGCTAAAGCACGTCAGAATATATCCATAAATATAAACATATGCTATATACTGTATATGACAGTGCTTCATATGTCTGAAGCACTGTCAGAGAGGGTGAATGAGAGGAAAACAGTCTATGGGAAAAATGTGCTAAAGGACGTAAAAAATCAGATGAAAAAGTCATTAATCCAATAATATGTAAAGGGGACGCTTTATTTCCTCCTGTATTTGTGACAGAACTGAACTTACCCACACTGAACTCCAGCACTGGTTCATCGGGATCTTGGCTGTTGCCTGTAGGAAAGGAAAAACTGAGATGAAGCTTTCTTTTCATTTTCTAAAACCCTGCAATTTCATCATCCAGGAGGTAAACAAGGTTACCATGGCATCAGTTACTTAGTTACCCGAAAGAGCAAGCCCCATCATTTCAGATGAAAGATCAAAGGTGTTGGCCCGGTAGACCGACCATGGCCGATGGCGGGGGCTGCGCTCCTTGCCGGACATGGCGGCTTCACAACAGGGCTGAGGAGGCTGTAGAAAATGAAAGGGGCCTCGAGAGCAGAGTCGATGCAAAACCTGAACTGCTCTGCCACGCCGTCTTCTCAGTTACGTGCAAATGAGGTTTTCTTTGTGAGCTAAGCCGAGCGGTCAGGCGTTCGTCTGAGATATGCCTGGAAAAAAGACAAGGGGAGCATAAGAGTTTGATACTGATCATCCTTTGATCACGATAGTTACTTGAGCTGAAAGAATCTATTAACAGTGTTTGTAATTAAGCCTCATAAATGCTAGAAGAAAAAGGCACAAATAGTTATGGGTAAAGAATTTCTCTTTCTGTGAAGCTTCGACCTGAGTTGAGAAACATGTGAAAGTTATTCCTTGAATTTTGATAGTGCTAATATATGCAGAAAAATAATTCCCGGAGAAAAGGATGTGAGACTCTTCACACAGCTGCGGGATATAAAACCCCCACCAGACTCAGGCTATAAGTGTGCCTGCTGAAAAAAAAAAAAGAAAAAGGTTTCCTTGTAGTGAGAATAAAGAAGTGCACAGGCACAGATAAGGAGCAGAAAATGATGACTGACATCTACTCACAAATAAAAGATGAGAGGAACAGCTCAGGTGCTCAAAACACTGCGATACATTACACAAGTCACTGCCAAAAAGGCGACTAACCGCACAGCAGCAAAATGTTTGACTAAACCAAACCAGAAATCCGAAATCTAAACAAATTCACATAAACTCTTCCCATAGAGCTTAAGTTAGTGTGTATGTAACAGAGCTTTGATGAGAGACCTGGTAGTGACTGAAACAATCAAAAGGGTTTGTTACTTTGTTTACATAGATTTCTTTCTTGATTTTTAAATATTGCATTTGTTCATTATTGGCTACTTGAACTGGACAGCAGCTCAGATGTGTTTCAGTGAGCATCCATTATCTGAGGAGGAAAACACCACTGCTCTTTTCATGATGACTTGTAACCACGGCTGTCACAGTCACTCGATTCTCTCTAGTGACATTTCAGCTGCCCTTGAGTTTCCGTGTGAAACTGTGTCTAGTCTCCCTGAGTCGGGGGAACTGTTGGGTCCTGGATGGGGTCATCTCTGTGCGTAAGCTTTGCAGCAGACTGGCAGCCGTGCATGGTACAACATAGCTCCACGTTAACACTCTGTCCTCCTTTTCAATCCTTCCCTAATGCTTTTTGTTTCAGGGCCCCCGACTGTGGATCCTCGTGCTGTGAGGCAATGCTGCTAACCACCGCGCAGCCTGAGGTGAAATTACAGAAAATCAAATAACACGGAGGAAATCCCTATCAGCAGCAGTTATTCTGTAATGAGGCCTGGTTGATCTGAAAATTTCCTCTCGCTCATGCCGCACTTTAATGTCAAAATAACCGTGATCTAGATATCAATGATAACCCATCCACTGGGTGAATACCTGCGGTGCATCTGAGAGCAACTTTCAGGGCTGGAAAAGCAAAAGCTGCCGCACATAAGGTTGCTCATAGGGAGCAGGAAATGAAAGCTGTGCCAAGTGTGCCATGACAGGAGATTTGGCTGCTTTGAGACATTTACAGCCTCTTGTTGTGATGTTTCTGTCCCCATTTTGGCTTCAGCGTCTTCACACCGGGAACAAGAGCCAAAAGACAGAGCACCGCCGAGCCCTCGTGTTATTATCAGGCAGTTTCCCATTTCATGGATGTCATCTTTGTTGCTTATGAAGGAGCCGATCATTTTCCAATTAGGAGATTAATGTCACTTAATGATCCGTACAGAAGTGACTGTTGGCATGGAGCCCCATGTTTCCGAAACCAGAACACTCCCCTTACATGGTTGGGAAAAGTAGCAAATGAATGTTTTTCAATAGCTGGAAATTCAACATATGTAAAGCAGGGAAATGTATGTTAAAAAAAACGATTGCCGAAAAGATATTTTTAAGAACTGACTTAAAATTGCAAATAATGAAAAATATGTTTACTTTTTCAGTATTTCTCTCTTTTTTCTGATTTCTCTCCCTGACAGCTCTATTGTTTTTAAGCAGTGTCAGCTTACAAAGTGAAGAAAATGTTAGCAAATGGGAAACAAAACACTTTAAAAACACTATAAAGAGTTAATGTCAGGGCAACAGATTGACTCAAGTCCTACAGATGACAACTAAGCAGAAACATGTCCTATAAACCAGAGCACAGTGAGCTTTCTGAAACCGAGAAGTATGAAAGATTAAAGAAAGGGCACGCATGAAGAAATTTGAAATGTTAGGAAAAGAAAAGGGCAGAGCAAGTGGTTCGATGACTGGTTGGATCTTCTTCATTTGGCCCCGAAAGGTAAACATTTCCATTTCCTGCGGAATCAGATTCAGTTTCCATCTTTGGCACTTGGTATTTGTGTATGCCAGATAAATATCCACTCGCCTTTTCTCAGGTAGATCAAATGGAATATGTTCACTACCCTCTCTGTATCACATCTGTATGTGACGCTGCTCCTATCAGTCTCGTTTCAGGTTGTCTCCTTTGACGTTGTGGTTGCCACAGTGCATTCACGCGTGAAGACCTCTGCAACGGAGCTCTATTTTTACTCATGAATCGGTTCTGACGTCACCGAGCACGTGCAAATGAAAAGGCCGCGTATCCTGTGGCACACATCCGAACATCCGAGTGGTCCCAGTCGCACAGTCTCGCATCCACACATCCGCGATCCAGCAAGCGTGACGCTCTTTGTCAGTTTAATTTCTCTTCTGGCACCACCGTGTGAGACTGAGGCAGAGGACAATTACAGCATGGATGCTGTGCCTCATTAGGCTGTGTGGGAGACATTATCAGTGGGAGACGTCTTCTAACACGCTGTAATCTCAACTGCCTGGGGCAGTGTGGGAAGCGCTATAGGAAACCCACGGTGGATGTAATGTAAAGCCACGGGGAGGCATGGCTCATCTTCATTTCATCTGTGTGACAGGCATCAGATACAAGCAGCCTGCTGGAGGGGTGGCACAACTTAGTGTCGCACTGGAACATCTCCATTTGCTGAATGAGGATCACACTTGATGAATGACACTCCTCTTCTCTTTAGAGATAATCTCACTGTCAATATCCAGTGTTTTGTAAAGCATTTTTAGGTCATTAAACTGAAAAGGCACAGACTTAAATGAATTGTTCAAGTTCCTGGAATCCACTGTAGTATAATGCCACCATCAAACCACTTTAACTGAGTGAGATTTATGTGAAGAAGCACTTTACATATGAAGACAATTTAAAACTCTTTGAGTATGTGGCTGGATTAAATAAAACATCTAACTGCTACAACTAACATTTTAATTATCCACTAATTATTCGGTGTGTTTTAAAAAGCTGTAGCTTCAGTGTATTGTCACAGCTGGTCTCACAGGTGACTTCTGCCTTACACTAACCATCCCTTTTAGTTGGTTTTAAGCTTTAAGAGTGGTTAGAAGTAAGATCTTTCAGAACAAATCAAGAAGATGGTGAATATTGCTGGATGGAACAGAGATTCAGGTGGTCTTTGGTCCTCTGGGACAGTCTGCAGACCAAACTGACCCAGTTTGCAGGATCCCACCCGGCCTCTCACAGATGCCGTCAGCACTGGCTGCACTGCAGCTCCTCTTTCTCTGACTTCCTCCACGTCCCTTTAAATCTCTTTCCCCTGCTTTGTCATCAAGCCTGTCTTCTTCCTATCCAGCTCCCTTTCCTGTGTCACCCATTCTAAGCTCATTCCCCAGTTAATTTGAATCTAATGATTAGGATTCGGTACTGTGCTGACCTATGCAGGAACTGCAATCCTTTTAATCTAATTTAGAATTATCTTCTTGGTGTAGTCTTGCTTTCCAATGAGACTAAGCCATTGAACAACGAGGAAGACAATATCTAAAAGGCTTAACTCCAAAGTAAAAGATATTTATCCATAAAAATTGAAGCAGAGACAGCAGAGCCGAGCTCAGGTCGTGGCATGGCACAGAGGGGCAGCACTTTGGAGATCTGAGCCTTTAAGAGGAACTTCTGCTGATGATCAGGATATCCTTAGATTTTTGCTTGTCAGCAGGAGCAACATTTGGGATTGCACCAACACCACAGGTGGAGTTATGCATTAGTATAATTCGTTTTACCTTGAAAGTCTTCCCTAAAAACACACACGTCAACACACATGCTGAGGAAAGGCATGAAGTGATCACAACACAACTCAGTTATGAAAAGAGTGAGAGCAGTTATTCAACAGATTAAATGTAATCCTTTGAGAGCTAAAAGAAACATCAGGGAGGCCTGTAATCGCGTGACTCTTAGCTTCGTGAAACCACCTCATCCTGAACATATCGAGGAAAAAGCGTTTTCTGGGTGATGACTGCACAACACTTTTCTACAAACCTGTGGCCACAAACAGGGCGTGATTCAGTCAGTGTGACGAGGATGCGTAGAAAGGGACGGAAAAATAAAAAAAGAAAAGCTTCTAATGTACACATCTATTTATGGCAGCACTGGCCAATGATATTGCAATTATACTCGAGTGTGTCTATATTTGTTGACGGGTAACAACAAATATTGCGTCATGATCTGCTGATGCTCAGCCACGGAGGATGCTGAACGGTGCCTGTGCTATAGTGAGAATACTGGAGACACACACTATATAAAAACAACACATCTTCAACACATCCTCATTTAACATATGGCTACGGCTGTAAACATCTCATTCTGGACCCGCTGCGAGCTGGACCCGTCGCTTTGTGACAGCGTTGAGAACTGAGAGCAAGCGCTCTCGATTAAAACCACGAAATTGCTTCTGAGAAGAAAACACGTCGGAATACAAATTTGCCATACCGTTGAGGGAAAAGCGAAGGTTTCTTGCCGTAACGATGCGCATCCTGGTCGCATTGACGATGCCTGCAGTCAAGACTCGCCCTGACTCCCTCTGACACATGCAGACGTAATAGCTCCGGTGGGGGCGATGCCTCCTCCGGCCGCTGGGGGTCGCTGTTGGTCGTGTCTGCAAAAATCCCCCTGAGCAAAAATGATGGAAGAACTAAAGTAGGCCTTTAAAACTGGTTAAATGTGGGAAGTGGGAAATACTTCTTGCTTTCAACACAGACATCCTCATACAAGAGCCGTTGTACAGACAGAGCTGGAATTAATAGTAAATTAAAAAAATACTATTTTCCCTTTAAAGTTGAACATTAGAAGTTAGTGGCCATCTAGGCAAAATAAAAAATACAGAATAGGAATACAGGACTATTTTAATTATGAATACAGAATAATATATAAATATATATTGCTATAATTAATTAATGGCTGTGCATATGGGTAGAATTAACGTTTAAGAAAATGTAGCTTTTTAAAAAATATTTTCCCTGATAAAACAACATTTCTGGAAACTTCTGTGGCAGAAACTAGGTGCAGCAAAGTTCTTCTTATCTAAGATTCTGTCCAGTGAGACAGAAATAACTGATTTAAAGCAATGACTCATTCATGCTTTCATTCATTCTTTACCTTTCATTCAGTGTTGTGAGGACCCATAAACCTTTAAAGACAGACATTTGGTAAAAAATGTCATAGTTCAGAGAACAGTTTCTATTAGCAGAACCTAAATTGCCACTCTGAAGCTTATTTATGGTGTCACAAAAGGAAAACAAGTCTTTCTCATTTATCTACAATTATCAGCCTGTGATAAATCAATACAGTCAGTTTAGTTTAGGTCCCTGTTCTTATGTTTCTGCTTTTTAATAGCAGAAACAAAAGAGCAGGGGCCTCTTAAAAAGGAGAATAGAAGGTTCAAATGTTTCACTGCCACTTCCTGCACATATATGGAAATTCAGACAAGTGGTAGAACAGGTTACTGACATCTATTGAACAGCTCAGATGGGCTGTGTGTGCACATCCGAAACAATATGCGTTTCTGTTGCAAGTGGCCAAGTCTTTCTTTGCCATTCCTCTCTGTTTTACATATGAAGATGGCATTTCATCTCTGCATTTCACTTTCATCGCTTCCCGCTGATTTTGAGAGGTGTGTTTTGGAACATGTTGTTGAGGAAATCTTCAAATATTAGAAGGGAAATCCCATCCCATTTGATCTTAAACCGCTTCTCAGGCCCAGATGATGACACACTGAATAAGTGTTGGCCGATAAAACCAACACTTCAAAGTTATGTAACTTTTTTTAATTTTGGAAATAACTTGGTTGATTTAAAAATAGCTTAGTTTGAAAGAAGTTCATTCTCAGACGCTAAGTAAGTCTCAATTATTCACTCGTCTATTTCCTCTTCTCCGTGATGTCCACCAGCTTCCTGACTGGCCTTTTTTTTTCCTTCTGTGATTATGTGGAGGCGATTTCTACGTGAAAGCTGAAACTATTAAGTCAGCGTAACCGAAACTGCACAGAGGTCCCTGAAGGGTGCCCAAATAAATAAATGCCACCGTCTCCTCTGCTTTGGGCGACATCCAATCAGAGCAGAGCTCGTGACCGCGCCTCGCGGGTGTCGGAACTTGAGTCCTCAGGTGGAGCACAGGTGTGTTGTCCTACAGCTTTACAGGAGCACCGCAACGCCGACCAGCTCGGAGGAGAAAGCGAGCCTGACCACAGTTTAAGGGTTCTGTGAACTCACCGGATTAGAAATATGCAAGAAACCTAAAGCTGCTAACTTTGGACGAGATGCTGGACGTTTTTATTACGGCAGTGTTCTTGTTTTTGTGAGATATGATGGATTCATTCTTCCGTTCTTGAACTACCCGGAATTTGCTCCTTTGGGACAGCATTTTTCTTTGTTTTCTTGTTTTTTTTGGGGGGGGGCTTCTGTAATGGATTTAAGCCTTACCAGACACGCCGCTGTGCTGCTTTTCGTTTGCGGGTTTCTAAATGTGCTCCATGGCTCCAGAGGAGAAATCCCACCTAAACCAACCGCCGCTGTCACCATTCTGCCTCCCGTTAAGCCTGACAATGGACCCCAGGCCTACCCAGAACCCGCAAAAAACAATTTACCAGTGTTTACAATGGATTATCCAAGGATACAGATACCCTTTGAGATCACCTTATGGATGCTGCTTGCCTCATTTGCAAAAATTGGTGAGTTCCATACACTATTCATCCAAATGGGTGTGTTACCCTCCAAACTCAGGTTATTGTAAGTTGCTGGGATCATTTCAAAAGCTTCTTGTAGACAAAATAACTTGATCTCATTGCCTTAGGTACTGTTTTTAAACCTAGTGTTTTTCTGTCTTTCTCTCTTTTTCCAGGTTTTCATGTGTACCACAAGATCACCATCTGGGTGCCAGAGTCATGCCTTCTCATCTCTATCGGCCTGATTGTGGGGGCCATCATGCACTCGGTGAACGAAGAGCCCCCCGCGGTGCTCACCAGCAACGTTTTCTTCCTTTACATGCTGCCCCCCATTGTCCTCGACTCGGGCTACTTCATGCCCACCAGGCCCTTCTTCGAGAACTTTGGCACTGTATGCATCGAAACCATCCCCATTTCCCTTCCTGCTCTGCCCCGCAAACGAGTTTGAAAAGCACTCTCCCTGTCTCTGTGTGTGTGTGTGTAGGTTCTGTGGTTTGCTGTGGTCGGAACCCTGTGGAACAGCATCGGCATCGGGATGTCCCTGTTCGCCATATGCCAGATCGAGGCCTTCGGCGTGAGCGACATCAACCTCCAGGAGAACCTGCTGTTCGCCGCCATCATCTCGGCGGTGGACCCCGTGGCCGTGCTCAGCGTGTTTGAGGACGTGTCGGTGAACGAGCAGCTCTACATCGTGGTGTTCGGGGAATGCCTCTTCAACGACGCCGTCACTGTGGTGAGTTAGCTCTGGCCTGGGTGAACCGGACGTCGGCACGCTGTGAGTGACCTTCGCCGCTGAAGGCCTGTCGCAGCGCGTTCGGCTCGCTTTGTGAGCATCTAGGCTGCTGTTTGTTATGAAAACAAGTGCATCCAGTCGCAGCTGTGTGTTCATGTGATTGACAGATAGGCTGGAGTTTTTTGAGCCTCTCACAGAAATCTAACAGGCCAGTTTTCCCTGAGCAGAATGTGGGGGAAGAGGAAAAGTTGATTTCAACAGATTTGTGAATCAATCAATCACTGATTGTCATAAATCAACCTTTTCCTTCCTGAAGAATGGCTTCTTTCTGAGGAAAATATTTTTTTGATGAAGCGTTTTTCAGCTGTAGATGTATTACCTGAAAGTAACGATTAATTTTTCAGGTCCTATTTTTTCCCTAGATGTAACTTTGAAACAAGCAGCTGTTAAATTTGTGACCCAATATTTAATTTAAAATTATTTTCTTTTTCTGCTTGAATTGTTCAAAAGTTAGTGTAAAATTGCTCAAGCATAAAAAGAATAAAATGAAAGGGACCAATGAACAAAGCAGGCAATGTCCCACAGGTAAAAAGAAAAAGAAATTATGGGTGGCTTAAGACGTTTGACAAATCTTTTTAGATCAGTTGTTTGTCTTTCATCAGAGGCACACAACCGAGACATAAAACAGATCCTCTTTTGTGTTGGGTAAATCTTTTTCAGTTTTTCTTAACTTAAAGCAGTCAGCTCAGGTTTCGTTTGACACCTTCTTGTCTTTCTCTACATTGGCGAGTGTGTATGGGAACGTCATGTCGATGGGGGAAATGTCTGTGTATCGGGCAGATCAATAAACGGGCAGATTCCTGTCAAAGAAAAGACGCGCACCAAGGGAATGTCAGAGATGTGAAACAAATGTGTCCACGGGAAAGAGCCATGTCCTATTCAGAGCCCGTTTACTCAGATGCTGCCTAACCGGTTTCTGAATCCACAGTTGCATGTAGCCCTGGTTGTGTGGGAGGAGTCGGCACACATCATTATCTGATATTTCAGTGAAATGAGCTCATGCTCAAATTTCCCCCATTGTTCTCTTCATTTTGCGCTCCAACACTGTCACTAACCCACCTTCAGAAAACAGGGCTGTGCATTGGGACAGCGGCGTTCTTGTTTAGTACACAGCAGTGGAGCTAATTCTGAGGGCGATAGCAAATATTTACTCAGGAGGCAAGAAAAGCCCTGGAGTGGCCCGCACGGGAGTCTTTACAAGATGTAGTATGCACAGGGAGCTGGAGCGCTTCCTATTCCCTATCAGGGGAGGCTGCATGACTAACGAGGTTAAATGGGTCGTCAAAATACCAGCAAATTAGATTCCAAAGTTTAAAGTAACCCATCGTCTGTGGTTCGCTGTTAACTTGACAGTAAGGCTGAAACACTGTCAAACTGGCTTTGATATGCAGGTTGAAACAGCGATGATCCTGTTCCTCCTGCAAAAAACTGACCTTTAAAAAATGCCTTCAAGTGCCACATGCATCAAAATGTCACCCAGTTCATTGTAATGGAATCTTAATCTATTACATTTGAGTTCATTCCCAATTAGTTCAGTTTCCATTTAGCCAATTGAAAACACTTTTCTAGCTTGAGAAACCAGCAGATTGCACTGAAACTTCACTTCGTTTAGTTTCCCCCTTCTTGAGTGTTCATCAGGCGTCTTTAGAATGAAAGAACTACCTTTTTAACAGGACCAAACCTCCGGCAGGACTACAGTCAGGGAGGATAGCCCTCTACTTCGACCTGCCGGGGTTTTCGTATGCAAAAGAGGGACAACAAACACCAAAACAGCAGCTCAGGGATACCTGCCGAGAAAGAGCAACACAAGTTATTAACAACAATGTCACATGTTCATGTATAAAGTGCATCACTGGAGGTCCCCAAATAGAAATAAACAAAATAAATCTAAATAAGTAAATCATTTTTAAATGAAAAATGAGAGGTCAATCATTGAAATTCATTGGAGTCATTAGCCTTTTGGATTTTTAATATACACTTTTAAAAGTGCATTAGGAGTTAATTGGTGAGAGAATGAATTAACAGAATGCATGGAAAACCAGTGAGTTTAACTGAAAAATACTTCACAGAAATGGTAAATCAACTGTTATTTTTGTCCTATTCCGCTCTGCTCATAGAATGAATCTCTCCTGTCTGAATTGGTATTAATCTATTTTGGGCTGCAATGTATGCTGGTAAAAAGATTTGTGTGTTTTTTTTGCCAGGTGTTGTACAGCATGTTCACCTTTGTGGCAGAGATGCCGGAAGTGGAGCCTGTGGATGTGTTCTTGGGGGTGGGGAGGTTCTTCGTGGTGGGACTGGGCGGCATGGCCTTCGGTGTCTTGTTTGGCTTCGTGGCTGCCTTCACCACCAGATTCACCTCCAAAGTCAAAGAAATCGAGCCACTCTTCATTTTCATGTACAGCTACCTGGCCTACCTTGTGGCAGAGCTTTTTGCCATATCGTCCATCATGGCGTGAGTAAAGCTAAGAATGTTGACCACTCTGACTGACAATCTAAAACAAAACAAAACACCCCTCGATAGCCTCTGTGTTGGTTCCCCTGCAGCATCATTACCTGTGCTCTCACCATGAAGTACTACGTGGAGGAGAACGTCTCCCAGCGCTCCTGCACAACTGTGCGACATGTGGTCAAGATGCTCGGCTCCATCTCGGAGACCCTCATCTTCTTCTTCCTCGGCGTTGTCACCATAACAACTAACCATGAGTGGAACTGGGGCTACATCCTATTCACCTTGCTGTTCGCTTTTGTGTGGAGAGGTCTGGGTAAGCTAAGAGAACGGGGCACGGGGGTAAAGTCAGGAGCTTGTTTTATTTGACTTGGACTTGTTATGTTGAGAGGAGGAGCGTTGCGGGTTTTTATTAAGGTGGGGCTGTATGATGTTCTTATCAGTAATCAGAAGGAAGCTTACTCCACCAAGTAGGTTGGAGGAGCATCTAGCTGGAATTGTGGTTAAATGATTTCCGACTTAGAATGTTCATTGGTGGGTAGAAGGTTTATGCTAAAAAGACAAACCTTTGACCGCTTGCCAATGCTCTCTCCCAGGTGTTCTGGTGCTGACTCAGATCATAAACCCCTTCCGGACCATTCCGTTCAACATGAAAGATCAGTTTGGTCTGGCGTACGGAGGCCTGCGAGGTGCAATTTCATTCGCATTGGCCTTCACGCTTCCTGACAACATTAACCGCAAGCCGCTCTTTGTCACTGCCACCATTGTCATCATCCTCTTCACCGTCTTCCTTCAGGTAAAAAAGGGTAATCAATTAATGTGGTTATTATAAAGTGCACACATTCTTTAGTGACCAGCTGGAGAGTAAGATATGAGAGAATCATGAACTGAATTCTTCAGATAATTGATTGTTATAGATTGTTACAGATTGTTGGCATGTTGGATCTCAATTGAAATGCAAGCTCTGAGGGTTATTTATTTGTTAAGAATCAAATCAAAATTCTTAAGGGTAGACTGAAGTGATGTAAAATTAGATTCTAAAGTTGGTAGGGTTTTTTTCCACATCTCTCCTACGCAGGGCATCAGCATCCGACCTCTGATTGAATTCATCAATGTCCGCAGAACCAATCGCAACGTGGACACCATCAATGTAGAAATTCACTGCAGGGTAGGACACAGATTCCTATGCTGATCATGGTCAGTTAATGTTTCCAGAGAGAAGGCTAATTGCTCTTACTTCCTATCAGCTCATGGAGCACACAATGGCGGGCATAGAGGATCTCTGTGGACAGTGGAGTCATTTCTACTGGAAAGACAAGTAAGTGCTATACCTTCATTACTTTAAAAAAAATCAGTGGGATAAGTGGTCAGCATGTGACAAGCACATGGTGCTTACTAACACTCTACTATTAACCATAAAAGTGGTTGATATTTACTGATTACATTTCAGACTGCCCACTGTTTTATGACTCCTTCCAACAAAACCAAAGTGAATATGCCGCAGTGGAGCTCTATAAGATGGGACATGGCTTTTTAGCATGAGCTAAACACAACATTGATACAGCGCAGGGCAATGAGAAGTCTAAATCATCCTCTACAAATGTCTGTGTCAGAGCTTCCCCTCTCACGACTCTTTTTGCTATCGTTGTGGGTTTTGATGTCAAGCTCTGCTGTTCTGGAACAGGTTCCTCAACTCCTTAACTGTACATCTTCAGTCTTAGTGGGCTTGTTACAACATGCTCTGTCATATGTAGAAGTCAAGAAGCTTCTTTATTTTGATGCATTACTATCAGAATGAAGAGAAATCTTTAAGTGTTGGATTTACCCACCCTAAACTTAACTGGTTTTCATGTCACCGTTTTAATTCTTCACGTAATTTAGCCCGATCTTAAACGTCCAAAATAGCTGCACCTTTGTAGAAGTTCTGGGTCATATCGCTGATCATCAGAGCAGATATTAAATGTTAATTTAAATGATACTGCAGTATTTTGAAAACATAGAAAGAGAGAATACTAGCAGCAACTGTTCAGAGTAAACGGACGACATGTAAATTACCAAATGAATGCAGCTATTGTGAATATGTAAAAACATGATTTTTTTTCTGGAATTCTGCAAGGTACTTTTATATTTAACTTTATTGTCTCAAAGCTGAGGATCACAATTTCACATCAATCTATCCACTTACATGGTTGCCTGCGTGAATAAAAGGAGATCCTTTACGGATATATGCGTCACACAAAAGTGGTTGTAAGTGGTGTAATTTCTTTTCCCAATTTCAGGTTTATGAAATTCAATAACCGAGTCCTTCGTAAGATCCTCATCCGTGACAGCAGGGCTGAGTCCAGCATTGTGTCGTTGTACAAGAAGCTGGAGCTGCAGAACGCCATGGAGATCTTGGACACTGTGTCTGGAGACATCAGCGCCGCCCCGTCTGTGGTCTCTCTCAAGTATGAAACCTCCATCCTGGTTCAGACAGACTCCTGATAGCACGTCTGGAGCAACAGGAGATATTTATTAACATTTGCATTCTCTTATCATCCCTTTTGGATTTTAGTGAAGAAAAAAGAGGTTCCACTAAACCCAAGAAGAAGCTGTTGGCTGCTGATCTGAGGAACATGCACGACATCCTGTCCAAGAACATGTACAAAATCAGGCAACGGGTGAGAGGAACGATCGCCTTTAGAAATAACAAATCAAATCTCTGCTCTTTTTCATTACTACCCACATTTATTCATGTTCTGCACAATGGTGCAGCCTTAAATACTTTGTTTTGATATATATGTAATTTTACACTGCCCTAAGACTTTTGACTTTTGACTTTTTATGGCACTCCCCACCAAACAAAAGAAAGTGCTGTGTTTGAACAACTACATTTTTTTGCTTTAATTGTCAATGTGCTTTAACAGTATTTGTTAAATCCCAGAATCAGACAGTTAAATTTAAAATGAATGTATGAAGCCACTTTTTGGAATGTATTTTTTCCAGCTCTGCTAAATCCTTTAAAGACACGGAAAGTTGTAAAACAGACTGCATTGTTGCGGTGGAAGTTCCTTTTTTAAATTTTTTTACATGAATATACAAACTACAAATTGTCAGATAACATAATTCAGTTCTAGAGTTACATTTAAAAATGAGCCAATATTGAAGGAAATTCTAAAACCGTTTCAAACTCCTACTTTAAATATCAGGAAATGCAGAGGGCTTCTTCCTGTTTTTATTAATTTTTTTCATGTATACACATTTTAACTGTTTTAAGCTCACAGGGCATTTAGTTGTTTGAAAAGGAAACTTTTTTTTTTTGCCTCGAGGGTTAACAAATTCACCTGCCTCTCAAATGACACTATTTTCAAGCTTGCCCCTCAGTTTCAATGATGGTGATTTAAAACTATCGTACATAAAAACAAAATTCCTTTGAAACGTTCTCTAATCTGAAAACTTTCTCTTTGAGGGGAAGTAGGTTCATAGTAGATTTTCAGTGATGCCTTCTTCAGGCATGATGTGCCCAAACCCTGAAACTCAGTGTTGATTTGCATAGCGGCAGGCTGTGGCTGGCAGTACTTTTCCACTGGTAATATGACATCACCCATCTAAAGAGCTTTCAGAAGTGCTTTGATGTTTGACAAATAGGGGACATGTGATTCTGTGCTCGGGTTGACGGTTGATCCAATTATCTCAGTCCGTCCCGTTTCCACGTCTCCCCTCGCATATTCACTGTTCTGTTTACTGTGGGTCATTTTCGGTCTGCGTTATTTGTTTTTTACAGATGTTTTTTTTTCTCAAATCCAAGCAGTTAATGAGGCACTTTGGATTTGACCTGATGAAAATTGTATGACTTCAGAATCATCAACTAGTATATTAAATTCAATCAAAAAGTAATCTGCACCGCATACAAAACCACATCGAAAAGGCTGTATTATAATTTTGCTTTTTAACATCTGGCTCTAAATGACAATAGCTTCCTTTTTAATTCAGTTTTTGGATTTATAATGGTGTGGATTTACAGAGTGAGTAAGGATTGAATGGCACCTCGCAAAGTTCAAACACAGGTGACTGTCTCTGTGTCTCAGACAGGTGTGGTCAGTTTTGCTCAGAGTAATCTGAGCTTTAAAGAATGTCGTCTCCTCTCAAAGCACTCAAGTCGTCTATTACCTTAACCTTTGTTGTCTCCAGTGGGCAAGAAAATTATATGAACAAGATTACTACAGATTATTGTCTAAATGTTGTTGTTTTATTTGATTTTTTTTTTTACAGTGTAGTATATGTTTAATTAAATTTAGTCCCTTTTCATTATTTTGTGTTTAGACGGTGGCATTTACAGGCAAGCATTCCCTTCCAAACGAGAGCCAAAACAAAGAGATTCTGATCAGACGGCATGCCAGCATCCGGCGAAGCCTCCGGCCTGGAAGCTTTCAGTCATCGGTAAGCTACCCAGGTTTTTGGGCGTCTCGTATATGCAGTGGTGCATCATGATTTCATTGACTTCATATTGAAATCTCATTTAAAACACTGTTGTTATTATTCCTGTATACAAATTATGCAACAATAAGAGTTTCACACATTTTGAAAAAAAAGGAGACACAAGTTGAACAATATAAAAGCAAAAACTGAAAAATCTGAAAAGCAAAAGTTTTTTTATTTTGACATCCACCTTCAGTGGGAATGACCAAAACTAGACACGTCTTGTTACGTCAGGTCCCTGAAAGATTTGTTTAATCTACTGTGGTCTGGATCTGAGTTATCTTCATGCTTCGGCCATGTGGCTTTCAGTGGTCATCATCATTCTGTGTGACACTTTTTCTGAAGAGATTCAATCATCTGATATCCTTACATCCGTGCAGCATGTGCTGGTATAATTAAAAACAAATGTTTCTATCTGAAATGACAAGTTTTGCCGTCCACAATGCAGTAAACTCTGCTCAAATCAAGACGCTTCTGCCACAACCTTTCAAAGATATACATATGCAATTCCAAAGATTCAGGTCTGATAGTTTATGCTGAAGCCATAAACTATCTGACTGAGGATTTCTGGAATCAAAATGCTCTGGAGGTTTTTAAAATAACCTTTCTAAGCTTAATGGGCAACAACACACCTTTTTCAGCTAAAAACATGTTGTGGATATTGGCTTTTGTCAGATCCCAGTTTATTAAATGAAACTTGCAAGCTTGCAAAGCATCACTATACTTCATCATACTTGATAAGAAACTAAGGGTTAACATGAAAGGGAAAAAAGTATTTTCTTTGTTGTCGTTGTTTTCAGATCGTGCCCAAGTCACAGAAGTATTTTTCACTTCCTCCTGGAGAGAGTTTGGATTCCAGATTTCCTCCCACAAGGCTGAGCTTTGCAGGTAAACTTGTAAACTACACTTCCAAATCCACTTATTCCGTTTTAGATCCTTTTACCTGGACATAAAGTTGTCAAAAGTACTACTTCCCTTCATGTGTTTCAGTTTTTCTCCCTCTGAGAATGCTCACCACACTCTGGCTTAGTTGTTTTGTGTGTAAAGTTGATATACATATGTTTGCAAATGGAATATATATCCATCAAACCCTAAACCTACTTTTGTCTCCACTTGCCTCAGATAACCAGGAAACCATGTCTGAAGTGGCCTATCCCCCTCGACGCTCTCGATTCAGCAAACCCAAACGCTCCCCCTCCGGAGCCATGATGCCGCTGCGCAGGCTGAACACCCTGAAAGAAGTGCCCTCTGTTGACTTTCTTGACGAGAGGAGCAAAAGTGGAGACAGGTCCCGAACGCCCTCCTCCCAGGACGATAGCCGCGCTCCGCCCCCTCCTCGTTCCAATGGCTCAGAAGATGACTTTACAAAGGACGCCCACGAGGCAGAAGAGGAGGAGGGACGGCAGCAGCCTTCGTCTCCACCTGCAGCCTGGGCGGCCGAACCCAGAGACGACACACCTCGAAACCCTCTGCTGAAGCCACCGCAGCGGAACCAGAAGTAGGAGAACCCCCGGGTTTTCTACCAGCTGCTTAAATGCCATAAAAGTGAACTGCCATGGTAAAAAATGAGCCAAAATGGACGGGATTATGTCACGGATAGCAGGTGTCATGACCAAGAGGGAGAAAAAAAGCACTGCAATGGCATGTGTCACCAATGTGACGTGCGCATGAATGTTTCATTCTGCTGGTTTTAAATGTGTAGCAATTTCAACTTTCACCTCAATTTGATTTGAGTTTTTATCTTCCTTTAGAGATTTTAAGATGTGTAAAAAGGTATATCCATTAAACTATTTTATAAAGTCCTTAATTACCTTTTTTTAAAAACTTGTAAATGTCAGTTATGATGTTGTCTGTTGTGTGCTTAACTTATGAGGAAGCAGATTTAGTAAGAAAACAGGTCTGTGTAGTTTTGATGTTTCGTTGCACAGCTCACAGGACTTGTGACCGACTTAATAAATGCTTGATGTTCAAAACAAGCTTTGTGTGAAGAATATGTGAGGAGAAATCTTGCAGAAACGTGCCACAGATCAGTAAACAGAATGTAACCAAGGAAATGACAAGAGCTGTTTTTCTTACAGCCAGTTTGAAAAGTGAGTCACTGACTTCAGTGTTTGATCATTAAAGAAACAACTTGGACGCAGATGTACAAACAGTTCTTTATTCCTTGAGATTTTTTTCTGGCATTACTCAGGCTGGTGCTTATTGATATAGTTAGATTTGTTCATAAACTTATAAAACACAGTTTCCTTCATTTCCTGATTCTGTTTGGGGCCTGAAAACAAAAAAACAAAAAATAAAAACAAAAAAACTTTAAATCCCCCTAAATGTGCATATTTACGAACTTTTAGTCAGATAAATACCTTATAACAGTCAAAAACTTTGCTCTTATACCACCATATGAACCATTTCTTAAATACCGCATACAGAGAAAAAGTGGCATTGAGATAAAGTGTCTAAAACCAACCTTGATATGCCAAAAGTCTAAAAATCAGCTTGGTTGTGGCTAGGCACTCCCGAATCCAACCTCTTCTTCTAGTGTTTGGGTCGGTGGGTAATTATCTAGCCTTTAGAGTGCGACGTGGCAAACGTTCACCAGTGGATTGCTACCAATTTGAACGACAGTGGTCAGTGAACTGCTTTAAAACGGGCACTTAGAGTCATAAGTGGACACAGTATGTCTCTGTCACCCCAATCTTCAGCATAATTAGAAACGCAATTAACTTTCCAGCCCTCGTCCTCATGCCGGCGATGCACTTGACGTTTGATTCCACTGATCCTGAGAGATGTCTGCAGCGTTGGGGGTCGCAAACCACTCCCACCATGCCATGCCATGCCGTGCCATGCCATCACAGCCCTGGAGGACACAACCATGCTACAAAACAAGTCTTGAGTGTGAACCCTGTTCCCACAACGAGCAAATGCTTCCTCCGGCCAGTAGGGGGGCACTTCTCTGGTTCGTGGATGTGCGATGACTTTCCAGCACGTTCCGTAGAAGATCCACTCACCTGCTGAGAGTTTCAGAGTTTGCCCGTTTTGTCATCCCTCTTCCGTCCCATTTAGGGATTCGGACGAGGAGTAAACCCACAGCTGCCAGGGCCAGCACCACCCCCAGGCTGGGGGGGCCGCAGGGGCTGACCTCCTGGGCCAGACCGGAGAGGAGGGGGGCCAGAACTCGGCCCACCGCCGTGACCGACTGCCCCGCTCCGATCAGAGTCCCGCTGGCCTGGACCCCCCCCCTCTGCAGCTCCAGGTCCGTGATGCACGTCCGCCCGATGGTGGTGGATATGGCGAAGAAGGTGGAGGTGAGCAGCACCTGCCACACGCTGGGCGCGGCGGCGTAGAGGAAGATGAGCGAGCAGGTGAGCACGGTGGAGTGGAGGAGCAGGGCGGGCATGTTGTTCCAGTAGAGCTGGGTGACCGGCCCCACCAGGAACCCGGCCAGGGCCCCCAAGGTGCTGCTGTAGCTGATCAGGTAGCCCGTCATCTTCGGTTTGAGCGAGAAGCGCTCCTCCATGGCCAGCGAGAAGTTGCTGTAGTAGAGCATGATGGCTATAGCCATCAGGAGGCGCACCAGGAAGAGGTCCCACATGTCCGAGGAGGCCACCATGTGGATCTTGGAGCCCACCGAGGACAGCTGTCTCCAGGCGGGCTGGAGCAGGGACACGTCCCTCCACTGGAGATGGCGCTTCCCGGGAGCTCTGGAATCTGGCGCGGTCAGCGGCGGGTGGTGGCTATTTGCGTGAGAGCCATTGTGCACGGACTTATTACAGTAGTTGTCGTGGCAGTTTTTGCTGGAGTTGTTGCTGCTGTTGGTTTCGTTACGGTCGGTGAGCGTCTCTCCCCACGGCAGCATCCACACCAGTCCTGAGAGAATAACATAGAGTCACACGATCATACGTTGAAAGGCTATCGCAACAATCATTTCTTGTATTCTTCACTCACCGGCGTTGATTAGAAAGATGGCTGCACAGGTGAAAGAGGAAGTGTAGAAGCCTCCCTCGTGCTCGGTGAGGTAACCGCCCACCACCGGACCCAGGATGAAGCCGACGCTGGAGGCTGCGTTAAAGTGACCCATCACAAGAGGGCGCTCTGACTCCGACACCAGGTCTGACAGCAGCGCCCTGCAGATGGACAGGGAGTGCTTGAAGAGCCCTAGGGAAGAAAAAATATTAAAGTAGTTGACTCATTTCATTTCTGTTCACCTTCTATAATATAATTATACCTTCTATAATTTATGTTGTAGGTCCATTAGAGATATGCTTAAAACACTTAATTATTATTTTTACCATAAACTGCTGGTGGTCCAATATCAGACAAGAATGGGAAATGTTTTTGCAATCAAAACATGGTAACAAATTTAATTCCATATTTTAACAAAGAAATTTTGAAAACAAAAAAAAACCCCAGTTATCTCGGGTTAAACATTTGGGAGGGTTTCAGTGAAACGGCATGGGGTTTCAACAATTTGCAAAATGCTTAATCCCGTTTATCCAAACGTCTTGAAAGATGTTAATGGCGTTTACTCACAAGCCAAACTTGATTACTTTTTTCCCATCTAGGGCTCCAATTTACACACAGCAGTAGAGTCCTGCATCTGAACTGGTGACCCACTAAATGATTGCTTATGAGGGGCATTTGCTGGCTGGGCTTGTCCTGTAGACAGGGAGGTTCCTTCCCATAGCGTCCAAACCTGCTCATAGCTGGCCAATTTCCTGCAGGTTTAGACCTTTCCCTGCTTCAGAACATCACTGCTCAACCAGCAAGCTTGTGCAGAACTTAACAACCTCTTCAATACGAATCGGGCGCACGGAAGCAGGGAAACATCCCTAAATCTGCGGGGCGGTGGCCCCTCAAGGAACGGATCTGGACCCCCCCCTGCTACTCTGTTAGGAGACTCTGCTTTAATACCTCAACTCTGAAAAAATCAAAACAACCCCCCCTTTAAGCCCTGTAAGAGCTGCCTACTGCCTGAAGCGACTCACCCACAGGTATCCGCGCGAGGACGAACAGAGCAATGCTGGTGGACATCCCCAGGAGGCCGTAGCCCAGAGCGCTCAGCAGCAGGCAGGTCAGCAGAGAGTAGCGCCGCCCCACCACGTCGCTCCAGCTGCCCTGCCAATCACACAAAGATCCCCCCGGGCTGAGATAAAGACGATAGGCGGGGACCCTCACGTCACACATCAGCAAACGGACCCAAACAGGAAAGTAGATGACTGCTGTTTTTATGGAATTAATGACTTGATGATTTTTGTTAAGAAACTATGCGCAGTGGTCATGATTAAAAAACAAAACAAAAAAACAAAGCAACACAAATCCAAAAAACCCTGCATTTTCTCTCTACAGTAGGAAACAGATTGGGCTTTATTAGATTCTCGCCCTTTCTTTTGCTCACACACACACACACACAAAGATACACGACCATCCGATGAAATAATGAAATTAGGACCAATTGAGTTGACTGTGTTCTGGAGGCGGACTGCTGGGATCACCATAGTGAGCCAGCTGTTCACATATCTCTACATTTATCAGGATTCAGCTGGTCTGCATAAAGGAGCCAACAGATGACTCCTTATGTGTTTAATTTGTCGCATGACCCTTGAGAGTTAAACCAATTTCGGGTGCTCTGGGCGGCAGCAGCGCAGAGCCCAGAGTTTAGCTTGAGATGCGGCTCACTGACGAGTGCGGCCGGATTTTTCCGACGCCCCATCAGGAGGATTGTCGATTACAAAAATGCCCCCGTTGTTTATGAGAGATGGGCTGAAATGGTCAAAAAAATTAAAATTTCTGGTTGCTGGCAAGGTTATGTGTGTGAAAGTTTGCACATTGAAGGCATTGTGTGACCACAATTAGCCTCAAAGAGCCAGTTGTTTATTGTTTTCATGGAATACCAGCCAGGACGTGGAATGCAACCGTCCCGGCCTCCTAAGTGTGGGCATGTGTTGTCCAAGAGGAAAGACTGAACAGGAGGTAGAGAAGGAGGTGACCCAAAGTCAATACTTACAACCACCGTGCTGGAGAAAAGCTGCAACATTCCATATGTAGACCCTGCAACAGTTCAATGACCGCATTAAGTCACATTTGAACAGAATTGAACAGATGAAGCACAAAAAAAGAAAATGCCCGTGTCCAGTTACGCTGAAAAAAGTGCTACTGAGCTTAAAAGAATAGTATTTAAAAAGTAGGGTAGGGCCTAGTATCGACATGGTATCGACACCGAGTCGATACACCAGTTTTTCATCAATGTGAGTCTCAAGGGTCAGAACATTTGACACATTAGATATTATTATGAGTATTGGGGACATTAGTCCTGCGTTTACTTGGACTTCTCTCCTTTGAGCATCACGTTGGCAGTGATTACTGAAGCTTTGTTGGTCATATTCCTTCTCATTCCTCTTTTGAAGTAAGACCTCATTCGCTCCAGGGTGGGGTGACTCCCCCTGTATTCTGAGCTTCAGCGGGTGCTACACATTTGTCCTGGGAGGTGTGTCCAGACAGTTTTTGCTTTGCATGGCACGGTTTTAGTTTTAGTTTGTGAATGCAGCCACAAAACGTGTTAGCTGACAGTGTTGTTTCTGGGGACACCCTTTACAGAATGATGGTGGTTTTTAGCCCCGTGCCAGCTGTGGGATCCAAGGCCCCAGATATTCAGCATCAGTTTACGGCCTCGCCACTCTTTATTTACATGGTGAAATTCCTAGAAACGGCACATTGTGGAACATGGGTGAACGGTTCTTCCAAGGTGGTGAACCTCACACTATTTGCATTTGTGGACAACTATGCTCCTTTTATATCCAGTGATGGGTTTCACCTGTTTTTAATTAACCTGCTTACTTGAAATATATTCCACACGTTTTATTCCCCCCGGCTTTTGTGGCCAGAGTCTCGGCTTTGCATGCGTGTCTGCATGCATCAAATGGCATCAAATTGAATATGGGTAAATATTAGCAAATATCTATTTTTATCTTTAATATCAAATACTGTGTTTTGTAGCGTAAACAACTGAATAAACTTTACTGGAATTTAGGTGTGCACCAACAGTCCGAATACCTTTGGCCCTGACTGCAAAGGAAAAACTCCATTTAATTGTGAAATCTAATAATAAACTCAGCTTCCATCCATTCATCCATCTTTAATATTTTTCTACGGCCAGATTTGTGCACAGCCTTAGAGGTCTCGAGCTTAGCACTGTGAGTCAGACCAAGATTGTCGCTGCTTCCAATTCTAGGCGGAGCCTTTCTGAGTGGAATCTGCATTTTCTCCTCTGTGCATTCGCAGGTGTTTTTACCTCTGGGACCGGCAGAAAGTGTGAGAAACTTCCTGATAACCAACAAACATGGTCATGGAGACATGGATGCATGGATGGAAACATGGATATGGTCACAATACTGCACTGACCTCAAGGCAATTCACAGTTTACGCATCTGCTTTGACACAAAGCATGCGTTTATTGGGCTGCCTAATGAAACTTGGGCTTTATTATTTGTTCCTTTCTTGCCTTTGTGATGAATTAAAAGCTAAATGTTAATGAGCAACAAGTGTTCTAAAGCTCAATTTAATCAAATGTTGTGGACATCTTCTATAATGTTGCTGACAGGTCCATCCAGAGCTCTGATTAGAGCCTAAACAAACACCCCTTCAGAGAACTGGTCCTCAACTTATCTGATAAAGCCCAAGAGGAAGAATGGCCCATAATTCCAGGTGTTTATATCTTGTGGTTCAACATCCAAGATGCTAATCTGAGGAAATTGCCTGATTATCTGGATAAATATCACCTTTCAGGTTTGCTAATTTGAAAGATAATATCTATGTGGACTGATGGGGGAAACTAATCTTACCTATTTTAGCATAGGGTTGGTGGTTTCCTGTGTTTTTCATTTAAAAAAATATATCTTTTTTTAGTTTTGGGCCCAACTTACCCACAATACCAGCCACGGTGGGACTTGCTCCAAGAGCCTTCACATGATGGCTCAACAGTGGGAGGATCATGCTCACCCCAAACAAGTCCTACAGAAAACAACGGATGCAAATGAGAAATCCATCACATCAGAGACCTAAAGAGCTGAAATTTATTCCAAGAGATATAAAGAAGAAGAAAGTAATGGGAGAACTTGTGCTTTGAAAGAGATAATCAGCAAAACTACATGGAGGGTGAGGATGTGTCAGACAGCTGTTTACTACAAGAGCCAGGGGTTAAAGAAGAACCCTCCACCTAAGAGGCTAAATTGGAGAAAGTTATTATAGTGACCAACCTAAAAAAAACTGTGTCCCATACTCAATACAGACAGTTTTAGGATTCATTCCGACACCAGGAAAAAAAATCATCTCTCATCCTGTTTATCTGCATAGCTGCGATCAGAACAGCTTTTGCCAAAGACTTAATTGAGAGCACACAGCGACTCATACAGTGTTCTAACGCAGTCTATTACAGAAATGTCCTACCCTTCACGAACATTACTGTAAATTCAAGGCAGGTTCGACTTTTTTTTTTTCCCACCCGCGCAAAAAAAATCTGAGCTTCCTGAATTCTTTTCTCTCAGCTTTGAGAAGATGACTGAAAACTCAGAGCTCAGAAACAAGACTTCAGCTCTGCCTTGGAAACGTACTTGTATGCCAGAGGTCTTCTATAAACGGGTTTGATACTGATCTTAGATTTATTTTGGCACCAAAGAACATGTCAGGAGCTGACTGGTGCTGCTGGGCCGGGGCTGAACGGGCCACTTGGAGGGGTCAGCCTGTCTTGTTTTCTGACATCATTCTACATTTTTAGTAGATGTCAGTTGTAGTTGATATTTGTTTCGATCAGTAAACATTTGAAAATAATCTGACTTAAGTAAGGACCTCCAAATGTGTCGATTATTATTCCTAGTTGTCTCTACACAAACCATAGCTTATCTGAAGTTGCCTATACAGTTTACATTTGGCGATGAAGATCAAATATCTTAAATATTTTGCAAACTGGATTATTTGTGAGGTTTAGAATAATTGAATCATTTTGTTCAGCCAACACATTTTCAAGAACACTAACACAAACACGTTTAGGAAGCTGATAACAGTCTTGCTTATCTTTTCAGAAACATAGGTCATTATGAGAGCATGATTTAAATGGGAAGTTATTTCCGAATTTGAGAAACTTTATGGTTACAATGAACATGTTTTCAAAGAGACTAGATAGGCTTTTATTTCAACTTTCTCATTGCATCAGTCAAAGTGATGTAACGTGAAAGTTCAAAGATCTATCTGATCCATCACCTGCACACAACCTACAGATCTGGTCTTTTCACATGACAAAGTCACCCCATTCAAACGTAATAGTTTCTGTTTGTTGGTTTTGCATCATAACTGAGTTATGAAAGCACCACTAGCCTGTCTTGACACTTCACCCAGAGAGCTAAATCGATCGAGTCTCGGTTACTCACTCACCATGAAGCCCACAAAATAGATACATCGTATGATCCTTCGCCGCCCTCTTAATTTCAGAAATAAAGGGCTACATTTCTGGTTGTTCATCCTCCCGCGGTGACAGCTCGGCTACAGCTCCCAGCCGGCACTACTGTACCCAAACACAGAACACGTCTCCAACACGGTGCGGGGCTCCAACGAGCCGGGGGAGACGACCACCACCGAATTCAATTGGCAAGCAAGAACATGGGGTGTGTTGAAGTTGGTTGGTCAGACAGAAAATTAAAACTTAATATTTAAAAATCTTATAATATTGGCTGTCAAAGCCATGTTTATTTATCCGGTGCAAAGCCGTCATCTTGTCAGTTTTAATCCCCCCGGGTTTCTCAAATGGTTTCGTCCGCTGACGTTAAAGAACAGATTGTTTCCCCCCCTTCTCGAAAGTCTTTGTTTTTTTTAACTTTCTTTAAATTTTTTTGCGAATAGTTTCAATATCAGGTGTGTTATTTTTCTCTTCAATTCATAGGCTGTTAACGTTTTGTATTTTATTTTTAGACATAGACTATGCTAATTTCCTGTACGCGTTGCAAACCTACCTTTATTTACTACATGTCAAATGCATCTGAAACTGTGCCAACAGCGCTTCTTCTTACAGTTCTTCTAATATTGGCATTCGACATACAATTTCTTCAATTATTACAGGAATTTCCCTATTTTCTTCATAGAATTTTTTACTTGACTACCATCTTCTGGACCATCCCCAGCACTGCACAATCCAGTACCTGCGTTACGGCTGCAGCCAAATAAAGGGCCAGCTAACGAAAAACACAAACTCTGAGTCCAGTCTCCTCACGTGGTGTGTGGTTTCAACCCTGAAAGTAGACTGGATTCAATGTTTGGGTTTTATGGGTCACCGAAAGTGATCAGATTTGTTACTTTTTATTTTAAGTACTACATCTCCCACAATCCCCAACAATTAGCAACCGCAGTATGGCAGCCCAAGAGGAACATATAACATGCCAAAATTGTGATAAAAATAGTCAGGATTACTAACTCAAAGATTTTACATAGTATTGACCGTACAGATATATCAAACCTGAATATCCAAACAGCCGTGTATTCAGTCAATCAGATTTTTGATTTACCATGCAAAAACATATATACATTTATATTAATTTATATTAATGTAAGTTGATTGGAGATTGGGGAAATTGCCCTTAGGAGTGAATGTGAGTGTGAGTGGTTGTTTGTCCTTGTATGTCCTGTGTGTGGCCCTGCGATGGACTGGCGGACTGTCCAGGGTGTACCCTGCCTCTCGCCCGTTGACCACTGGGATAGGCTCCAGTTCCCCCCGCGACCCCATCAGGGAATAAGCGGTATTGATAATGGATGGATGGATGGATGGATATTAATGTAAGTCCGGACAAGTCTCGAACCTCGGACACTAATAAGTATCAGAACATTTTCTAAATTTCTGTATTAAAACGGATGTGGTCTCAGGCTCTGAAATAATTGTAAACTCTTTCATTTGTACACCTTGAGTCTTTGAAGTCTTTGTATGGAATATGGGAGTTCTAGTATCAAAATGTGAATCTAAGATGTGTATTTTTGCTTTGAGTGTTCTTTTCCACCAAATCTCAAATGAAGTTGTAGGGTTAGCATTATTTGCGTTTTTTAAAATAATTTATTCTTTTAGCAAGATGTAAAAGATTTACCGTGTAAAATTTCCTGAGACTTCGTGGACAGTGTTAATCATGGGTAAAGCAGATCAGGGTAAAAAAGTGTCAAATTCATAGAGAAATACAGCTTTAGAAGATAAACTGTATGAGCACTAACCTCAACTCCAACTCAATTCACACCTAACTAGAGCTGCGTAAATCACATTCTACGTCATTTGAGCTGGACATGGGCCACCAAGAGGACTACTGGCTCCAACAAACTCGGCCTTGACACTAAAACACACAACCTATGTAGTTGTTTTGGCTGAGGTTGGTCTGGGTCACATGAATGTGTCAATTAGACAACGTCTACATAAAGTCTCATTGCTAAATATTCCCCTAAGATGTGAATAAACCAGTTAATTCTTCTTTAATCACACGCTCAAATGAATATAACAATTAGATACACCATTTGAAAACAATAGCTTTTTACGTGTCAATGCGGAAAACATCGAATTCTCTTAATAGCTTTATTGCTATAAAGCAGCACAGAAAACTTAAAAAATATCTACATAGCATGCTATCATTCACATAAGCTAAAGAATTTTGAGACTGTAGTTGGTCTGTTTGCAAAGATTGCAATATTTTCATGTAATATGTCAGACTTTTTTTTAGTGGCAGTGCATATTTCACAGTGCTAATTTATCCATTTGTGTTATGCATCATGAGGAGCTGCTTAGTCTACTATTCCTTATTCTCATTCTATTGATCCTGCATGGTATTTGAGCATAAACCCCTATGGAAGTTACTTTACAGGCTTCATTTACACCATTTTCCCCCTTGAACCCAAATAGGATATAATACCTATTGGTGTTTATATCTGTTTGCGTGTATGCTGTCCTGCTGGGGCAAAGGTTTGAGGTGGCGCTTAGAGGGATAATTTACTCTTCCTCTGTCCTCCCAGTCTCACCCTGCCCTGACATTCCCATCAGATGCTGGGTGTCCAGTTGCTACTGGTTATTTCTGTTGATCCCCTCCCTTCACAGTCCAAATAGTCCACACACTCAGCTCCATAGTGGAGTAGAGAAGTTGTCTTCAATCACACATCAAAAATAGCCCAGGGGCAAGGGGGTTGGGCTGGCTTTAGACCCCAGTTGAGGGTCCAAAGCAGTCATGTGTACAACTTTGTCCTCCCACAACACAGATGCAGATAGAGGAGAGGAGCTGAGATCTAGGAACCAAACAAAAAATATCTAGAGGGTAACAACTGATCGGAGTCAGTGGATTTAACTCAATATAAGGGGACTGCTCGCTTCTGCCTCTGTCTGTCACGTGCACTTGTTGTACTTGCAGAGGAAATAAGACTGAGAGTGGGAATCCAGCAGCCAATCGGCTGTTCAGCTCCGGACTATGAAGCTTAGTGTGGCGTTGTTTTTCGCCGGGCTCTTTGGGGCTTTGGCCGCTGTGTTCATCTTGCTTTCTTTTGGAACAGATTACTGGCTGCTGGCATCTGAGAGTTGCCAACCAAACCCTGACGAAACCGTCACCCTGGACACAGCGAACACAGAGGTGGGTGTTGATGAGCACACCTTGATTAGATATGAGTTATCTATTTATTCATAAAACTTTGTTCTGGTCTCAGTGATTCTCAGTGTTATTTTGTGAAGTACTTGAAGTTGAGGTTGTAGATTACACACTCAAAAATTCCAACAGTAGTTGTTTGTTAGAGTTAAATAAAATTGCAATCAGCTGCTCGAATGACTCTTTCAGTAGATAAGCTGCAGGGTTGAGAGGCATCCCTGTCAAACCTTCTCCCGTAATTGGACACTGTTTATAGTTGTATGTGTGCAGCTATGCAGTGATTGAGGCATAGCTAGTTCCATGTGGCTCTGTGATAGAAATACAAGTGCCAGTAGTCTCAGAGGTATGATGCTATATTAAATATCACCAACGAGAACATACTTAACTCTCCATAGTTGGCACTGATACTGACACGGAGACGACATGGCAGGACAATAAAAATAATGAAGTAGTGCAACACATTGTGGTTCAAGGTTGCCATGTAATCTCGTATAGTTTCAACGTGTTATCATATAATAACAAAAACATTGATTTTGATTAATTATAGTGTAAAAATGAACCATTCAGATTAAATATTAGCAGTTGGTTCATTGGAACTCATACTCTCATACTGTACTGCTCCTCATTGCAGCTTAAGCCAGTAGCAGTACCAGTAGTAAAAGAAAAAAAACAATAAGTGGTTCCCAAAAATGACACATGTAAAGTAGGACAATATCTTTGTGCAGAGGAAATATTGTTATGTACCCTCTGTAATGCTTTTAATTCTATTGTGACTCTTTTGATTTATTGTCAAACTCACTGTATCTGAAGTATCTGAAATACCAGACTAAGAACCCAGTATCAAAGCACTAAATCCTTCTGATCTAAACTTCAAATCAAACAATTGAACTTGTCTGAAAATCATCTAAAAAACTAATATCACACCTTTCAGCTTCACTTTGCGAGGCTCTAAGTTCCAAAGTGTCTGCTTTAGTACTTAAGTGATGTAATGATAAAAGATATCAGTAACATTTTTTTTCTCACATACGAAAAGAGTGTGTTTTTTGAATGACTATGCTCAGTCAGCGACAAACCAGACCAACCAAAGGGAGCTTGCTAAGATCGACCTTTGACCCCTCTTGGCAGCTGTTCTGCAACACATTGGCAGAACGCAGTGCACCTGCCTCACATCGTCTTAAAACGGTTCCCAGTCCTTAATTGAAAAAAAAAGAATAGCTGTACTTGTATGATATAAGGCATAATAAGCAGACTTTGTGAAATTTAAAATAATGTGTTTGGAAATGTTTATGATTCGTCATCTTTCTTATTTCAGCATGGAGATGTGGTGGTGCAGGAGAATGGTAGCGTCGTCACTTTGTACCACGAGGGTTTCTTCTGGAGATGCTACTTTGGAGGCAACATAGGGGATGAAAACCTGCTGTGGAAGCTCTGGTTCAGTAAGTGAGATAAATAATGTAGCTTTAGCCTGACACTAGCTTTATTTTCTCCTCACTAGCACTGCTATACAGTCAATATTTTTTGTACAGTTTGGAAGAATCAAATACATATATAATACTTTAGAGAAATGAATGAGTAAATATAATTATTCAGAGGCACAGCAATAAAAGGTTTTGAAAGGATTCAAATCTCTTTGCCTGAGTAAATACCGGCTATAAAAAGCTATAAAACACATTTAATATATATTTTTGTAATATTTGCAGGATTATTCATTAAAGGGGAGCGGTTTTATGTTCAATACTTTGAACTGAAGATACAAGGCTAGTGAAATGTCTGATTTCACAACTTCAATCTCTGAAACTTATTTACAGAAGAGGAGAGTATCATTCTAAATATTCATTCCCAGTCTTACTTTTAGAATTTCCAATTAAATTAGACAGATAATTCAATATAGCAATGTTTTAAAGTGGATGTTACGTTAGGGTGTTTAGGGTGAGCAGGTCAATGAGGTGAAACACGTCTTTGAAATTGTTAGCCGGTGCTCTCAGGACACTGCTCTCCACTAAAGTTTGGCGACCTCAAAGTCACATGGGAGCATTTGGATTTGTTGCTGTGCTGTCTGTTAAGCTTGTGTGACAACACAGGGGAGAAAACCCCAAACGCTCATGTGACCGTTTTAAGATGGCTACGCCATGTGATGTTATTCTGGTACTCTGTCAGCTGGTTGTGTGTCATCTATTTTCTGATTGGGGTTTTGAATGGTGGGCCATTGTCAGAGAGAGCCTGCAGAAATGAAAGAGATCTTGTGAGGGTCTGTGGAATTTCACATGTTAGGAGAAATGAAAGGGGAAAGAGTGGGGAGGAAAGGACAGTTGATGTGTTTTATGTTTGCTTAAGATGCACTTCTGCAGGTATTCCGTTAAAAAAAACAACTCACAGAGAAGCCACTGGAAAAAGCTGCTTAGCTGAGCTTAATCAGAAGTTTACAGATAGTTGTCCCTGGCTTACGTGAGGTTTTCTCCTGACTACCCTCTCCTGGTAAATTGTGCCACCTCCTTATGCTATTGCTCCCCAAAATAATATGCAGAGTCGCAGTGCAGCCCTAGCTAGCGATTATTCAGGTTACTCTAAACCTCTCCGTGGAACATTCTGGTTTTATGACTTTTTCTTTTTTAAACTTGTTGGTTCTGGGCAGATTCAAAGCAGACTGATATATTCTGACCTGCTTATCATCTTAAGGACGGGTAAACAAGGGTAAACACTCATCTTAGATGTAAAATCTTGCAGGAAGTTATATTTGACAAAATATGAAAATAATTTTCCGTCAATTTTTTTGCCTTTTGGCTCTTCTTTTTCATACGACTGAACAAAATGACAAAAATGCGTTCATTCTTTTCTGCAGCAAATCAGCCCAACTCCAAAATATGTATGCCTGCCTATCTCTTCCCATTTCCCGTGTCTCATCAGACTCACAACACCACAGAGTATAACTCTGCCATAAGTGAGTATTTACACTGCTTGCATTTCTGTAAATGATCAAAGAGATTATGCTCTAAGTTAACACATCTGTTGTCCAGTCTACAGAGGCTTCTGGAGCGTTTTTATGCTTATTGGTGTGGTAGCGGTTGCTCTTGGCGGGTTCATCATCATCTGTGCTGCTCCGTTTGCCAGCCACCGTCTGTATAAAGCTGGGGGCGGCCTCTTCTTGGCATCAGGTGAGTGTAGTCCAGAGGTAAAGGGACTGATCGAACATGCTTAAGTGCTGTATGCGAGGTTCAAACACCATTAGGCTTCAGAAGTCGACATCGAACAACTTAGTCCAATAAACTGGGTGAAAAGGCTCAGTTTCCGATGACTTTTTAGTTCAACATTCAAATTAACCCTTGTTTGACCCCAGTTTAGCTGAATCCAGAGTGAGAATAACTTCAGGAGGGTGCACAAAGGTTAATCTTTTCTTGAAATACAATAAGATCTAATCAAAGTTATCTACCAAAACAGTTTTATTAAAATCTTTTTAATTAACTAAAACAATATTAACAATTTTAGAAACAACTACATTTTTAAACTATAAGAATAACAACAAACGGCAGTTGTTTGACTGGGGCCAATGCCCAAAGCATTGAGGCACTTACTACCTTGTTGCTGGATATACTTCAAATAAAATGTATTTGAAAGAGTTTCAGCATCTCTCCCCTGTATTTTTACCCACCAAGCTGTCCCTGTGCCACCAGGGTTTTTCCTGCTGTGCGTGGTGGTGATGTACGTGCTGTGGCTTCAGGTGTTGGATGTGGTGGAGCTCTACATCGACCACCAGCGCTCTGCACTGTGTCCAGACTTCCACCTGTCCCTCAGCTATGGTCTGTCCTTCATGTTTGCCCCCGTCGGCATTTTTTTCTGCCTGCTGTCTGGCCTTCTTTTCCTCCTTATAGGTCGAACTGTCCAGATTCACTACCACTGAATTAAAGGTTTTTGTTTAGCTTTTTCCCAGCCATATTCAGTTGTTTTCTGCAGTGCGTTTCTTGTGTAAAAACTGGACTCTGTCGTATCAGCTCGGCAGCTCTGGGGATTAAACAATTTTTAAAAGCTCCAGGAAAAGTTTTCATAAGATGTGGAGCTCGGAAACGCTCAGAGCCGCTTTCACTTGAGCTACGTTGAGCTCAGTTGTCGATACCTCCATCTTTTTTTTTCTAACCGCATCTGTTAGGGTTTTGGTTCAAACGTTTTAAATGGGGAGGTAAAATGTTTATTCTAACTGTGGAAAATAGGCAGTGGGACTGAACTGTCATTAAAGGAATATTATATAGCAGCATTGATAATCAGTCTCCTCCTCATTGCATGTTTTTTATATTTTTCTGCTCCATTTCACCACAGCATGTTTAAAGGGGTCATCCCCAGCCTTCTGAAATATGATAAAGAGCTTAGTTGTTTATTAGAGCAATTTGACAGAGAAAACAATGAGTTTTTGGTTAAAAGCCTTCTAGTTAATATTTTTACATATACACATGGTAACTTATTACTTTATATTCTGTAAGCGGTAGAGGGAGTTAGTACTTTTACAAACTGCCCCTGGTCAGCTAATTATATTCTGTTTGTTTGATGTATACAAATGATATGGGGAAAATGAACAAGTAGTTTTAGTTACAACAATAGTTAATTTGTCTCAAAATATTCCAACCTTTCCAGCTGATTTGTACTGATAATGTATGTAAAATTGCATTTTTCTTCAAGTGTGAGAGCTTATTTGAGTTTGATATTCTAATGTATAATTGATCTGTTGATTAAAAAACAAATCTGCTTATAGTAAATAAAGAATAGGCCAGTTGTGGCTTGGCCCATTAAGCGAATGATACAGAATTGTTAGAGAACTTTTTTTTATCTATTATGAAAGGAATAATTAGCTTCAGATGTCTGCTTTTTTTTGGGTCATAAATAAAAATGTTGGATAAATCATTTGTGAATGAAATATGGTCATTTTTTGTGATGAAATCCTCATGAATGTGTGTCTAATGGCCATATTGTTCCAACACAACCAGATTACTGGTTCAGGACAGACCACCATGTGTCTGAACAGAGCAAGATGTTATGTTGATGATATTTGCTTTTAAAATCAGTCTAGTATCTCTCAGAGTGTGTCATGTGTGTCTTTTGACTGTGATGTTACATTGTTTTAATCAAATAAATATCTTTTCTCTGATCTGCTTGGCATTAAAATAAAAGGCTCTGATGCTGAGTGAGGGTAACTATTCACAGTTCCACTTTCAAGAAATTTGTCAAAGGGGAAAATCAAACAGGCTCTTGAGAACACAAGAAAAATAAATAATTAATTATTTATCAGTTTGTTGACACAAATGCACCATTGTAAGTATACTGGCAATTTTCTTTTGGAAAAGGATCAAACAACTGGAAACATATATTTGAAAAATGCAGCTGAAACACCACAAGGTGACACTGCAGTCTTATTTCATTTCCTCCCAGTCCACACTCTGAGACAGAGAAATCCCATTTTGCTTATCTGGAGTCTATGTGGAGTGTGCGTGGTGTTATGCATTTAATCACAACTTCAGAAGTAGGATCTGTAGATGAAAGAATTCACACCTTGGCTGACAGACGGATGGTAATTTCACTCATGAATGGAGCATTTGATCGGGATCTGAATGGACTCCTGTGTTGATTCTCATGTGTCTGCATCGACTCTTTGCCTTTCAAGATTCATAATGCACTTATCATACATAGGGAAATGCATCTGCGACTAGCCTGAGAATGCAGGAGGGAGTGACACAATGTGAGGCGCTGATTATTTTGTGAGACTGACTTTGCCTTAACAGAAGAGTCTAATGATGGAAATTCACACTTTCACTTGCCGAAATTCCAAATCGCTGTCTCCGCATCATCTTTAGCTCAGACGTATGAAAATGAAAACCCTGGTGAACCACCGCGGGTCACGAGAGGAAGCCGTCTAGGTGGGCAGATGCTTAGAAATGTTAAGATAAGATCACGTGGTTTGTCCCGTTTGAGGTTGGAGCGGTCCTTTCAGCCAAGTCTCCCCCAGGAAAGAGATTTCTTATCTTGTGGACTTCCTGATTTAAATGAAATCCTAATAAGATATAAAAAAAAAAAAAAAGTTTAATCATTTGCCTATACATATCCAAGTGAGAATGAGAGATGAAGGGGAGAAAAAAAAGTGAGGAAAGGGAGAAATAGGCAGAGGAATAATGCAGGTGAGGAGCAGGCTGCCTCCTGCAGAAGTGGAGCCTTGCAGTCAGTAATGTCATCAGAGTGGGAGTCCCAGCTGAATTCAGCACTGTTCTGCATGATTGCCCATGATAATTGTGTGTTGATAGGGAGCGCCGGAGATGGAGTATAATTTCCACCGAGAGATTCCTAAACAAATACCTGTGCTCAGCAGAGGGATGGAGAGCAGCAGGAGGTGAGGAGGAGAATAGCGGATGAGGGGAGATAGAGGATGAGAGGGTAACAGTTCCAGAAAAAGGAGGATGATGAGGATGGACAGGAAAAAGTGGCTTTACCGCAAAGACCTGTAAACTTAAAAAAATTTTTTTTAAAAATGTGAGAGGTGTTTGGGCTTTTGGTGGAAAAGGTTAGCGCATAAATAAAGAGCAAAACACATTTCTAAGTTGTAGATAGCGTAAACACAAGTTTGTTCCAAATTAAATATGGACAAAAAACACTGATGTTAGGAACTATTTTCACAATTTTGAACAAGTTTTAATAAACTGTTGGAATTCAAAATGGTGGAATTCTGTGAAGTTCTCCAGATTTCGTTAAAGACAACTGAAATAATATGTTATAAAGCTAAAGAGGATGTTAAAAAAACCCCACCAGGAGTCAGCCCTTTTTTTAAATCGGAGTGTGCTGAATGTTTTCAGCAGACGTGCGTGTGGACTGCAAGTTTAGCAACCTTATTCTATTATCCTCAGCCATGCTGGTGTGCAGCATGCTAAAGGTTGCTGCACATCTTCAAGTAAAAACAACAACTTCCCTGAAAATGGCATCATGCGGAAAATCAACACATTCTCCTCCAAAGCCAGCGTACATTATTCATCATTATGGATGATTTTGCATTTATTAGCTAGCCAGTCCCTGTAGACAAAATGTGTCTCACACTATCACAAACCTTTGAGGACATTGCGTGAATTATTTTGATTGATATGACTAAAGAACTGTTTTTTGCCTCCTGTTTTCTCCTCCGAAAAACACAGATTTGAAGAGGCAGCTTGTTTGTAGGGTAAGTTTCATCGCATGCAGTTGGAATTTAACAAAAGTTAACCTGAAACAAATCTTCTAGTGTTAGATCATGAATTGTGGTGGGCATCCACAAGCAAAAAAGGAAAGAGACAGTACTTTTTTGTTACTTACTTTAGTATCAGTGAATATTTGATCGTATTATCTGGGTAAATGTGCTGAATGGTTTACCGGATGATGGCTCAAACCAGTAATAGCTGGTAGGTCAGATTACATATTTCTGTGCCATTTCGTTATTTTACCATCAACCTTTCTTTTTTCACGTCGTCTATAATAAGGTTAAAAACAGTCAGAAACCAACCGTTGGCCTTCAGAAGTGTTTCTTATCCCAAAAAATGACCCACACCACAGAAATAGATTTTGCCTGAGGAACTGCAAGTTGTAGCATTTCACATTGAATATCTTTTTTTTTATTTGTCCACCAGTGAAAGACAATACCAGCCATATTTTGTGCTGTGGAAAAATGCTATTTTACTTTCACAATGATCATTCCGCTCCTTTTGGTCAGACTGTATTTGACTTATTTAGTTTAGTCTAAGGTTAATTTATCCATGAAAATTCAACTGTGAGAGAAAAAAAGAAGACAACTGAGTGTTTTTAAGACAGCAGCAGCACAGCTAACACACCACCAACACACCAATGAAGCATTTACTGGCCAACATACAACACAATGCACAACTATCTCTATGAAACCTTTACCAGTGCACAACGTTTCTGTGACTGTTCAGGGAAGAAAAATGCAAATTATTCTACTATTGTTATGATATACTGGAATTCATCCATGTGTCAATCTCAAATTTAGTCATCATGATCACAGTCATCGATATTTAGACGTCTGATTTTAATTTGATGCACTTTTCAGCGGCTATTAGAAGCTCTCAACTTCTTTTGGAAACATGGTTGAATATATTGTTTTTGTGTTCTTGTATGAAGGGATCAGAGGTAATTGTTTGGAGAGAAGGAGGAAACACTCACCTGGTCAAAAAAAAGAGGCATTTAGCTCTCAGGCGACACTCATATTCTTAACCTTGATGGAGGTTTGAGTTAATTGGAAAACAGTCTTTGCTTGAGTGCACGCTCCTCACGGCATGTACCGTAGTTATCATAGCTTATCTGCCAACTGTATCATAATCCCGCATGACACGCAAGTCGGATTTCATTTAAATCTGATTACTTTCAACTTTCAGAAAAAGAAAAGTATTTGAATTGCATGAACAATATGGCAAGTCATATTACACGCTGCTTTCCTCTTTAGAGGTAGTTTTACATAATTTGCCATTCGTTTTGAAATAATGAATAGACAATGGGCTGTATAATTGTGAGAATTTACAATTCAGAGGACTACATCGTATAATCATCATGCATAATTCAGGGAGCTGAGCGCATAGGTCAGCGGTGGCAGTGGCATGAAAAGCAACTCAGGTCGTCCCAAAAAACAAAAAAAACAAAAAGAAAAACAGTTCAAAATCTCCACGCTCATCCGCGAGGAGCTTAGAACGGGAGCTAAATCTGTTTGATGATCCTTCAGTATCAGTACAGAGAAACAAACAAACAAACAAACAAACCGAAAAAGCACTTCATCCAATTATCTACATAACTTATATTTTCAACCGGGAGGCCCGTTCGGCAGATTGTGGAAGTTCAGAGAAACTGACTGATGTGGAGAGAGGCACAGGCAGAGTAAGGCGGTTGCTCCATTGTTGGCCATAGAAATTTACACCTGTACCGAGTGGATCCTCTCTGCCCCTCTCATATCCTGTGGCCTCACACCTCAGTTTGTGCATATAAATGACATTCCAGAGTGTGTATGGATAGCTCTTGTTCATACACAAGGTCTCTTGTTTCAAAGGCATGCTAATGTCTTTCACTCGGCTCGGCGGCTCTCTTTTAACTGCCAGAGCAACTGTGAAGGAGATGATTGCGACTCTTCAGCCACCTTTCCTCCTGAATATTCAAACATTTCCAATGACAGACACGCATCCAAAAGTCCAAAAACAAAGAAAAACTAGCTTCAAGACCGACACCCGTCTGATACACTGTTCCGGGCCTTGTTGCCCACTCGGAGAAATTAAGGCTAAGGGAGTCTGCTGGTTGTGCAACAAATTAGTGAAATCCTCCAGCCCTGACCCCTTGCTGCCCCATGAGAGATCGATAGCGCACAAACAGGCAACAGTTTCTCACGTTTTCTTTCTTTTTCGGGGGGTGAGGAATCCTGTGTTTCAGCTGCGGGTAGTTGCGCTCCATATTTGGGTTTTGATTCCCCTCAAGCCATTAATTAATGCTTCAGTACCAACAGCCGATGGATTTGGTCATGAATATTCAGATAAAGCTCCCGCATAAAATTTCTTATGCAGTGTTCTAACACTGGGCATTTGTGAGGCAGCCATCAGGGCTTCAAAGTCACAAGGATGTGGTTTTGTGTATCGTGTCTATCTTCTTCATTTTTAACAATGCAGTCTGCACTGTTTTCGACAAAGTGAAAAATAACAAGATGTCATGCTGAAATGTTACATTTGATTCTTGTAATACGATTATTTTCACATTTTTTACTTGTCTCACCTTTTTTTTTATTTGACAGCTAAAATGTATTTCTCAAATCAGTTTACTTTTTAATGATCACATTGAATATTTTTATTCTAAACATATATGGAACAAAGTCTCAGACTTTCCTTTGTTCAAGAAAGAAAAGCTGTAAAAATTGTTAAAGAACACACGCTGTTATTACATACTACATTTTTTATTGAAAATATCACAAAAACTAACAGATTATCTTCTAATACTGAAACTATTTTATGCTTAATGTTTACATTTTAATTAGTTTATTTACATGGCATTTAATACCATTTCTTCATAAACTCCTATTTAAGTTTGAACCAAATAAACAAAGTCCTTAAACAGCTTCCTTCAGCGTTTTCTTTTCAGATTATACAAACAGGATGACAACAATGTTTGCTGTTCCATTCTATTAAACCC